TAAAAAACCCCCCCCCCCCCCCCCCCCCCCGGGAGCTGCGGAAGCCTTTCCATCGCATCTCGCACACAGAAATCAGCCACTGAGACCGAGATTTCATCTGCAAGATCATGAAACTGGACCCTAGGGACCGGCCTTCGGTGGAGGGATTGCTGGGAGGATGAATGGATCCGGGCGGTAGACGGAGGCGCGCAGCAGTGATGTCAACGGCTCACACTATCTATTACCTTCCGATGGTATGGTTTAAAGAGAACAGGGCAGTGTAGTAAGTCGTGATGTTCCCATTCTAAGAAACTCCCTATGACATATATACATGAACATTAGGTAGCTAGCATTAGCCTTTCCCCTCTTCAACAAAGTTCCACGAGGGAAGAGGGTCAGTTCCCATTCCGCTGTGGCCAACAGTACTTCCCCGTCGACAGTAAGGATCCCCCTCTGGCGACAGCAACATCAGGGCAGATGAACAAAACCCATCGTCCATTGTCTTCCCCACAAAACCCACACCGGTAGTCCATTTCGCCCAGAAAGCCAAGGGAGCGTCATCATACCCAAAACCAACCGCAAAATCCGCCTGCCCGCTTGAACCATCCTCATAAAATAAGAGAAACCAAACACCCTCGAATTCTGAAAGTTTTTTTTAAAAATTTGTCGTCTCTCAAATAAGAACAACAGCCGCAACCAACCCGGCCACCAGCGCAACCACCCCCTTCTCACCTCCTCCCACCACCATATCCGCCGCCCCAGCAGTCGAAATAGAAGCCGTAGCCGTGGTAGCGGTAGTCGCAGACGGCGCCGTAGTAGCCGTGGTGAAGCTCGACGGCGGCGGAGGCACGACGGTGACCGAGGTCGGGACGATGACGGTGGTGGGCGGCACGACCACGGGCGTCGAGGTATAGACCGTGGTGGGCGCCGAGATGATGACGGTCGAGTAGCCCGTCACCGTCTCCTGGGCCGTGACGGGGATGTTGACCGTCACGGGCACGTGCTCGGTCAGAGTGACGGGGATGATGTCGGTGATGATGTGGACTGAGGTCTTTGTGAGGGTGATTCTGTAGTCAAAGAAAATTAGGGGTTAGCTATGAACATATTTAAGGATTTGAGGGAGAGTAAATGGCGTACGTGTCGGTCTGGGTCACCTTGATGGTGGAACCCTCCGAGACGGTGGTGTAGGTGGTTACCGGGCAGGTGACGGTCTCGTAGACGTCGGTGGTCTCGTACTCGGTGGCGATCGACGTCGTGTAGACCGTCTCGGTCTGCTGGACCTTGGTGACTACGGTCGAGGTCGAGGTCCACGTGATCTCCACCGTAGAGCCGTCGACTACCTTGGTCTCGGTGACCGGGCAGAGCTCGGTGAGGGTGGTGTAAACGACTTGTGGACAGCAAGGTCAGCAAATCCCGGTCAGACGTATACAGTAGCCGGTAGAATGGGACCTACCCTGTCCTTCCGTCTTGGTTACCGGGGGGCCCGTCTGGGTGACGACAATGGTCGTGGGGACGACCGTCTTGACCGTGCTGGTCGTCGTGTAGGTCGTCTTGTAGGTGGAGCCGGGCTTGGTAACGGTCTCGGTGACGGGGCAGACAGTCGTGTATGTCACGATGACCGAGGTGGTGACGGTCTCGCAGGCTTTGCAGCCGCCGTCCGGCTTGTCCTTACCACCATGTCCATATGTCCTATCGACGAGCTGACTCTCTCCCCGAGGAGGGATGTTGGCAGCCAGGGCCGAGGCGGCAAGGGCCAAGAGTGAAAATGCTGCTCTCATTGCGTCTGTGGGACGGCTCTGTCGAGAACGACTGTGGCTAGTAGCGAAGGTAGAGACGAACTGGTGGGCCCAGGATCTTCAAGCACGACGGCTGATATGAGCGAGGGTCTTGGAACGATTGGGAGTGGAGAGAGTACAGAGCCGATGGTGAGGGAGCAGGATGAAGAGAGAGCGCACTGGACGGCTTGGGAGGCAGGATGTTTATACACCACAAGTGATACCCCGGGTAGAAGCTCAAAGCAGAGAGGAAGCCTGGTACAGTGGGGTTGGGATGACATAGTCTTGCGTCGGTCCAACGACAGCGTGAGCACGGTGAGACAGTCCCATCTGGGCTCCGTAGACGGCCGTGGTGGGATGAGGGGTGGAGCAGATGGATCAGAGGATTAGAGGCCGCAAAGACTGGATCTCCCCAGGAATCGCGAGGTTGGGCAGAAGACACCCCTTGTGAGACCGAAGCGGAAGCTGGACCAGGACTGACGGTACCGTGCATGCATATCATCTGAGCCCACTGGTTGGCCCATCCGGGCCATTGTTGGCCATGCAGCTGTATCCTGGAGGACGCGAACCACAACCCCTGGTTATCATATGTCCCACTAGTCGAGCGTCCTGTAAGTGCGTCGACACTTCCAATGAACAACGAGTGCGGTAGATTGGGGGAATGAGCCCAACCACACGGCTTTGGTTTTTCTTCACCACGTAGCTCGAGGATAGACCCGACTCTATGATTCAAGAAGACGCCTTTGGATCACTACGGCGACTGAATAAAACTGCGGCTCGAGTCCAACAAGGCGAAGAGGCCGGTGGCTGTTGCTTGTTTCAAAAGCTCGCAGAGCGCGGCACAGGCGGTACTTGACACACGCTGTAAGTGGTTTCGTATACTATATCTCGGCTGACGTGGGTATACATGGCCTGTCCGGCAGAGACCTAACTTCGGGCGACACAATCGAGTGGTTTGGCGCTTCTCCTTGAATACTTGCTGTGTGTGTTGTTCGTGAGTGAACATGTAAGTGTAGAGCTGGCCTGGGCGTTGTGGGGTGAACATGCACCCCTGGAATAATCCACCCGGTATTCCGTCCTGGCCCTGTCAATGATGTCGCCGATGACGATAAGCTTGCCAAGCCAGCATCTACCCCTGTTGGGGTTCTTGGCTTGGTTCATTTAGCGTGTTTTGGCAACTTGAACAAGCAGCAGACCGCACCGTTGACCGGCCCGATCGTTGGCCATACTTGTTTGTTGGTGGAGTTGGGTACTAATCTGGGAACCAGCATTGCCTTTTCAGTTCTGTTGGTGCTGGTGTGGATTTTTCAGCAGAGGCAGCAGCCCAGAAGCGAGCTTCAGCTGTTTGAGTCCTGATGCTGTCTAGCTGCCGATGAGGGTTGCGGTCCGGCGGTGTGCGTTGTGGTTGGGTACGGTATTCAAAGGTACCGAATCCCTACAAAAACCTCAGTTGGATGCCGTAGTGACGAGCTACCAGGCCTGGGGAAGTCGCCCATCCGACGAACGCACATTGGAGGACAAGCCGCTTCTCCAGCCCATTCCCCGGAGTCAGTGACGACCTTCTGAGGGCTGGATTGGTTGTGTGGCCCGGCCGGACTGCTGATCTGATCGACGGAAAACCCATGGAAAGACAAAAGCAAGGTCTGCAAAGTGGCCTTTGTCCAGGCAACTCCCGCTGCCACGCACCTTAGTGTGTGCCAGCCCGTACGATCTGCATGTCTAGTGGGCTGACGTGGAAACAGGTCCGTCTGAGACGGCGAAAATCTTTTTAAGAATGTGCAGCTCACGAGGCAATCCGCCTCCAGAAGGGGCGGGGGCGGCCTTCAAAATTGACTGCATGTTGCACTCGTTCCTTGCTTCTCTGAGATAGGCAACTCGTCCACGCTGCATCTTCCCAACCAAGGCCACTACTCCAATGCCAGGAGTTCTCGAGCCGGAAGTTGCAGTGAGTCCCGTCAGGCCGGATTGTTGAGAGAGTGCCATGGCGTCATGGACAAAACAGTCAACTCCGTCTCAAGGGCAACCGAAGCAGCGTGGTACGGGTGGGGCGATCTAGCCCTACAGACCGATCCGATCGCGTGGTCCGAAGGCTCTGATGCCTGCCAAGGATGGAAGCGACAAGCCAGGCTATCCAACTCCACCGAATGTTCTGTCTTCTTTCCTGCCTGTCCCTCGGAACAGTAACGAGAGTTTGACGCCGGGTATTGACTCAAGCCGTGCGGCGTGACACGCGCGAGACACCGGTCGACCGAAACGACAGAACAGCGGCCAGTGGAGCACGCGAGCAAAGCCACTCGAGATTCCGAGCGAGCACAACATCCACGTCGCTCCGGACTGCCATCAAGGCACCTGCAGGCTGCCCTCTACAAAGATGGCCACGACGACCGCTCGTGTCTGTAATGAGAGACAGTGCATGGGTTGGCGATTGGCTCGCTAACAGGATGCTCCCGCCCCGTCCACCGCTTGTCTCGGCTTGCCAGCACAGGGAGCAGGTGGAATCGTGCCCAAGTCCTTCCTCGCAGTATTCCTGATTTGATCCAGCTCTTGATGCTCTCCTCTTAGTCGCCGCCGGACATCCCAGCGACCTCTAAGGCGATCGTCCGAACAAGATAAAATGGTATCTTCACCGTCCACTTGACTTGAGTTACTTCCGTCTACTAGACTTGAGGTACTTGACTGCTTCCCAGGAACAGCAAGTCCGTCAAAGCATATATGCCATGTGCCTCATTTGTGATACAAACTCTGTCGGTCAGGGCTTTTCAGTCTCATGTTGGCCGAGGTTGTCGGGGAATTGTCGCCAAACGGTGCCGTAGCTGCGGTTCTCATCGCTTTGCTTTAGGATGGATATTTGCCGCGAGTCTCAAAGCTGGGTGCTGTCGCCGCCGTGTGGTCGGCGACTCGTTCATTGCTGACATTGGCATCGCATTGGCGGTGCCTGACATGGGTGGGGTCGGTGGAGCGATTACTACGGAGGTACGGATCCACTCCTTCAACGCTGTGCGGTCCAGACTGCAGATTTAAGGTTGGTTGAAGGCGAAGCAACAGCGACAGAACAGCTTCCAAAGCTCACAACGGCCGGCCGCTGTCCCACCGCCCAAGCGACCCGGTCCGTCCTCTTGAGCGACCATAGCTACCTCGGCAGTGCAAAGGTCAACATTTCGACACCCGAATACCCAAGTCGCCAGGGGTCACGTTTCGCGACACCGGGTGTTCGGCATCTCTGACTGATATGGGATGTGATATGGATGAGGTTGGAAAATCATGATGCAATTGCGCCCATTCGATCTACCACCACAACCGCCGATCTCATTTGGAAGACCAAGCTCTGATTGTTCTCTCCTGCCGTCCGACCCGACGCAAATCACACAACCGGTTTGACATGGAGAAGTGGCCAATGAGCCTCATCGGCGGGCAATTTATTCTTCAACGGTGCGCATACGAGCATCGGCACTCCCGACCGTGAGATGAACACATGAGTCGAGGCATCCATCTTATACTGCTTCCAATGGCAGTGGCATTATCGTCCTCGGTAAGCTATCATATTCACCCATACCTTGCCTTTGGGACTTCCTCCACGCCACCGCTGTGCCACTCTCGGAACCTTCGACAGCGAGCAACGCCGCGCCAACTGCGCTCTGACACCACCATCAACAGCCGAATAGTCATAGGGAACCAGAAATGCAGCCTGCTGTTGGGCCTCTGCCGGCGGCCGTTTCGTTGCCTCTAGAATACCTATTTCACATAATGTTGAGCAGCCGAAGAAGGCAGGAATATTCAACAGCCGACCGTTGAGGCCAGTATCCATGGCTCAGCGTTTCACCACTGCAGCTGTGTTAAGCAAGGGGGTAACGTTGCCGATAGGAAGCGTGGGTGCTTATGTGGACAATATGCCTCTGCAGCCAACACACCAGCACCACCAAGCAGGACCTTGCACCCAGCGAGTTGATCGGGGTAAGGAGCCGTTGATTGAAGGCTCAATGCTGCGTGCCGGAACTCTCCAACCCGGCAGCCGTCCGTCAGTCAATACATCAAGCTCGCACGTTGGGGTACCTGCCTCCCTTGGAAAAAGTAAACAATTATTTGATGCACTTCTTTCACCTCGAGCAGCGTCCCAGTTGAGCAGCACGATATCTATCCACGAACCCCGACTGGTTTTTCTTTGACCCTCGGGCGAGACGTAGACGCCCCTAACACTCGAGACTCATCACCTCAGTCAACCGGTATCTCCTCTCCATGACTACCTGCCGAACGATCGAAGTGGTAAGGTCCGGTAGCTTGAGGGAGCGTTGCGTGCTAAATTGGCCAATCAGCGACACCTCTCCGGTAGCCAATCCGAGATCGCGGGGGAGGGGTAGTGAATGTCACCAAGGAAATTTTCCCTGGCGTTTGAGTTCCTTCCAAAGACACGATGCTGGGTAGAGCAGGGCCGATCAGACTTGACCCGACGTGAAGATGTCGTCTCTGCGCATCCTGCTGATTGGCAACGGCGGCCGCGAACACGCGCTGGCTTGGAAGCTTGCGCAGTCACCGCTTGTGGAATCCATCATTGCGGTGCCCGGCAACGGAGGCACGGCGCGCCTGCAAAAGGTGACCAACGACACGTCGGTGGCCGCCGACGACTACCCGGGCCTCGTTGAGCTCGCAAGGAAGAATGGTGTCAACCTCGTGGTTCCCGGCCCCGAGGCGCCCCTCGTCGATGGCGTCGAGGGCTTCTTCCGCGACGCGGGCATTCCCGTCTTCGGCCCCTCCAAGGCCGCCGCCCGCATGGAGGGCAGCAAGACCTTCTCCAAGGACTTTATGAAGAAGCACAACATCCCGACCGCCGCCTACGAGAACTTCTCCGACTACGACAAGGCTTGCCAGTATGTCAAGTCCATCAGCCACAATGTCGTCATCAAGGCCACCGGCTTGGCCGCCGGCAAGGGCGTGATAATCCCGCAGTCGCAGGAGGAGGCCCTGCAGGCGCTCAAGGAGATCATGCTGGACAAGGCTTTCGGCCCTGCTGGCGACGAGGTGGTCATTGAGGAATTCCTGACGGGCGACGAGCTGAGCATCTTGTCCTTCTGCGACGGCACCACCATCAAGTCGCTGCCCCCGGCCCAGGACCACAAGCGCATTGGCGAGGGCGACACCGGCCTCAACACGGGCGGCATGGGCTGCTACGCCCCGACCAGGCTGGCCACGCCGCAGCTAATTGCCCGCATCGAGCGCGAGATTCTTCAGCCGACCATCGACGGCATGCGCAAGGACGGCTTCCCCTTCCGCGGCTGTCTCTTCACCGGTCTCATGATTGCCCCCGACGGCACCCCCAAGGTCCTCGAGTACAACGTCCGGTTCGGCGACCCGGAGACGCAGACGGTACTCCCGCTGCTTGAGTCGGACCTGGCGAAGATCATGTACGCCTGCGCGGGGCCTGTCCCCTACCTCGAGGACATTCAGGTCAAGATCTCGTCCAAGTTCAGCACGACCGTGGTGGTTGCCGCCCCAGGCTACCCGGAGTCGTACCCCAAGAACATTCCCATGCAGGTGGCGGATGCGCCCCAGGATACCAACATCTTCCATGCCGGCACAAAGCTCTCTGGCGATTCTCTGCTGACCTCGGGCGGCCGTGTCATCGCGGCCACCGCAACCGGGGACTCGCTCCGCGCCGCCGTCGACCGGGCCTACGAGGGCGTCAAGCTGATTAGCTTCGATGGCATGTACTACCGCAGGGACATTGCGCACCGCGCCTTCCGCGCCTCCGACGCCTCCGATAAGCTCACCTACGCCCAGTCCGGCGTGAGCATCGACGCGGGCAACGAGCTGGTCGAGCGCATCAAAGCCGCCGTCTCAACCACCCGACGCCCCGGCGCGGACGCCGTCATCGGCGGTTTCGGCGGCGAAGTCGACCTTTCGGCGGCCGGCTACCCCAACGCGCCCATCGTCGTCGGCGCCATCGACGGCGTCGGCACCAAGCTTATCATCGCGCAAAAGATGAACAAGCACGACACAGTCGGCATCGACCTTGTCGCCATGAACGTAAACGACCTGGTCGTGCAGGGCGCCGAGCCCTTCATGTTCCTCGACTACTACGGCTGCTCGCGCCTCGACGTCTCGGTCGCCGCCTCGTTCGTCTCCGGCGTCGCAACGGGCTGCATCGCCGCCGGCTGCGCCCTCGTCGGCGGCGAAACCGCCGAGATGCCGGACCTCTACTCGGGCGACGACTACGATGCCGCCGGCGCCGCCGTGGGCGTCATGCTCGCCGAGCAGCGCCTCCCCCGCAAGCAGGCTATGCGTGAGGGCGATGTTCTGCTGGGTCTGGCGTCGTCGGGCGTGCATTCGAATGGGTTTTCGTTGGTGCGCAAAATTGTGAAGACGCGGGGTTTGGAGTATACGGATCCGTGTCCCTGGGACGCGTCGACGACGCTCGGTGAGGCGCTGCTCACGCCCACGCGGATCTATGTTAAACCGCTGCTGGAGGCCTTGGCCAAGACCGGCGAGGCGATTAAGGGTATGGCGCATATCACCGGCGGCGGGCTCACGGAGAATGTGCCGCGCATGCTGCCGGAGCACCTGGCGGGCGAGATTGAGGTTGGAAGCTGGGAGGTGCCGGCCGTGTTCAAGTGGCTGGGCAAGGCGGTTGAGCCGGCTGAGATGGCGCGGGCGTTTAACAATGGGCTGGGCATGGTGCTGGCTGTGGATGCGGCGAGGGTGGAAGACGTCGTGAGGGTTCTGGAGGGGGCTGGGGAGAGGGTGTGGAAGGTTGGAAGGCTTGTGAACAGGGAAGATAAGGGGAAGGGGTGCGTATTGAGGAATCTGGAGTTGTGGGCTTAGGTCCATACTGCCTTATGTCAGGCCGGTGTGGGAGGCGTGACTGACTTGTTCATGACTCCGTTTGGAGCGGAGAATTGCTGGCCTGGGAAAGGATCGAAACTGGCACGGGGATATTTTGGAAGCGGTAGATAAAATGGGAAAGGAGGGAATATAGACAGATCTTTGAGTTTGATCTGCTTGTTGAGAAAGTCTGGTCTCCCTCTCTAATAGGTCTGATGATCAACACGCCACGGGCCGAAGATAAGAAATGGAAAACAGGCTCCCACGGGCAGGGCCAGTACTCCGGCCGCGGGAATCCCAATACTCCAGTGCTCGATCGACGAACACCTCCCTGCCCGAGCTCTTCCACCTCCTCTGCGCCAAACTAACCGCCTCTCAGTCCAACGCCGAGAACATACCGGGATCCCAGAGCTCTGGAGCGGGCTGTGGGGGGTGAGCACCGCCGATTGACCGTTGGGCGCTGATATATGGGATCGGAGATCTTCTATAAGGTCCCAAATTCAAATGACCAACAACGGCCTTGGGTAGTGAGCCGCAGGGATGTGCCTCCCCTTGCTGTACTGTATATAGTCAGGATCTCTCACGGCTCAGCCTCATCACAGAACCTTTGGTTGACCTATCTGGCTCCATGGAGATGATGTCGTCTAGCGGACGAGATTGCTCTCCACATCCCAGCTGTTGTTGATGTGTCAACTTCCCAAACTCTGACGCGGAAGCATTTTCATATACAAGACAATGAAAAGAAAGAGCGCAGCATTGCCTCTACAGACCTGGGCCGTTCCGACCATCCGATGAGCTCGCAATCTTTCAGAGTTTTGACTAGACGCATCTATCAGGCACGGATAAAATAGGAGCACCACCCCGCCCTCCTTCCTCCACGGCATGTCCAAGAAGTCCCCATCCCCATACCGAATAGAGCGCAGACAGCCAACCCCACTATGTACGGTAACTATGCTACCCAGTGCAGCTCCCTTTCTATCCTCTATAACACTCTGCGGCATCTATGTCATCCACCATCATGAAGCGGTCCGTTCAGAAGACGGGACCCTCGTTTTCACGTCCATCTAAGGGTATCATAACTGAGCCTTCTCTTCGAGATCCAGCCGAAAACGGGGTACAAAGGCGCTGTTGCGTTGCGGGCGCGCGTCGTGTGCCGCTTTCCGACTGAGTACGGATGAAACCAAGTGACATATCTCCTAATTGAATTTCTCACGTCTCATTTGCTTTAGCCAACGGCTCCAGAGAAATGCGGGTCGTACTTGGCTTCGCATTGCGCTGTCCTCGTTTCAGGCCCTGACTTTCATATCGGTACCGGTGGCCTTTGCTACACCGTTCGAATGGTAACGCACGGGGCTGGGGAAGGCTTGCATCCGCGCCTTCTCCGTCAGCGCAATCAATTCCTTGAGCATCAGGTCCCGCGTGAACTGCGTGAGATGGTCGACGTCGGCGGCGGTAAGGCCCTTCGTTGAAATGGGGTCGAGGACTGGGGGGGACACAAAGGGTCAGCCACATAGTTCAGCGGAGAGAGAAAAACACGGGGCAGACCTACCCTTGCATGGAATGCGACCAGAGTTGAACTCGAGCCCCTTGATCCAGAGAACATGGCTGTAGTTGGCGACGACGACCGGCACGATGGGCACCTGGGCTTGGATGGCGAGGTGGAAAGCGCCCTTCTTGAAGGGCAGCAGCATGGGCTCCTTGGCGTAGCTGCGGGTGCCCTCGGGGAACATGTAGACGCTCTGGCGCTTGTTGCGGATCTCATCGGCGGCGCCGCGCATCGCCTCGCGGGCGTCCTTGCTGTTGGCGCGGTCGATGAAGATGCTCCCGCTCAGGGACATGAACCAACCCAGGAACGGGGTCCGCTTCAGCGACGCCTTGGCCGTCACGCTGCAGTACTTGGGAAACATGCAGCCCAGCATCAGCACGTCGAGCTCCGTCTGGTGGTTGCCGACGAAGACGGCCGGGCGGATCTTGTCGAGGTGGCCTTTGGGGTCCTCTATGTCAAAGGTCACGCCCGTCGAAAGCGCCATGAGGAACTTGAAGCACCGGGCCACGGCCCATTGCGACAGCTGGTGGAGGCCGACGAGGCGCAGGACGATGGAGGCGGCGACGCCGTAGAGCGAGCTGATGACCAGGGCGATGTACGCGGCCAGCGTGCGGGCCACGAAGGCCGCCTTGGGTACGGCGAGGGACAAGGCGTAGCAGAACATGATTAGGGCGGTGTAGCCAGCTACGAAGTAGCCGACGTAGGAGAGAACGGCGACCATGATGAGAATCGTCGGCGGCGAGGGTCAAGAGCAGGTGGCGGTTGGCGCGCGCGTCGGGCGCAGGGCAATGTCGATTCCTGCAGGCTCTGTCCCTGCGTCTCGCTCTCGGCTGGGGAGTTGGCCAACGGGGAGGTCAGGCTTCAACCTGAGTTGCGTTGCCCAAGAGAGCGCTGCTAGGGTTCTTCAAGGTTCTCTCTGCGGGGCCTTTGCGTGGAACGTGGGAGGCAGCGGTGGAGCGGTGGGGATGTAGGCGAGCAAAGAGAGTTCAGTCGACGTTTCAGGAACAGCCCTAGATGATGGGACCGCAACCCCTCGGTTTTCGCCCCTTTCTCTAGGCCGTGTGGTGAGGGGCGGCACACTTGTATGTGACAGGGCAGTCATCCTCCGCATCACTCGCAAAAGGATTGAGATCAACGGCGCACATGTGACTTTACCAACAGAATAATGAGTTGGGGTTCTCCGTAGAGGTCAGTTGATGCCATGTGGAGGCTCGATGAACCGATTGGTCAACGGACCAGACTGCCCCACATATTATCTGAAGGTGGTTGAGAAGAGAATGCAACCTCTCCCGGTTGGGGAAGCGTGGGGCGGGAACCAGGCGGGTATTGTCGAAAGCTTGGCGTTGCCGGTGACCTGAGAACCTGAATCCATTTTTATGGCCCAACTTGGAGTTGGAAGGGGCATGTTCAAACACAAGACTCTGGACTCCCATGAAAACTTGGTTCAAGGCGATTGTGCCGTGCTGTACGTGCAATAACCCTGAGGACGGGGATCATTTCAGTCGCAGTCATAAAACAACGACAAGCCAGAGGCCTTCTCCGCAGCCAAGGCTAGTTGTACGGAGTATACGGAGAGATGGACCTCATCCCACAACCCGCCAACACCCTCTGGAAGACGTCGGCGAAATGCACACCATCGAGATCATCCACAACTCAGGTACAGGCGCGGGAAAATGCACTCTTTTGCTGTCAGCATTGCCCTGTTTTGGCGGCTGCCGGTCGGATGCCGAGTTCTACCGGCAAGAACTCCTGACCGGACGGATTATGGAGTACTGTCATAAGGTAGGTATGTAATTCGTACCTCACGGAAGGTCCCGCTTCGGCTCGGGTTGTAGGCGCCAAGGACCGAAACAGAACAGGCCAGCCGACGAGGGCTTCCCGAGCTACATAGTTTCCCCAAACGCGACAGCCGCAACATCTGAACACCTTTCTTGTGTCGCACAATCCCCCGCCTTCACTGTCGGCTTGCCCAGGCGTTCGGGAGGCTGCCTAGTAATCGCCCACGGTGATTTTCTCCAGCATAACTTGACAACGGCTCAATGATGGTTGCAGCTGCTCCACGGTAGTCCGATCTTGTGCCCCCTCCCAATTATCATCTCTGCAGTCTGTACAGTCCTGCCCTGCATCCGCCATGGCCGCATCCCGTCGCGGACAGCCGCCCCTTTCCGTCCGGCTGCCGCAGCCCGCCGTGGCCGTCCTGCCCGACCTCCCGCCCGTCTCCGCCCTGTTCCTGATCGACTTCGATGTCAAGGCTGGCTACACCATCATCTGGAAGCAGGCCGTGCCGGGCCTCGAGCTGGAGGGCATTGTCGAGTACAAGAGCCTGCCGTCGGGCCTCCATACTGTTTCCGACGACCTGATCTACTTTGTCCACGATGGCGGCCACGCCGGCCTCAGCGCCTTCGTCAACACGCCCACCGACGAGGAGGAGACGCGCCATGCGCGCATGATCGCCGTTGGCGTGCTGGTGCCCCTCAGCTACGGCCGCCTCGGGAGAGCCTGGCGCCACGCCGAGGGACTGAAGGATATCGCGGCCAAGCTGGCTGCCGACAGGACGCAGACGCAGCTACTTGACGAGTACTGGGACAAGAATGGGCTGCACGAGACGACAGCGCCGCAACCATTGAAGGACACACCGCTCGAGTCGCCGCTGCTCAGCATCAGGGCTAGCCGTCCCGGACTAGGGAACGGGCATGCTAGGAATCGCTCTGCCTCGGACGGTGCCGCCCTCATACCGCCAGGCCACCGGCTCTCGCCCTTCCACCCTGCCTGGAGCCTTACTGCTCTGCTGGACACATTCGGGCCCTTGATCTTCCCAATTCACCGTGCCGCTCTACTGCGTAAACGCATCTTGATCTCCTGCCATGCCCCTGTGCACGAGGTCTGCAATTTTGGTACGCATCACACTCTCCTGCCTATTCGCTTCTCGCTGACCCGGCTTAGTGTATGATATCTCAGTCCTGTCCAATATACCTCTGTCCATTTGCGACGTGATAGACCCCTCGACACCAGTCCAGCGCCTACGGCCGCTCTTCTGCATCGGGGTACACGACATATCATATCTTCAAGAACATCAAGCGGCGATGAAGCGTGCCTATCACAGTCAAGACCGCGACGACCCAACCACGCCCGACGACACGAGTTCTGGATGGGTAGCGTGTACCACCGACAGCATCCTCGCTATGAAGGAAGACCTCTGGGACATGCTCATCACCATGCCCCCGTCCTACTCCTCCAACGCCAAGCAGCGCGTCTGGCCAACAGTAGAGATGCCCAAGGGGATCCCCGTGAAAGCCACCCAGCGCGACCTGCGCCGCTTCCGCTCCCTCGCCCGCGGCCTCGCCCGGCTCGCAACACCACCAGCACCAGCACCACCTCGCCCTCTCCACCCCCAGTCTCCCAACCCGCGCAGCAGGCCCCGTTCGGAAGCAAGCGATTCTCCTGTTCGATCAACAACCCCAGCAGCAATCCGCCTGTCCAACAAACCCTCCGGGGTTTCACGTCCAGGAACATCTGGCAGCGTCGAAGCCAGCCGCTGCCCAACAAGAGCAACAACAACAACAACAACAACAACAACCCTCTCCCCAGTCGCCGCCGCTGCCGGCGACGACACGGATAAGATCGTCGAGCCGACGACCTGGGCGGCGCTCGCCTACAACGGCTTCATGTGGTGGGCCTCGGCCGGCGAGAAGCGGCACAGCGACGAGGTCGACGAGCAGAGCCACGACGCCACGCTGCTGGCGGATTTGGATCTGGGTGGTGGTGTTGGTGGTGGTGGTGGTGGGCCTCGTAATCCTTCCGGGTCGGCTGTTTTGGGATTGTCGTCGTCGTTATCGCCATCATCGCCATCATCGTCATCGCCACAACAGCAGCAGCCGCTGGCGGGGCAGAGGAGGGCTAGTTTCGGCGCTGTTTACTTAGGTTCTTCTGCTGGTGCTGCTGCGGTGCGGACGGGTACGTTTGATGGGGCCGATGATCAGAGGCAGCTGGAGGAGGTGAGGGTGGAGGAGGAGGGGGCGGAGGAGGAAGAGGAGACGCAGGCGCGGATGGAGCTGGCGGTGGTGGCGTATTTTCATCGGCTGACGAGCGCCCTGCTGTCTGTCCTGGCGGATATTGTCGACTCGTCGGACGACGATGATTTGTTGGGCCTGGACCTGGATGACAGTGATAATTATGCTGACAACAGCGGATTTGATGGGCCGGGAATGTTGAGCGGTGGCGAGGAGGAGGAGGAGGAGGAGCAGGCTAGGCTGCTGGGTGCGTCGTTGGCGGCGAGGAGTGCTGCTGGTGGTGGTAGGAGTACGAGGGGCTGGTTGAGGGTCGATAGCGAGGCGCTGGCGGAGATGGGACTGGATGTCTGGAGCCAGGCGGATGCGGATTTCGTGAGGGAGGTAGCGGTCAGGTACTTTGGGAGGAGGGCGCATGTCGAGACGAAGGGGGTCGAGGTGTGCGGGGTGAGGGTCTGTTAGGCGCGGACTTTTGCCCGGGAGGAGTGTTGGTGGTGAGGAGCGGGGCTTTGGATGGTTAGCTGTATGGCCGTGAACATGGGCCTCGGAGTTTGGGTGTATGGCCGTGGGCATGTCTAGCAAGCTGCGATGGGTATGGCATGTTGTATATCTTCGACTGGCAGATGTATACTAGGGAGCTTTGGACTTGCTTTGTGGTATAGCGTTGAAGCCCAAGGTGGACTGGCAGATGACTCTGTTACCTGCGTGTTTACGAGTCCCAGTCATCCGTATATTTAGCTCCCTGTCTGAAAACGCTCATCCATGGATTCTCTTGGCCTATATTCAATGTAGCATACGACCCTAACCCTGGCAAGCTGGCAACAGCAACCACCTTTGAACTTTTCAGTGCATATCCTCCTCACTTACACTTAGACCACACACTGCATACAGAAACAACACCAAACTTCTCGCAACCTTGATCTTGCGTTTTTGTTGGCTGGACTGTATCCCACTTTGTTAGAGCTAACCACACACTGTTCCCACGCACACACGTTCCAATCGCCCCCGTAAGCACCATCAAAAGCATGTAATTCGATCACTTTGACAGCACAGCCCCCTTAACCAACTCATCTCAGTCTTTTCATCCCTCAATCTCAAACCTGAGGACAATGGCCGAACCAGGTCTTGGAAAAGACACTGACCTCCCCCCAACCCTCGACTCCGCCATCCTCACACCGGCCATCGCCTCCCTTGCCCCGGCCCTCGAGCTCCTCGAGCGCTTCCACCATCGCAACAAGAACCAGCATCGCATATCCAAATGGTGGGCCCAGGCTGACATGCTGAGGCGGCATATCTGGAAGATGTTGGGGGAGCTGGAGGCGGCGGTCGAGGCGGCAGAGAGGACTGGGAGGGTCAGGGAGAGGCAGAGGGTGAAGGGAAAGAGGAAAGAGAAGGAGCAGGTGAAGAAGGTTGGGGAGAGAGGTCAAGGGGAGGGTGAGGGGCGGGCGGTAAGGAAGAGGGCCGGGTATTTACGTTGGAAGCTTGGGCCGGGGGCTTTTTTGTGGGTTTTTTCTCTACTACGTATCCATTTTCTTCTGAGAGTGAGGAGGAGCTGACGACGGAACAGGGCGTTTACGCAGCTCTCTGCGGACAGGCAGTTTGCGCACCTTGGGCTGATGCTGCTGGGTGTGCTGGCGCAGGTGGACAAGGCCGTTGCGCCGTTTGCTCCGGCGCCGCCTAGCCAGACGGGAGACGAGACCGGGGAGCAGGCATCAGCGGCATCAGCGGCATCAGCAGAGGCCGTCCAGCCCGCCGCCGGGCAAGACAACGGTGTTGGTGCGGACTCTGACGCCATCATGGAAGTGGACACAACAGACAAGGGTGTAGCCGTGTGCAGAGACGAGATCATGGCGTCGATTGAGCGAGACACAGCCTCGACACCGATCCCACCAGCAGCATCGTCAACACAACAGTTAGTGAAGGGAGACACACATCCACGATCCTTATCCCTCCCCATCAACCGCCCATCACGCACTCAACAGCCGCTCAGCCAGACCCCTGCAGCAAGGACAGAACCAACCAGCAAGGAAGCAAGCATCACCTCCGACGTGTTCCCCTCAAAACCCAAGACAAAGAAAACAGTCAGACCAAAAGACGAATTCGATGACATCTTCGGCTCGATGGGACGGCCTCCGACCGGCAACCCTAAACCACCAGCAACCGCAGATACCCCAGCACGAGAGCCATCTAGCAAGGAAGCCAGCGCCTCATGCTTAGAAGCAGCACTGAAACCTAAGAAAAAGGTACGGGAAGATAAGGCAGGAGGAGGAGCAAGAGGCGACGGCTTAGACGACATTTTCGCCTCGTTGGACGCCAAAAGCAAGAAGCCCAAGAAGAAGCGGAAGAAAGGGGATGAGTTTGATGACATTTTCGGGGGGTTGTGATGCATGAATGTTTTTGAGCTTTTTGTGAAGCGACAACCGGGAGGGTCCCCTCAATCCAACAGGATATCCCCGAGTCCCTTCGTCTATATGTCGTGAGAAGGACCGTCGAGACGGGGTTACATAGGCTCCTGCAATGATGTGGAAGACGGATGAACGCGACGAGCAACTTCAGCCACGACCCCCAAATCAACTCCCTCACAGTAAAAAAGCAATAGACCGACAGATGCTTCACTCTCGTCGATTAAGACTGACACCACAAAGGGATAACACCGTTATTGGGACTACCAACGCAACCGATACAGCGGAGAGAGATGTGCCAAAATACCACGACAACCATAACACGGGTTGTTTACCCATCCATCCATCCTCTTCCGAGCAAAATAGAGAGAAGGGTCTCCCCCAAGCCATTTCCTGACGCCGCGACATCCAAATGGGGAAAACCGCCCACCCACACTTCCCCCGGCCCAAAGCTCGGTATCGTTGTAGTTGTTGTTTTTGCCGTCGACAGTAGTTTCGAGATCAACAGCCCCAAAAGTCCTCAAAAGAATCCCACGTCTCGCAACTCCTGATCCGGTCCGGGCGAGATCTCGTCCAACACCGGAATCACCCGTCGTCCTCCGCGGGGGGATACTCCTCGTCCGTCTCTGGGAGCGTCTCGTCCAAATCTGGGGGTGTCTGCACTTGAAGCACTGGAAGCATCTCCTCGTCCGTCTCTGGGAGCATCTCGTCCGAATCTGGGGGTGTCGACACTTCAAACTCTGGAAGCATCTCCTCGTCCGCCTCTGGGAGCATCTCGTCCGGAGATGGGATTGTCTCTTCTTCAATCACGAGGAGCAGCAACTCCTCGTCCTTCATCTCATCACTGCGAAAACCTCCTCGACCATTCCCTTGTCCCGTCCATCCATCACTGATTTATCGCGCAAGGCGGTGGCTGCCTCAGGAGAGAGCTCCTCCTCCCATCGCAGCAGCCTCAAGATCTCACGTATGAAGGCGGCTCTCTCAGGAGACACACTCTACGGTCTCCTATTGTCGACGCGCTGGTACGACCAGATGCGGGCGCGCATGTCGCCCGAGCCGGTGGCGAAGAACCCGCCCACGGGCGAGGCGACGGGGCTTGGCGCGACCGAGATGACCGAGTTCTTGTGTCCCTGCAGCATGAGCTGCGTGTGCCCCGTGCGCGGGTCCCAGAACTGCACGCCGCGGTCCTTTGAGCCCGAGAGGACCCACTCGTTGTCCGGGGTGAGGGCGACGCTGAGGACAAAGTCCTATTGTATAGCAAAGCAATGATGTATTAGCAGATCCGTTCACGAATGCATTGGCTCGGAAAACATGCGGAAAGTGGGTGTGAGAAGGGGGGAAAAAACGTACCCTGTGACCTTCAAACGTCTTGATGCAGCGGCCACCCTTGAGCGGCGGCTGCTGGCCATGGCCAATTTGTCGCGTCTGGGTCAGCTCCCACATCTTGATCGTCTTGTCCAGACTGCCGCTGACAAGCTCCCGGCCGTTTGGCGAGAAGGCCACACTATAGACACTGTCTTTGTGGCCGTCGGGGCCCTCGAGACGCTCGAGGAGGTAGCCCATCTTAACGTCCCACACCCGCACGCTCTTGTCTAGAGAGCCGGCGGCCACGAGCTTGGTATCGGGCGAGATGGCAACCGTCGTCACCCCGTCCTCGATCGTCAGCGTCAGGTTGCAGGCGCCCGTCTCGAGATCCCAGATCCTGACCGTCCTGTCACCGCTGCCCGAGACGATCGTGCGGCCATCGCGCGCAAAGTCCAGCGAATAAATGTCTTGGTCGTGGCCCGAGAACGTCGTGCGGATCTGCCTTGCTTGAATGTCCCAGACCTGGACAAATCAGTATTTTCGAGGTCCATAAACTGCAAGGAATAGTGAAAACTCACTCTAATCAGCTTGTCTTCAGCGCCAGTAGCAAGGTATTTGCCATCCGGGCTGAAGCAGACGCTCCTGATGTAAAGATCGCCGCTGAGATCGATGCTGTCATCCTGGAGAACGCAGATCTTCTCGCCCGTGGCCACGTCGTAGATCTGCGCCGACCTATTGCAACCAGTCGCAACATACTTTCCGTCGTGGCTGAACCTCACACAGCACACAACGCTTTCGTGCTGAAGAGTGTGGACGAGCTCGACATCCAAAACCCGCGGCACGGACTGGTTGTAGATGACCCACCAGTCGTCCTTAACCTTCTTGATGTGGCTCGGCAGACGCTCCGGGTCGAGGTCGCCGAGGGCATTTGGGTGTGGCTGAGGAGGGGGCGGATGCTGCGCCATGCGGGTATGGTCAGGTGTAGGATGGGTAGGGACCTGGGGGGACTGGCCGGGCCCGCTGTAGGGTACCGGAGTGTTGATCTGGGGCGTGGCCGGGCCGGCTGCGGGCGGGCGGCCGATGGCTCGCTTGTTAGGTCCCGGAGACGCGGTGCTATGAGGAGGCTGGGGCGGGAAGCCGCCTGGTGCTGGTCCCTGAGGATACTGCTGCTGGAAAGGAGGCTGTTGGGACGGCGGGGGAGGAGGCGGCGGCGGGCCCTGCAGGCCGTGCGGGGCAGGAGGCATGTGAGGAGGCTGCTGCTCCTGCTGTTGCGGATGGTGCGGAGGCGCCAGTCCGCCCTGAGTGGGCTGTCCGGACACTATGGCACCAATGATTGAATTGTTCCCCGGGTTACCGATCTGCGGCGGCGGCGGCTGAGGAGCGGCAACATGCTGAGGAGGCGGGTTCATGGGTCCAGGCGGACCTCCACGTCCCTCCAGCTGGCGGCGCAACAGATTGAGCTCTTCCTCATACCTGGGTGAGACGGTCTTGTTAGGGCGCTGTACGTCGGCAAGTGGTATCCGAGGGTGGATCTTACTTCTGCTTGAGACCGATCTGGGCCTGTTCCATTTGGTAGACCTTCTCGCGAATCATCTGCATCTCTTGCACTTGTGCTTGGACTGTTCGGGAGTACTGTTAGCGCCACCGGACAAAATCAGGCCACGCGACGCCAAGGCCGGGAGTCTTCCGCCATCGACACATGACGCGCAAAGATGCACCAAGCGCACCGCGGGAATAAGCTTACTCTGATGCTCATAGGTTTCCGTCTGCCGCACGTGCGATTCGAATTCGGCACGGATTTGATCGAGGAGCTCGTTCAAACGGGCCGCACCGCCATTGGCCGGCGGCACGCCCCCGATTCCCCGATGGCCCGGATACATCGACATGGCCACCTCCTGCTCAGATGTTGGTACTAATCTCTGCGCTCCGTACTGGCGCAGGTAGGAGATGAAGTAGAAGGATATACAACGAGGTGGCGATTGGCAACGTGTAGACGCAAGACGCGGACCGGAGTGCTGGCAATGACGAGAATGGAGACCTCAGCCTCCACGTGCACGCGCAAGAAACGGCACCCAACACTTGGATCAAATATGTTGGTCTTGGCGTGGATCGGATGAACGACGCCCAACAGCGGCTGAAGCCTTAGACAGAGGCCGCAGGATCGGGTTTATCGGCGGAATATGGGATGGAATGTCGTGATGGTGGTTGGGAATCGCGTTGGGGCCTGATGAGAGTGCGGTCGCAAGGAGGAAAGAAAGGAAAGAAGGGGGCCCAAAGCGGAGGGGGGCGGCTGATGAACTTGGGGAAACGCAAGGCAATCTGGCTCGCCAAATCATTCACAGGAAAAAAAGGTACGTGCAGCTGGGCGCCACCCAAGCATCCAAGTGATGGAGCTCATCAGACAGGGACCGGGGCAGGGGTCAGCATGCGGCGTTGGTGGGGCGCGCCAGCAAGGCGCCTGCATGACAAGCGGGCACCCACGGTGGGTCCTAGCTCGTGCGCTTGCCAGGGCTGTTTTTGCTGTGACCGCTCTGGAAATGGAAAGGATCAATTGGGGGTGTGGGTGGGGTTAAGGAGGGGAGTGTACTTGGATTGCTGCATCAGCGGAGTGCCCCCAAATCTGATCACGTTCTGTTTCCCGAGAAACCAGAGACGACCAACCACCCGCCGCGGACCGGGCGTGGTAGGAAAAAAACAGGCCGAATTTGCTTTTTCCTCATTTTTGAGCCGTTATCATATTTCAACGAGATTACTCCCGCTTTAGCCCCATCGGGCAGCTGGCTGGAACCCGAGCAGCGAGGAGTTCGGTCCCGATCTTTCATCGGGCCCAACGGCATCTCTCTCATTACGCGCTTATACATTATACGATGAGTAACGTACAATTTCTTACCCTTACCCACAGTTTTCTTGGCTGGATTCACTCTCTGGAGGCCTTGAAGCCACAACATTATCCGGCTCGCCAACCCGGGGCCCGACAGGTCTGGAATGCAGCCTCGGCACCTGGCATCCGACACCCCGTGTTGGCTCTCCTCATCGCGCCCTTCATCATACTCTCGACGCCCGGGCGTCGATGCGCTGTATTGTGGTAGGTCCGAGTGTGGGGGAAGTGGAATACCCCTTTCGGCTCTCCTGCAGGTTAAGGTAGTTCTTCTGCGGAGCCGAAGGAGCGTTTGGCACACTCGAATGTGCTTGAGTTGCACTGTTTGATGATGTTTTGGGATGGGGTGGGGATATTGACGCAGCATGGAGCAACACGGCAAATCCACCACAGCACCAGTTCATGAGGTACCTCCGTACACTCGTTCCACCACAGTACATGATGTTACGTTGACTCGGTTGGTGAAGCAAGCATACCAATAAGTGAGGTAAATCTGCAGATTGCTATGCGGTAGTTCTAACGGAGATGGCCGGCCAGGGACAAGTGGTTTTGCCAACATGCCGATGATACGTTCAACCACACGTTGAGCATGGGAATCAACCTTCACGTGCACAGTCGGTACATTGTACCCTATAGAGTAAGGTACTCCTGTAATTCCTGCAATCTGAAGGCAAGCCGAAGTCCTTCTTGTCGGAGCGCTATTTTCACACGAAGTCCGGAATGCCGCTCCATATATCAGCCACGCTCACCACCCTATTGAACTCCTGCAGTGATCCAATTCAAATTCTAACCATACCCACTACGTAACTACTACCTCTGTACCTTGTCCGTTTCCTAATGACAAACAAGACCTTGAGAAGTCCTTGGCTGGGTTAGGTTGTGGAAACCTGAAACAGACTGACGGAAACACTGGACTTGATCTTGCAGACAGCAGCTGGGTCCCGTGACACACTCAGGCCTCGGCACCTAATCAGATTGCACAGATATGCTGCCAGATCTCTGCGTTGTAGGGTTCGGTCCTTCAGGGCCGACTCGGCAGCGGGATTCTGCGGCCCGAATGAAATCGTCGGCTCAGCCCAAACCCGGAATAAAACTCAGAGCACATCTCATCAGTCCGGAAGCCAACAAAAGTCATCGGAATTCCTGCAAGGCAATCAACCTCTCGTCCTCGTTGAAACGCCTTCCCTCGGGCGTCCATCTTCGCCCACTTAGTACAGTACCTATACACTATCATGAACGACTTCTGCTGTGGACCAGCCTCACTGTTCACGAGCAAGTCACAAACCCATTTGCAAAGCACGCAGCACCACCGTCATCTGTTGGGGAGAACTTGGCGGCCATACTTAAGCTTCAAACACGCTGAGTTGGAGAGTGGGAAAGGAGTGAGGAGAGACAAACCAGGTTGGCTGTACTGGTAACCTTGCCCATGTAGTCAACCTACGATTTCAGAAACACCCAGCGTTTGTTTGGAACGAACACCCGGTGGGTCGATGGTATTGTTTCTTTTCGCGATATAGCATTTCCCTCTTCTCCAGCGGTATATTTCCGCGTGTGTTACAGCTGGCATACCGGGTTGCGCCGATGATCAACTGAATTGGGAGGCTGGCGCAACCCTCCTCAAAGCTGCTCGTAATGTCTATATTTTGCGGAAAGAGATCTCACAAGAGTCCCAAATTTTCGCTGGAGGTTTCCCGCGAAGGGATACCCGGGGATCCATCGCATCTGCTGATGTTTGGCCACCAGGACCTGGGTATTCGACTGCCTTTGTGCCCCCCTGAATGCCCACCTTGGCCTCACCTTGCTGTTTGAGAGCTTAAGAGACTATCCTTAAGGGAAACTGGCTGCGGAGTGGCAAAATGCAGACTCCTGCGGTAGAGTAACGGACGGGTTGCGGCCAGCATCGGACAACTCATCCCTCATTGGGATGGTACTGAGCCCTACGGAGCCTGGAGTTCTCTACCACAAACATGCAACCTTTGAGCCATTCTCATTCCTATCTCTACCTACATTCCTGGCTTGGCAGAAAGTCGGTGATACCACATCATGTCACAGAGGATGATCTATATGAACTGCCCCTCTTACCCGACGCTTGTAAAACCGGCATCCCAAGACAGGTGAATGGGACGGACGTGGAAGAAGTGGAATGATCAGAACTCGGTCAGTTGAGAACAAGTTGTGAACTGTTCAGGATATGATGGAAATGACTACACTGCGCTGAACTGGTTCAGTTGATGCGAATCATCGCGACAGCTTGTCCGCAAATGTTGGACGGGATTAAGATGTCTTGCTCGTCGAGACACCCAGGCCCCAGGCCACCATTTTCCCCTTAACGCCTCGCAGTTCCGCTCAAAGGAGATGGAAAAGGTATGTACGACAAAAAGAAATATTAACGGCAGGCGGGGTTTATGTCCCCAAACACGGAACGACTCTTCCTCTCAGAAAAAGAACAGATAATTTGAAAGGGCCCGGCCCAAGCACTCCCTCCTCCACAAACCAAACCGCCCCCGCCCCCCCTCCCCCCATATCACGAGAAGCTAACAAACTTAGGATCCCTCGGCCTCCCATCCGCGCCAATTCCATTCTCCCTAAACCTCTGCTCCATATACACCTTGCGTGCTTCATCAAACTTGAGCCGCCTCTTCTTCATGATGTTTAATATCTCCCTCTTGGCCCCGTCATCCAGTCCCGCCCGGCTGTCCCCGTCCGCAACGTTACCCGCCAGGTCGAAGGTCGACGACGATAGGCCCGCCTCGATGTCGTCCTCGAAGGACCCCGCCGGCGCGAGCCGTGAGTAGAGATAGTCGCTTCCCGGGAAGCGAACGGTGTCTTGTAGGTGGGCGACCGAGTCTTGGAACGCGGGCAGCCAACGGGCGCGGTTCAGGTAGAGGAGGGTGCCCGTGATGAGGGTGAGGAAGGTTAGGCTGTAGAGGAGGTAACCCATTTTGAACTATTGGTTGGATGGTGTGGTTCGAGTGATGGGGTATTCGAGGTTCCGATGGTGGGCCTTCACGGATAATGGTGCGACATAAGTTGGAGTGCCGCGCGGGCAATGTATGTGGCGCAAGGTCGGGAGCTGCGGAAAGTGCGCCCGGAAAAGCGAAGGAGGACAAGGTCAGAGAAAAGGAAGGAGAAGGAAAGTGAAGGGAAGATATGGTGCTATGCAAATTGCAAGAGCATCTCCTTGAACTCTAGATGCGAGCCTCTTGGTTCCTGATGGCGATACATAGAGGAGGTTTGGTGATATGGTTTGATGATATGGTTTGATGTTTCTGCCGAAGAGGCCGCCCTCAGCCGCTTGGCGCTTGGCAAGAACACATGACGACTGAATGCGGAACACGAGCCTACGGAGTACTTGTGCAAGGGCTACGTGTAAAATCGCGCTAGAGCCGCTCTGGTATTAACCTGAGTCGGTTTATCAGATCGGTAAGGCTTGCCGAACTAGCCCTGAAGCGGCAAGTCAAGCGAGCCCACACTCGAGCCCGCCAAAAATCCAGGAGCTGGGTGAAATTCGAGATCACGAACCTGCAGACGCCCTGATTTTGAACGATTTGCCTGTTCAACGTCCATACCGTCAAAATGTCCAACGTCTCCGCTGACCTTATCTGGGAGGTTTCCCGTGAGTGTCCAAAAAGGTTGATTGGGTGGTGTTGCCCGGTTATCTGATAGACTTGCTCTCACAGGCACCTACAACAGCTTCCTCGTCAAGAGGAAGTCTGGCGGTGCTCCCCAGTTTTCCCGCGACCCCCTGAACCTGAAGAACCTGCACTCTCGCAAGGTAGGACTTGAAGCACGCAGAAGGGAAGGAGTTACGGTTGGCTAACACAGTGACAGTTCGCCGGCTTCGCCAATGACAAGGTACGATGATTCGAGCACGAACCGCGAGCTGACTGGCTGAACGATTGCAATCTAATACCACGGGCTAGGCTCTCGGCGTCATTCCCAACGAGAAGGGTGGCGTCCAGGTGATCAGCAAGAAGCCCGCGTCGGCCAACAAGCCCGCCTCGGGCCTGTACACGGTTACCTACGGCGGCAACAAGACCTCGCGCAAGTCAGTGGAATGGGTGGTCCCGGGGAGAATGTGCTGATGACAATGCTGACGGAGTGTCTTGAATAGGACCTACAAGGCCGTTGCCAACCAGGTCGCCAAGAACGGCTACCGCCCCGACCTCCGGCAAGCCGCCATCGCCCGCGCCAGCGCCATTCGGCGGTCGCAGCGAACTCCCAAGCCCGACCCCGTGAAGAAGCCCCGCGGTGCGGCCGCCAAGCGCGCCGCTGCTGCCAAGGAGTAAACGATGCCGGCGCCCGGGGAAGATGGGAAAGATGTATCTCTGTATTGGGCCCGCAACACTCCCGTCGAGAGGGTGTGCATGACAGGAGACGGAATGCGGGGCAACGAGGACAGGACGACGAATTGCTAGAGATTTGCATTCAGGAACGGCCATGGCGTTTGATATCGCTCAAATCAGTCACCCAAAGACGGGGTCTCTCTGCAACGCGGATGGGTGTTGGGGCACAATACATTTCATGGGCGCACAACTGGCCTCCGTGCCAAGCTTGCTGTCGGAATGCGGGAGCCCACTTGTGTGACGACGTGTAGATGATCGCATAAGAAATCGGAAATTCGTCGACTCCATTTACACTGTCATTTGGCATCTGAGGACAGCTTCGGGTCGAGGCATGCTAATGTCCCGGTCTTGCCCGATCAACACCGAGCCGGGCCTCGGAAGCGGAGCATGGGAGACAGCTCTGGGCAACGCATGGTTTTTGCGAAATCACAAGAGCTGCCATCGATTGGAAAGGTAAAATATTACCTTACAGCATCAACATATACGTGTCTTTCGCCGAGCTCTGGCGTTGGTAATAAGCTCATTTGCGTAGGTTATGTCATAACTCTACGGATCCGTACAACGAGTAGGTGAGTCCAAATTCGATTCCCCTTTCAGCTCAAACCTAACCCAATTATATTTCCCGCAGAACGGGACTACCAAATTGAGGAGCTCCGAGTCTCCGACAAATCTCCTTCAACTGCACCACTTCCGCCGCAGGTGACTTGGACACTTGCAGGTGCGTGGTGGGAGAAGTATAAGTTCGGTCCCATGACACTGAGGTATTAAGTGCAGCAGCCGTCATCAGCTGAACTGTACATAACAAATCAACCTCAAGATAAGATCTGGAAAAAACTGACACAGCTGCCATGATGACCATGGCCGAACCCACTACTATCAGAACCTCGCTCGGCGGCATCGCCAAACTCATCGACCACTCGCTGCTGCACCCGACCATGACCGACGCCGAGATCGAAGCGGGCCTGCAAGTCGCCAGACAGCACAACGTCGCCGCGGCGTGTGTCAAGCCTTACAGCGTCCCGGTGGCCCGCCGCATCCTCGCCGGCACCGACGTGCTCGTCTGCGCCGTCATCGGCTTCCCGCACGGCAACTCGACCACAACGACCAAGGTGGCCGAGGCCCGCGAGGCGGTGCTGGCGGGTGCCCACGAGATTGACATGGTGGTCAACGTCGGCAAAGTCCTGGGCGGCGATTGGGAGTACGTGCGCAGCGAGATTAGCACCATCAACGACTGCGTCACGAGCACCCCGGTCAACGGCGGAGGCGACGGTAATGATGACGGCCAGACGGCCATTCTCAAGGTCATCTTTGAGAATGACTTCTTGGAGGAGCAGCAGATTGCGCTGCTCTGCCGGATATGCACCGAGATAGGCGTGGCATACGTCAAGACGTCGACGGGGTATGGGTTTGTGAAGCAGCCCGGCGGCGACGGCAACACCTACTCGTATCAGGGGGCAACGGTGCCGCATCTGAAGCTGATGAGGGCGAGCTGCGGGCCGGACGTGAAGATCAAGGCTGCCGGTGGGGTACGGACGCTTGATGACCTTCTCCGCGTCATGGCGCTGGGTGTGTCGAGAGTCGGGGCCACGGTGACGGTCGCGATTCTGGAAGAGGCCAAGCATAGGGGCATGACTGATGAGCCGACCGAGTTCAGTTGGAAGTAGGAGCATTTGAGGGTAAACATCTGGTATGACTAGTTATAATCGATTGTCTATTTATTGCATCCAGTCTTGGCTGATGGAGGCGCTAGGATTAACATACAGAAGGTTAACCCGACCTCCGGCCTTGGTACCGATAATATTGACTTACCGGCCCCGTACATTTTGATGGCACAACTGGCGGGTCTTGGCATCGAGTGTCGGGTGTTCAGATCGTTGCGTATTCACTTCAGGCAGATACAGTACAATACAGTACACTGGCAGCAGGGACGTAAAACGGAAACAACCGGATGCGGGGCAGCAACCGCGGATCGGCGACCCTCTGCTGCTTGACGCGGTTGCCCCGCCGCAATTACCTTACTTAAACTGCCAAGCTCCTCTCCGGATCAACTATCACGACATCGTGTCCTTCCCCAACATTCTCCTCCCTCGCTCCATTGACCGTCGTCTCTGCTTTCAGGTACATATCACGAGTTTACGACTTCAAGCAAGTCCAAATAAGTAATTCCAAAAGAAAGGGAAACTGACCTAGAGTCGCCGTCAACAGCTACCCCTCCATACCCCGCTTAGATTCGAGCTTCCGTCCCATTGTCAAAATGGTCAAAGCCGGTAGGTGATATGAACTCAGGGCCACTAGTTCTGCCCAATTTACCAGCCTAGCCTCTGACATTTTCTATAGTCGTTGCTGGTGCCTCTGGCGGTATCGGACAGGTGAGTTTGCTCCCCTGGATGACTTGATTGCAGCCTACTCACGCAATCTACCTAGCCGCTGTCGCTGCTCCTGAAGCTCTCGCCGCTCATTAACGAGCTCGCTCTCTACGATGTCGTCAACACACCCGGGGTTGCGGCCGATCTGTCGCACATCTCCTCCACCGCCGTAAGTGAGAGCTACAGAAGATGTCTTAGATCTCACAAGGACTCGTGCTGACACGGCTGGAACAGAAAACTACTGGCTACCTCCCTCCCAACGACGGCGCCAAGACTGCCTTCAAGGATGCCGACATCATCATCATTCCCGCCGGCATTCCCCGTGCGTATATCTTACCATACAGCGCGCTTATAGGCGGCGGACCCTGACAGGCAATTCCAGGCAAGCCCGGCATGACCCGTGACGACCTGTTCAACATCAACGCCGGCATCGTCAAGGGTCTGATTGAGGTGGCCGCCGAGGTCGCCCCCAAGGCCTTCATCCTGGTCATCTCCAACCCGGTCAACTCGACCGTGCCCATTTCGGCTGAGGTGCTCAAGGCCAAGGGCGTCTTCAACCCCCAGCGCCTCTTCGGCGTTACCACACTCGACATTGTCCGCGCCGAAACATTTGTCGCCGAGATCGCCGGCAAGAGCAACCCCCAGGAGCTGACGGTCCCCGTCATTGGTGGCCACTCGGGCGAGACCATCGTCCCGCTGTTCAGCAAGGTGTCGCCGTCCGTCACGATCCCGGACGACAAGTATGATGCGCTCGTCAACCGCGTTCAGTTCGGTGGCGATGAGGTCGTCAAGGCTAAGGACGGTCTCGGCTCTGCCACCCTTTCCATGGCGTATGCCGGCTATCGGTATGTCTCCTGACGAGTTTGACCCCCGATTGCGTTATGCTGACCGGTCCACAGGTTCGCCGAGAAGCTCCTCAAGGCGGCCGCCGGCGTCAAGGGCCTCGTTGAACCCAGCTATGTCTACCTCCCCGGCGTCCCTGGCGGCAAGGAGATCGCAGAGAAGACGGGCGTCGACTTCTTCTCGGTTCCCGTCGAGCTTGGCGTAAGTCTTAGTCTTCACTGATTCCACCCGTTTTGTGTTTGGCATTGCTGACATGAAATCCAGCCCAACGGCGCCGAGAAGGCCGTCGACATCCTCGGCGACATCACCGACAAGGAGAAGACGCTGCTCGAGGCTGCGGTCAAGGGCTTGAAGGGCAATATCCAAAAGGGCGTCGACTTCGCCCACAACCCTCCCCAAAAGTGAATATCTCCCAGTTCGTCATAGCAAACAAATATTCCCCTTTCTTACGTTCATTGATGCGGTTGAGTTTTGCGAGGATTATTGCGGTGGCTTGCAGTTAGTCCGAGCTGTCGTGGCCGGTAGAGCAAAATAGAAATGCTTTTTGCTCGTCGTGTTGTCGAGGCAGGTGGCTGATTTGGTATCTCTATCTCTTAGGTTGTAAGGGGTTACTGGTACGAACGGATATCTCCTAGTGACGGCGTCCCCGAGGCACATGATAGCCAGGGTTGCTGCTGACTCAGTGGGCATGTCATACTGGTTTAAGTACTTTGTGAGTGTTGCTGGTGGTGTCTTGTCCATGACACGACACGTAACCTGTTGACAGAGTAGTGAAGAGGGAGCAAGGAGGTAGCCCGGGTTGATAATGAATAAACCCGCTCGCTCAACCATCACAACCGGTACGGACAAGAAAGGGTACGCCAGAAGCAAGCTTTATTGGGTATCCCCGGAACCAAGCAGAATCTCGCTGCGAAGATTCACTGGTCTAGCCTGCCGCTTTGAACCACTCCCGTGCTAACGCCATACGCCACCATATCTTCCTGCCCCCGCTGAGAATGATATCCCACACAAGCCCAAATCGCCCGGCATTGTACATCCCCCATCAAGCTCCCAGTTACAAGCTTGGGACCAGATTTCATTCTGATCTCCAGTTTACACGCCGGTCTAACGGTATGTACATTAAGTGAGGTTATGTCTGCTCGTCTAGACGGAAAATGATGGCCGCCCCGCCAGAAGCCAAACTTTGGCGCCCGCTCCCCATTGCTTCGATCCGACCAAGCGAACCAGGGCCCGGCCCATGTCCCGTAACAGCACCTCTTGAGACGAGATGCGGGCTGTTCCGTCTGCCTCTTTTCTCACTCTGCCATTTTAGAGAGACAACAGAATCCCAGTTCTAGAGCAAACCCAAGGACTCAGGTCCGCGCGTTCTCGCTGCATGTAGAGCACCGTATAGGTCAACGGACAGACAGGCAGAGCATTTCATGTCTTGGCCCCAGCAGTCTTGATTTGGAACACGGCGCTGGGCAGCTCGCTCGTCTCGGCTTGCACCGTCGCTGTTATCCCTAGTGCCGCGAGCGCGCCGCGGACGATGCCACAGGGGAACCAGAGGAACTTGAACGAGGTTGGTTGTCAGCTATGTACTGCGAGATGGGGTGGGGTGGGGTGTTAAGGGAGGGGGGTGGGGGGAGTACCGGCTGCGCTTGGAGGACGGCCTGGCTCCCTATTTCGGCGCTCATGCGGGAGAAGGGGCGGAAGGAGTTGTCTGTCAAGACGTAGACTCCCTCGAAACGGATTGTCAGTGATGTTAGGACGGCGGGCATAGGAGTAGAGGGAGGACATACCCTATGGTTCGTCTTGAGATTGTCCACCTGTTTCCGGAAGACCAAGGTCCATAGGTCCTTACACAGGAACTTGATCACGTCGAGCGTGTCGTTGAAGCGTGGTCTGTCGCGGGAGAATCTGCCGTGGTGTCAGCCGCCAGTCGACACATCTTCCTCCAACCCGCCCCTGCCCATCTCCCATGGTCAGATTGCCTCTGACGATGACGAAACAGAATTGGAACGGTATTGAAGCCACGCGGCCCACACATACCTCTCCACCAACCCCTGCCCTACACGATACCCAATTCCCTCCAGCCGCCAACGCACCGCCTCCCTCTCCTCCTCCTCATCCAAGACCGTCCCTGTCCCGACCCCCGTTCCCCCGACCGCCGCGCTCCCATTAAGATTACTTCCGGCAGCCATGATCCCCAAACCCGCCCTCCCAGAACTAGAACCAGAACCATCAACAGGCCCCCCAGGACCGGAGCCAGCTATTTCCCCCCCATTGTCACCATCCGCAGTCCCATTTGCCGCCACCAACCCAGCATCCCTCTCATCACGTATTTGCTGCCCTTTCCCCACCCCACCAGCGACGACGTGCAACCCGGCCTCGACCTCGTTCGTGACACGGTACGCCAAGGGCACGAGCTCGATGAGGAGAAAATCCAGGCACGACGACGACAGGAAGCGGGCGGTTGGGTCCGAGGCATTGTAGGGGGGCATTACCGGCTCGAAGGACATTATTTTCCTTTCTTTTTCTTTTCGGTCTTGACTCTTGACTCTTTGACGACGTGCTTATTATTCCTTTAATCCTTATTTGGGGAAGCCTCCTTCCCCGTTTTCTTTCGTTTCGCGCTTCAGACCGTTGGTTGGGTTTTTTTTTTTTGTTTGTTGTTGCTTTGGGAGATGGTTTTGGGGTGATTGGATGTAGAGTAGGCCGATATGGTGTGGTGGTGGTGGTGGTGGTGGTATGTATCCCCCGAGGCGGATAATCTCTTTGGATCTAATGCAGTCGTGGGAGGCGCCCTGGTTTACTTGTTTGAAGAGCGAGGCGTGGGAGCTTGGGACTTGGAGGGGTTGCGACTGTGGGTTGGGAGTTACTGGGGTTCAGCTGAAAGGTTGCGCATTGGTCGCTGGCAATCATTGAAGGACTCTGACTCGAAGACAGGCATCAATATAACCTTGAATTGCTGCGGCAGTCGACGTTGTTCGGGGTGCTAATGGTCAAATTAACATGCCGAGGCTGATGCTTCGATATTTAGTTGAAGATGGGCTTCTGTATGGCGCTACGGAGTACATTGATTGATCGGCCTTGATATGCGCATACCAATATCGTTTTAACCGACACAACTCAGGGGCTGTAAGTCCGCAACCAACTTCACATCAGGGCACTCGATTACTATGTACACTTTGTTGATTTGATAATTCATTGCATTGGTGCTGACAGTCAAACCCAAGACGGGATGTATAGGTCTCCGGAACCAAGGTATCAGGCCCTGCCCTGGAAAAAGCATCAAGATCACAATTCCTTTCCTCCCCGGATTGTTAGGCCCGGGAAACTGCGCCGTTTACACCTGATCTGTGATCACAGTAATGTAGATGAACCCTCCAACGCCCACCAATGCCTCCCCTCCAACCGGAGTGCAAATGCTGCGAGATCATGCCATAAAGAAGAAGAAGCGAACCCATGCAATCGATCCTCCCACGGTGCATGCCCCCTACTCTTAAAGCCGTACCGTAGCCTAGCGGCGTGCTCTCTTAGACGGGGTCCCGTGCTGCTAGCGCGAGACCCAGGAATGTCCGGGGTTGCCATGGTTCGGGCGCTTGGGCGGAGGCGGCTCGTCGTCGCTGTCGTCCAGCGTCAGATCAATAACCTCGTCGGCCGTCCGCTTGTTCGACGACCTGGGGGCGGCAGACGTATCACGCGATGCGACGCTGGTAGGCGTGGCAAGATGTGGCGTGGGCGCGGGCGGCAGACTGGGCGCCGCCGTGCTCCTGCCTCCAGTTCTAGTGATTTCCGAGATCACGATATCATCGTCGTCGACAAAGCTGGCTTCCTGGCGGTTGGGCGTTGCCTGCTTCTTGGCGCCCGGCACGGCCCACTCGCCGTTCGGCTCAATCGTGACCTGCTCAACAGACTCGGGCGTCTGCGTCAGGATGTCCCGCGCGTACCTGTTCCATCTTTAGCGAGGGAATACGGACGGTACAGGAGCTAAACTCACTCGTCGATGGCTAGTTGCTCAAACGGCGTGGGTTTGCTGCAGATGGGACACATCCATTGCGGCCCCTGTTCCTGCAGCTGCAGGTAAGATGTCGCATCAAAACATTGGATATGGTTACAGCTGACGCCACGACACGGCAACTGGAGCCTCATGTAAGAAAGAGGACACTTAAGGCTCAGATTCTGCGACGTTGCGACTACGTCGTCGTCATTGGCCTTTTTGGTTACTGGAATATGTTAGTGCTCAGCGATCACAGAACTGAAGCAAGTGAGAACTCACTTTCGGCAAAGACGGATTCTTTGCGAATCTTCTTCTGGATCTGCAAAACCAGTGTCTCGACGGGCACGGATTTGCAGACGATCAAGCTGAGGTAGAACTTCTGCGTAAAGCTGTCAGCAAACCATCTGGCCAGCCCTTCCCATTCCGTACCTCTAAGCCCTTCTTCTGGGACGCGCCGCCTACCTTCTGAGTCAGGGCGTAGGTGAGCTCCACGTTGTTGGTGTAGCTGGCAGGCCGCAGGCGCAACGAGTCCGTGATGTCAACCGGTCTAGTAGACCCGGGTTTGTTCTTCAGGCCCCGAAGATTCGCCTTGATGTCCCCGCCGTTCACCTTCAGTTCGCACTGGTACGGGAATGCGATCTCTTGGACTCCGGAATTTCCGGCTGCGCAGAAAACCATGACTCGCATGGTCCGGTCCGAAAGGCACAGCTGCACAGCCGGCTGATCCTGTACCCTCACCGAGATGCGCTCCGAGTTGCGGTGCGCCGTCATGACTGACGCTGGTCAGCCGAGTAGTCGTGGAGCTGAGAAGTCGGCATGTGTTTGACGCACCTTCCAGAGTCTTGACATCGCCGATCTGGTATTTCATCTCGTAGAACGGACTGGGTTTGTAAGTAATAGTCGGCGCGAGCAGCCCGGCATTCGGGCGCGACCGAGCTGCTGGCACCCCTGGGGACGCTTGATAAGGAGCGGGCGCTGCATTGGACGATCTCAGCCCGTTGAGGCCGCCGTAGCCGGGTGTGTTGTAAGAGCCCATGGCATAGTTGGGAGGAGTATAATCCCGTGCGGCCTGTGATAAGTAGGAGGATTGAGGTAATGGCTGTGACCGGATGGCGACTGGGCCCGGCGGTTGTGGTTGAGAGTGCGACTGCGGTTGAGTCTGATTGACGAGTGAGGGTCCCACATAAATCGGTGCCCTCTTCACTATGCTCTCGCGAATTTCCTGTAGCCGTTCCCAGTCCCGAGAGTCGCTACATGAGTTGATTTCTGGATGATGACTGTAAGCCATGAGGTAACTGGATGGTGTGCGCTGTCGAGCAGGGTTGGGTGAGACGGTAAGGCAGCGGAAGAATGGAAGCTGGGGAAAATGAACTCGAGAGAGAGGAAACCACCAAAGGCAGAGAAAAGAAGCCAGGTGATGTGTGCCTTTGACTCCAATCAATGAACCTGCCAAAGAAGTCGTACTTACGCTGGATGATTCGTCTCTGCAAGTCGCTTTTGTTTCCAGTCTTTGGGATGCCATTCACGGCGCAGATGGACTGAAGGACGGCCTTTGAAATGGCCGGTACTTGGATAGTTCGGATGAGGCTTTGCACCTCTGCCGATTTATCGCCCATGGCCTAGAAACCAGAAACCGATAGCTGGTAAGAAATCCCGAGTTAATCGTCTGAGCTAAAATCTTGCTCAAATTATTCCTTGTGGTCAGGAAGGAGCGAAACGGCCAAAGCTCCGGGGTGCTGCCCGATGAAGCCTCGCTGCTGCAAGTGCAGCTTCAAGTTCTGTGTTTCGATCTGCGGCCTTCGTGGGCTCACTGGTGCACGCAGCCACCCAGGTCCAAGATCTTATGAGACCCGCCTATAGCAATTCCGTGTTTGAAGAGAGTGCTGGAGTGGTGGCCAGAGCCTTCCCTTTCTCCCCTGGAGCTCGTGGGCTTCATATATATCATGGGTCTGTCGTCGACGAAAAGGCGGTGGTTTGGGGCAAAATTGCTCTTGCCTGTGCAGTGGCCTGCTGCCGGCTCGGAGAACTGGGTGGGACAAGTACCGGTACTAAACGCTGGCAGGGTTTGGCAGGACGCTTGGCAAATTTGGCTGGTGGCAGCAGAAGAAAAGCTGGGATCGAGTTCCTGTGTTATGTTACTCAAGTCTCAGTACTTCACGTCCATTGCTTAGGTCCAGACCAAAAAAATCAACCAGTGGCCTTCTCATGCTCGTGGTGTATCCGTGCTGAATTTCACCCCGTTTCTCAGGCTGACTTCAAGCGCGATATTCTTCCTATTGTTTCTCAAACTCGATCCATCCACACAGCTCATACCACAAAAATGGCGAAAAGCGCGAGGTCAAGTGTCATCAAGGCGAACAACCGGCGCCTCAAGCAGAATGTGTTTGGGCCAGTCGAGGCAGCGCGGGCGGAGCGCCTCTCTGCGAAGCTCCTATCGATCGCAGCTGAACCCAAGCCACAGAAGGATGTTGAGATGAACGAGGGCAAGTTTCCATCCTGGACGACCACGATGGCCTATACTAAACTTCTTGCAGAGCCTGCGGATGAGGCCAAGTCGGCCGCTGCAAAGGAGGACAGTAAGTTTCTTTTGGCAATGGAAGACGCGGGAACATGGTCCCTGACATTACACAGCAGCCATGGAGGTGGAGGATGCTAAGCCGGCGAGCAAGAAGCCGAGCAGCAAGAGGAAAGTCGAGAAGCGGAGAGGCAAGAAGTCGTCAATTGTCTTCCCGATGCGAGGGCCCAAGCGGAACAAGAAATGAGGGACCCGTGGCTTGGTTTGGACGAAAGAAAGTGTGAGCGGCTACGCCATGCAGAGAGATGTGTTTGCCGGGCTCGACCTCGACGCCGTCAAGGCCCAAACAGAGGCTGGGCCAACATTGTTTGGGCGAAGGCGAGAAAGGAGCAACTTCTTGTAGTGCTCAGGTACTACGGAGTACCATCTTGAAGATTTGAGAGTTGTGTTAGCCCTTTATTACCGTTATGTCGGGCAGGAGAAGGAAAAGGTATGGTTGACGGAGCCCAGGTTTGGCGGGGATGGGAGAACAGAACCGGGAACTCTACTGAAAGCTGAGGTTATCATACCTTACCTCAATTTGGACTGTATCTTGAATATCTTGACAGAGCAGACCGAGCACGCAGAGAGATTCTTGCGACCTCAACTTCGATTATGGCCTGCTCCTTTCCATTGTTACCGTACTCCGTATCTTTTTAAGACCGGGACTCGGTACGGTAACGAGCTCCTCCGGTCTGTGGGGCCCAGTCCAGGAACCTTGTCTTGGCTTCCGATCCCACGGAAATCCATCCAATCAATACCCAAGTCTGCAATGAGACTCCAGACCTCGAGTTCAGGAGGGTTGAAGATGGTAAGAACCTTGGGCGCATTTTGCCTATCTGGTGCCGTTGAGATATTCCGGGTTTCTTGTCATCCTGAACATGGCGTTTGAGTCAGACTGAATCTTTCTTTTCGCCTTTTCCCCCCCCAATCTGCACCAATCCAGTCCCATCGAGATGACGGCGCGTCTTCGTCGCGATGGGACCCTGAGCTCTGTGTTGCTACTTGCGGCAAACCTCCTGATCCCGGCCGCCATCTTCGTGTTTGCTACCGGCTTCTTTCCATTCAAGCCGCTGCTTCCCGGGCTGGCCAGTTATGATGCCGTGACCGAGTACGGCGAACCCCCGGCGGCGCCCTTCGACAAACTCGTCTTCATTGTGATCGATGCCCTGCGAAGGTACTCTGGACAATCCGTAGCCTGTCGCATAACCCTGTACTAACCACGCGGTGCATCGAAATAGTGACTTCGTCTACACTGCAGACAGTGGCTTCGAGTTCACGCAATCGTAGGTTCCCCTCCACCGGCATCTTCTGTCAGCGCTCGCAACTGACGGCCTTCCACAGGCTGATCCGCGATGGCGCTGCCCTCCCCTTCACGGCGCACGCCACCTCGCCGACCGTCACAATGCCCCGGCTCAAGGCCATAACCACCGGCTCCATCCCCTCTTTCCTGGACGTCGTTCTCAATCTCGACGAAGGAGACGAGAGCTCAAGCCTGGCGTCGCAGGACACATGGCTGGCGCAGATGCAGGCCAAGGGCACGGGGAAGCTGGTCATGTACGGTGATGATACGTGGCTGAAGCTGTTTCCCGGGACATTTGATCGTGCCGAGGGTACAACGAGCTTCTTCGTCTCGGTGAGCATGGTTCGTTCAACCAGGTAGAGGAGACAGCGGGACTGACGGTACAAGGACTTCACCGAGGTGGACAACAACGTCACGCGGCACATCTCGGCCGAGCTCAAGAGGAATGACTGGAACATTATGATTCTTCACTACCTCGGGCTGGATCACATCGGCCATAAGGGTGGGCCGAGAAGGTAGATAGACAACCCACCGAGAGCTCTGAGAACCCTGCTGACCCTGACAGTCCTCACATGGTTGCGAAGCAGCGAGAAATGGATGGTATCATCCGCCAGATCTATGCCGCTATCGAGTCCGAGGATCATCTCCGTTCTACCCTATTTGTGTTTTGTGGTGACCACGGCATGAATGACGCCGGGAACCATGGCGCCTCTTCACCAGGAGAGACCTCGCCAGCGCTGGTGTTCATGTCCCCAAAGCTCCGAGACCTGAAGCGCAACTTGCAGTCACCACTGCCGGAAAGTGAGGACTTCCAGTATTACAGCACCGTGGAGCAGTCTGATCTGGCCCCAACACTCGCTGCTTTACTGGGCTTTCCTGTTCCCAAAAATAACGTGGGCGCCCTCATTCCCGACTTTCTACCCTTCTGGTCAAACAGTAAGCTCGATGATTTGGTATCCGCAGGGCGTTGTTGACGCTTGTGTAGAGAAAGATCAAATCCAGCTCCTGATGCGTAATGCCCGCCAGATTCTCGACATCGTTCTCGCAGCCTTTGGCAAGGAGATCCTAGACTCGGAGTCGGATGCTGGCACACTCACAAAGTCCAAGGCTGATTATCAGGAGCTCGCGCATGGCTGGAGGCACCTAGTCGGCAAGTACCGCCAAAATGCTGGCTGCGAGGACTGTTCAGAGTTGACGGCCTCAATTATTGAGGTATGTCTCAGTCACTGCGAGTTTGTATGGATACTGACAGTTGCGCAGTGGCTACGACATGCACAAAGCGTCCTGAGCAGCATGGCCAGCAATTATGACATGTCCAGGCTCTTTCTGGGACAGGCTGCTGCCGTGCTGGCCCTGATCGCCGCTGTAATCGCCGCCGAGCGTTGCGCCAATGATCGCGCTGTGTCTTTCATTCCTCTTTCCGGTATCAGCCTCGCCTACGGTGTGATGATGTTCGCAAGCAGTTACGTCGAAGAAGAACACCACTTCTGGTATTGGGCAACGACCGCCTGGTTCGCTTACCTCGGTGTCAGGGAGTTCAAGCGGTGCGCACTTTTCCCTTAGCCAGTTACTCACGACTAACTCTTTCTCAGGGGCACCAGATCAGCCGCACTTAACGTACTCTCAACCACCGCCCTGCTCCTCGCCACGCGCGTCATCAGGAGCTGGAACCAGACCGGCCAAAAGTTCGCCGGAGATCCAGACATCGTCAAAACGTACCTCCAGACAAGCCCGGTGCTACTCTGGTGCTTCATCGGCGCTACCTACCTCTGGGTTCACCAGAACCTAATTTACGGTCTCAGCGGGCTGCCAATCTGGTTTAGCTTCGCAGCCGCAACCGGTCTGATTCTCGCCGCCTTCACCTTCAAAGTGGCATTTACCCTTGAAGACGCCCCCGAGCTGGTGACCGAGTTCACCCGCCGCTTGCTCAATCTCAACTTCACTGAAGGGACCTCCCTCATCGCTCGGGCCCGCGCAGTCTTCATCGGCATTGTCCTGCTGGCCGTGCTGACAGTCATTTTCATCCTCGTCCGTCGACGCATCTCCTTGGGTCAGAGCGGTATGACCTACTTCCCTCCCGCCTCATACTTCTACCCGCCTCCATGTTTTTAAACCGTAGGACTAGACTAACATACCTTAACTGACCAGGTCCATCAACCCTCTTCACCCTCTACACCCTCCTAGCCATAACCCAGTCCCGCTCGACCAACATCCCCCTCTACCTGCTCTTCAACATCCAGCACCGTATTTTGTCGTTCCTAGCGGATGACAACAACGACGGTAATGAGAAGCAAAATGATAGTTTGTCACCCATCGAAGTAAGCACCACGACCCTCCTCCTACAGCATGCCGCATTCTTCGCCCTGGGCGGCTCCAACTCGATTGCGTCGGTCGACCTCTCGAGTGCGTACAACGGCGTGGCAAGCTACGATATGGGCGCCGTCGGGGTACTTACGTTTGTGGGGAACTGGGCGGGGAGTATCTGGTGGAGCTGGGCGGGAGTTTTGTTACTCCTGTCCAATAGGGAGAAGGGCTTGATGAGGAGGCCGGCAGCAGAGAGGGAGGAGTTGTGGAAGAGCCATGTGGCGGCGCTGACTGTGTTTGTGGCGGCGAGCGTGGCAACTGTCATGGCGGCCTGTACGGCGCTGAGGACGCATCTGTTCGTGTGGACTGTGTTTTCGCCAAAGTATTTGTATTGCGTGGCCTGGAGTCTGGGGCAGCATTTGATGGTGGATGTTGGGGTGGGTGGGTTGGTGTATTGGCTTGGGGTCATAGAGGGGAAGTAGAAGGGGGTTGGACGTCAGCAGAAGGGACTAATGATTGATAGATGAGCAGAAGACAGATGGCATGGTGAAATGCAAGGAAGGATAGTATCGTGTTTCATATCGCTCATACCCAGACAGAAAAACCTGCACAAACCTCAGAGATCCTCACATAACGGAAGCGAAAGATTCCTCCCTCGACCGCCCGCCCAACCTATCCCGTGTCTACACGTACACCTACACCCAAAAGCCATTTACAACTCCTCCTCCTCCGACAACAGCTCACTAACCAGACTCTGCTCCGTCGACCTGTGCACCACAGTCCCCCCATCGTCATCATCATCATCCTCTTCCTCCTCCTTGATTTTCACGTCATACTGCACAACCGTCCTCTCCTCCTTCTCCTCCTCCTCCCCTTCCTCCTCCTCCTCCTCCTCCTCGACAGGAGCGGCACCACTAACAACAGAAGCAGCACCGCCGGTAGCGACAGACGCCGCGCCCACAGAACTCGCCCGGCTCACACTCCTTCTGTACTTGCTGCCACCACCACCACCGCCGAGCAGACCCTCACCAGCAGTAGCAGCGGAGGCATCGAGGGCATTGACAATCTTGCCGAGGCTGACGTGGATCTTGTACAGCGCGTTGCGGCCCGTGGCGTCGGAGAGTAATTGGTTGTCGACGGCCTCGCGGACGGCGGCGCACACCTCCCGGGTCTTGGGTTCGGATGATGCCGGGGAGACATACAGCTTGCCGAGGAGGGCGGCGATGATTTTCTTCTCTTCTTCTGTTCAGAGCAAGGCGGTTAATTACTCATCCCATTGGCCCTGTGTAGGGTGGGATGTGGAAGGGGAGGCGGAGTGGTGAAGGGGGGAAAGGGTGTTTCTTACTCGGTACATTCCCGCCGAGCCGTTCGAGTATATCCCTCGCCAAGTCCAGATGCACATCGGCATTAACATGCTTCTCGCCTACGCCCGCGGGCCCGCCGGTCGCCGGCGAATAGCACTTTCTCGGGTCGGTCCAGTCGACGAGGCACGCGGCGACGGTCGACAGCGAGACCATCTCGTCGTCGATGTCCGCGTCGTCGTCGTCGAACCCCGCGCGCACATTGTACAAAGTGTGCAGCGCGTCGAGCGCGACGGACCGCATCAGATCCTGATTCTCGGGGCGCGCGTAGCAGAAGACGGGCAAAAAGTAGTTGAGTGCCTGGCGCACGCTCTGGTTGCCGGCCGACGCGGGCTCAAAGTAGGCGATGACGAGCGTCTTGAGCAGCTCGGCCGACACGTCGTAGTCGCTGACGACGCGGCCCAGGAGAAGTTTGGAGGCGGCGACGGTGGCGGCGGCTTGGACTTCGGGGTGTTTGGCGCCTGAGCGGAGGGCTTTGATGTACACTTTGAGGAGCGTCGGGTTGGACGAGAGGAGTTGCGCGCCGTGGACGTTGAGGATGTCGGTGAGGATGTGCAAGGCGGTGATCTGGAGGGTCGTGTGGCCCTTGCTGAAGAAATGCATGAAGAGCGTGAGGTTTTCTTCGGCGAGGGAGCGGTCCAACAGGGAGCAGAGGCCGAGACAGACAAGGCCGCGCTCGCGGACGGGGGCTTCGTGGCTGCGGACGGCAGGGACCACGAGATTGTTGAGCATGCCGACCAGGTGCTCGTTTTGTTGCAGGTCGCCTGACACGTTGGAGAGCATGCACTGCACGATGTGCAGGCACTTCATGTTGATCAGGATTTCCTTCATGGCCTTGGCAGCAGCCTCTTCCTCGGACAGCTCGGGAGTCTTACTCTTGCCACCCTTGGTCGGGGTGCTGTCGCCGCTGACTTCGGATCGGGCCGAGTGAAAGCTCTCGTCGTCGTTTTCCGGTACCTCATCCACAATGGTGTCGTGGACATCGGCGACTGCCTCGAGAACGATGCTGCAGAATTCCTTCTCGCCAGCCGCATCTGGGGCGCAGATATCCCGGAGTACAGCAACCGTGAGCTTCGTGGCGTCTTCTGGAAGCTCTGGAATGGACAGGGTTTGGCGGAGAAGTGAAAACATCTTGCGGCGGCCGACCTCGTCCGAGTAGTCGAGGGTGAGGGCAATATGGAGCAGCTGCTCTACTATGAACTCCTGCTCTGCCGTGTCCCCCTCTTCGTCCTCGTCCACTCCTTGCTCCTCGAGCCTCTTGATGGCGTCAATCAGGACTTTGATGTAGCGCTCCAGGTAGAATGCCACCTTTGTAACTTCGGGCAGCTTGTCCTCGGCGAGCGACTCGAACTTGCCGTCGCCCTCATTCCGGCAGAAGTCGTTGAAGGTCCGGACGACAAAGACAGATTCGGCGCTCAGGGTCTCAAAGAAAGCTTCGTCAAAGACCATGGCCTCTCGGTAGTCCGGACGACCCTCCCAGAAGCCCTTCATGGCCTCGAGGGCGACACCGTTCTCGCCGCCTGAGTTCACCACGTCGATACGCTCCAACAGCTCCAGTAGGGCATCGAGGTTGGGAGGCGACACCTCAGCCGGCTGGCCAGTCTCGGCGGGAGGCGGAGTGCCGGCACAGTCCTCGATCCAGCGCTCGCGGAAGAGGCGGCCAGCTGCCTTGCGAACGTTCTCATCTCGGTCCCGCAGTCCCCAGCGCAACAGCTTCTCCCTCATGGACAGCGAGAGGTGGCGGAAGTCGCCCAAGGCAGGCAGCAGGCGAGAGTAGACAGCACGCCGTGTTGCCGCATCCTGATCCCTTGCTCTCTCCAGGAGGAATGGAAGGGTGTTTGGGAGGATCGGCAGGTTGACCAGCAGCTGTTTCCTGACATCGGCGCTGGGATCGTTCTGTAGCACCTCGACCAGCTTCTCCAACAGACCACTGGTCGCGTCGTCCTCGCTGTTGTCCGAATCCGGCTCAGCCTCGATGGGGTTGCCGGCCAGCCGCCCCAGTCCCAGCACGGCCTGGGCGCGCACCATGGCCTCCTTGTCGCGGATCCTCTTCAACAAGCCGGACCGCAGCTTCTGAAACAATTCATCATCGATGGCGTCGAGCGAGTTGATGATGTGCGAGATGAGCTGGGTCGCGCGGTAGCGCACAAACTTGTCTTTGGCGGCCAGCAGGGGCAGGACGGTCTCGATCAGGAGGGTGGTCAGGCGGGTGCCGGGGGTCTCGGGCATGGTGCTAGCATCCTCGTCCGGCTCACCGACGGCCTCGTTGTCCTTGTCGACGGCGTGGCGCAGGAACAGGCCGATGAAGCGGATCGTCTTCTCGCCGACGCCCTCGCTCTTCTTGATGGGCATGACGCGTATCACGCAGCGCACAAACTCGGCGTTGAAGTCGTCTTCGTCAAAGTCGGAGGCGGCAGCGGCGGTTGATTTTTTGGTCGAGGTCGGCTCGTAGCAGCATGCTTCCTGGATCTTGCGCAGCGTCACGGCCAGCTTGCGGTGCGATGCTGTTGTCCGCTGGGCCTCGCGAAATACCGCGGCGATTTGGGCGCGCAGGGCATTGTCGGGTGTCTCGGGGGGGTTGTCGGTATTTGCTGTGGAGGAGGCGCGCGACACCGTCGACGCGCGTGATGCACTGGCTGAGGATTTGGTCGGGACCCCCGCCGAGGACCGGGTCGACCTCGTCGAGGCTCTCGCGGGCATGGCGCCGGCTGTCTATTGGTTTGTTGAGTATGTGTCTGGGTTAGTAAGGCCGGGTATCGAGCCACATCTGCGTCTGGTGGACTGGCGCATGCAAATTGCAGGTTGTCTTGACCCAGGAGTGTGGGTTTGGCAGGATGAAGGTCTCCCTGTTCTGTTTGTTTACTGGTTTGATGCCTATTTCGGTTAGCGCTGGAGAATTGGAGGGGTTCAGGGCCCTGTCGAAGTCCCGCCCCACTATACGATAAGCGGCAAGCTTATCGTCTCTTGTCCAAGGATTTTTTCTGCCATTGAACAGTGGAGGAGCTCAGACCAAGCTTCACAATTAACGGTACGAACGACCACACACCCCATCAACGACAATGGGGAACGATAAGAAGCGCCCGCGCGAGGCTGAGGAGACGCCTGTCGGAACAGAGGATGGCTCTGCGCAGACCTTCAACCCGCCATCCAAGAAGGCGCGCGTCGAATCGCGAAAACAGCTCTTTGTCCGGTCGCTGCCTCCGACTGCCACCAGCGAGTCCCTGACCGACTTCTTCTCGCAGCACTACCCTGTCAAGCACGCCACGGTTGTGCTCGACCCAAAGACCAAGACGTCGCGAGGATACGGCTTTGTGTCGTTTGCCGACCCCGAGGATGCCATTGAGGCCAAGGAGAAACTCAACAACGAGCTGTTCGATGGCCGCCGCCTAAAGCTCGACATTGCCCAGCCACGCCATCGCGATGTTGCTAAGACTGGTCCTGAGGTTGTTTCCAAGGCCGTCGAGGAGAAGCGGAAACGGGAGGCCGAACTGCAAGAGGCAAAGAGACCGCCCAAGCTGATCATTCGAAACTTGCCCTGGAGCATCAAGACCTCGGACCAATTGGCAAGACTATTTCAGAGCTTTGGCAAGGTCAAGTTTGCCGACCTGCCAAACGACAAAGGCAAGCTAGCTGGTTTTGGCTTTGTCACGCTCCGGGGGAAGAAAAATGCCGAAAAGGCCATGGAGGCTATCAACGGGAAGGTTGTTGATGGTCGGACACTGGCAGTAGACTGGGCGGTGGACAAGCGAACTTGGGAGCACTTGAAGGGTGGTGCAGAAGATGGCGGGGGCAAGAACAAGAGCCCCAAGGCCAAGAAGCCGGCAAAAGAAGAGGAGGACGAGGATGAGGATGGGGACCCAAACATGACCCAAGAAGACCGGGATTTGGCCAACTTCTTCAAGAACTACGGCGACAACCTGGAAGAAGAGGAGGAGGAGGAGGAGGAGGAGAGTGGAAGTGGTGCAGAAGATGAGGACGAAGAACCTGACGAAGATACGGGTGAGGGCGACGAGTCCCAGCCGTCTGATGTATCTGATGACGACGAGGAAAAGCCCAAGAATCGAATGACGGACAACTCGACAACCCTCTTCATCCGCAACCTTCCTTACACAGCGACCGACGATACACTTAAAGCCCACTTCTCACAGTTTGGCGCCGTGAGATATGCCAGAGTGGTCATGGATCGCGCTACGGATAGACCAGCCGGTACAGGGTTTGTGTGCTTCTTCAATCTGGCCGACAGCCAGGCCTGCTTGAAGGGGGCACCCCGCCATCACCCGCCTCCGACGCTAGCCAAACATTCCGTTCTTCAGGACGAGACAGCCGACCCGGAAGGCAAATACACCCTCGACGGCCGCATCCTCCAGGTCACCCAGGCTGTGTCCAAGGATGAAGCTACGCGCCTCGCCGAAACCGGCGCCGGCAAGCGCAAAGAAAAGGACAAGAGGCGACTCTTCCTCCTGTCCGAAGGCGCCATTACCAAGAACTCGCCGCTCTACAACAAACTCACCCCAACCGAAATCAGAATGCGCGAAGCCAGCGCCAAGCAGCGCAAGAAACTCATCGAGTCCAACCCGGCCCTGCATCTCAGCCTCACCCGCCTCGCGATCCGCAACATCCCGCACAACCTCGGCTCCAAGGACCTCAAGCAACTCGCCCGCCTAGCCGTCGTCGGTTTCGCCAAGGACGTCAAGGAGGGCCGCCGGCAGCCGCTCTCCAAGGAGGAAAACACACGCGGAGGCGAGGCCGACAGGGAAGCAGAGCGTCGCAGGAAGGAGAAGGGCAAGGGCGTGGTGCGCCAGGCCAAGATCGTCTTCGAGACCACGCAGGGTTCCAAGGTGGACGAGCGGACGGGCGGCGGCAAGTCGCGCGGCTATGGTTTCATCGAGTACTCGTCGCACCGCTGGGCGCTCATGGGCCTGCGCTACCTGAATGGGCACGCGCTCAAGAACGAGGCCGGCAAGACGCAGCGGTTGATTGTCGAGTTTGCCATTGAAAACGCCAACGTCGTACAGAGGCGGCGGCAGCAGGAGGAGAAGTCGCGGATGGCTAAGGAGGAGAGGGCTGTTGGCGGGGGAAAGGGGAAGTGGAGAGGGAAGGAGAAGGAGGCGGGTAAGGGACTGGGGAAGGCGAAGGGGAAGGAGAAGGGGTGGAAGAAGGACGAGGACGGCAATGATAGGAATGGGGCGAAGGCGGGGAAGGAAGGGGCGAAGGACGATGTCGCGCCTACTAAGCAGGGCAAGAAGAAGGCGGAGGAGAAACTCGTCATGAGGACCAAGATCATCGCGAGGAAGCGCATGATGCGCAAGAAGAAGGCGGTGATGCGGGGGAAGAAATAGGGGCAAGCCGGTGTTGTGGGTCCAAGAGCGTGTTTTGACGCAGCAACGCTTCTAGCGCTATGTAATTAGGTATTCCGCTTGCTCGACTTTGCTTTCTCATAACTGTCGATACTGCAAAGGCCGATGGAGCGAGGAGTAAGCTAGAACCTCCCCTTGCGTCCGAAGCCAAAGGCCCACTCAACCACGTCATTTGCCTCTGCCAACCAACAGCCGACTCGGAAGCTTGCGCAAGACACGGCTTTGAGGAGATCGGCTTCCATCTAGCGAAGGTTGAGAGTCATTCTGTCCCTTGTTTATATACATGCAGCTACTGTCAACGGCATGTACGGTTGAGAGAATGAAACAAACTCGAAAATCAATGACAGAGCGGTGTCGACCACTGAGTGGAGAGATTTGACCAGATATTCAATGTTTGTCTCTTTCATTTCCAGAACCATCCTCCCTCCTTTCTCTGTTCCTTGAGCTCCTCGGTTGTCTCCTTGTCCCGCCTGGTGGTCCTATCTTCCTCAGCCTTGTCCCAGTGCTCGGAACGTCCCATGGAGCTGTACACCTGTCTCATAACAACACGGCCATCTTTGTCAGTCCAGGTAGTCTCGGTCTTGGAGTGCGTGTTGCCATGCTTGTCGACGAAATCCCTCTTCGTAGTCTTTTTCGTGATGCCGTCTTGAACAACTTCAGTGGTTTCAGTCTTTGGTGGCGACGCTGGTTTGGGTTCGGGCAGACTGTCAGTGCGCCAGGCGTCGGAGAAAGACTTGAAGAAATTGGATAGTGAACGTTCAGACTCCTGGAAGGCCGATTGAACGACCGAGTACAGGTCGTTCTCCGTCTCCGGTGCGCTGTTCCTCTTCTCCTTGGCAGTGTCGTCCTTGCCTCGAGGCTTTTCATCCTCCCAAACAGCCCGTGGCAGCGTCTTGATATCCTCCAGCACCTCCCCCAATGTGCGCACAACCTCGCCGATTCCGTCAAAGAACGACAGCCCCTTCTGCTGTGCTGCATCCCTCCACGCATCCGCCTCTCTCTCAGCCTCGCGCCGCGCCTCTTCCACAGCCCGTCTGCCCTCCCCAACAAGCTCCTCCCACACCCGACCAACCTCCCTCGCCCGCTGTTCCTCGGCCCGCCGCCGCTCAGCCCACTCCCCCATCGTCCGCGGCGAAGAGTACCCCAGCCCGGGATCATACACGGGAAACAAGACTTCAGTCAGCCCCTGACGCCGCATGCGCTCCAACCAAGCCATCTCCCTTAGACCGGGGAACGGGAATCCAACCATGCCATGGTGGTGGTGATGATGAGGCAACCCAGGAAACCCTCCGAGAAGAAGCCCTCCAAAGCCAAACCTACCATTGCCCCATCCCAACTCGTGCCACAACCCCTCCTCCCCACTCTCCTCCCTCTCCCTCGAAGCCGCCCGCAAATCAAGCAGCCCCAACCCGGAACTCACGCGCATCAGATCCTCAAACGCGTCCAGCCACCCGGCACCACCGCCATACTCTCCAGCTTCTCCTCCCGCAGGCGTGGGTTGCCAACCACCACATTCCAGCTGCAGCCTAAGCGGCGAGTAAGCCGACCGGGTCACAAAGAGCCGCCAGGCGACGGCGGCTTCCGGGGCGGTAGCGCCACCCTGGCGGAGGAGGTCCAGGCGAGACTCGAGGTGTTGGTCGGCGGGGGAGAGCATTGACGTTGTCAAATCTGCGGTGGTGGTTATGTCTCCCGAGTAGTTGGTTGTGGTGGTGGTGCCGGCTGTGGTGTCCCTGGTGGTCGGTTGAGAGTTGGACGGCGGGGAGGAAGGGTTCTGTTGCGATGAAGGGGAGAGAGGGCTGCGGGAAAAGCTGGTGATGGTGTTGATGCCGGCGTGGATGTTGGCGTCGACGTGGTGTTTGAAGCGGATGAAAGGGTTGCTGTTGTTGTTGCTGTTGTCGTTGTCTTCGTCACGCATTGTTTTGAGATTTTCCCTCTTTTTCTGTTCAATTGGCTTTGAATTCGCTGCCGGGCGTTGATGAAAACGCCGTTTCGATGATCAACACGGGCCGTACAGTTGGTCGTGATTGGCGATGACGATGGAAAATGGCGAGATCGTGACACCTTTCCCGCAGGGCTTGGCGCGTTATGGACCCCCTGGCCCGGCCCCACAGTGGATCGTGCTTTGTCCACGAGATGCTTCTACAAGTACATCTCGTTAGGTAAGTTCCTTCCCAAGTTGATGCCGTTAGGTAACGGCGACCGTTCTGGAAGCTGGTATGGAGCGGCATTCAGCAACCGGGTCCTTGGTCTCGTCATCTTGGGCCAGAGCCTTTGTCACGAGGACGGCATGAATCTTGATGCCCTGGATCCTGCATTCCAGGGGTTTCAGATGGCATTTGATCTAGGTATATTTAACTCAACGTATTCTCTCCTGGAGAAACTGCTTGCCTTTGTGTCATTGCAATCAGCCTGCGAAAATACTCTTTTGATGTCCCGTACTAGTCAATCATAACTTGGTTAATCACAATGGCGGCAGCACAATTCCAGCCCACTCAGGCACCGGCAGCGGAACCCGCGCCAAGCCCGGATGCCGACGCTATCCTCGGCCTCACATCTTACAGCCGCGCCGACTTTGAACTGCCCGTCGTCACGGTGCACCCCAGCCAGCACGATGCTGTACGGTCGTCCATCTTGCAGCCATTCGGCCAGGCTCGCGAGTTTGACCTCGGTGTGCTCGGATGCCTCCCCTTTGAGATAGTGTCGCTCATCTGCCTCGAACTCGACGTGAGCTCGGCCTTCCGATTCAGCCATGTCAACCGGAGCACCCGCGAGGTCCTCGCTTCCATCCGCAAGTTCCACCATATCAGCACCCACGCGCTCGAGTGTCTCAGTGTGCTCCTGCGGACGGGCCTCGCGTCCCGGGTAGGCATACTGGAGCTGTACTCCGCCCTGACGACCCCGAACTGCTCCCTGTGCAGCTCCTTTGGCGGGTTCTTCTTCTTGCCCACCGCAACGCGTTGCTGCCTTACCTGCATCGCTTCGGCGCCGCAGATGCAAGTCGCTTACCTTAGCCGGTTGGCCGACGCGACAGGTGTTTCATCGGCCGAGCTCGAGAGGCGGCTCCCCGTGCTGCACACACTGCCCGACAGTCGCCGGCGCATCGTGGCGGTGCAGCAGGCACTCGAGGTGCTGCGCGAAAACGGCGAGCAGGACCCGGAGGTGGCCGTCGGCCGGTGGCCCGACTCGCTGACGCTGCGGTTCCAGGCGGCCACGAGCCTGCCGTACCTCGACCGGGCGACGGGCGAGGCTCAATCAGGCGTCTCGTGCAAGGGATGCCAGCTCGCATTTGAGGAAGACTTCTCCGACAACCACTTGGAGCTCCGGGACCGTTTTTATTCGAGGGAAGCATTCCTGCCGCACTTTGAGGAGTGTCTGCCTGCCCAGAAGCTGTGGGTCTCGAGCCGGGAGGGTACCGCTCCCGCGGAGGAGCCCCGGTGGGTGGGACTCGGCAGGACATTCACGGGGCCATGTGGGCGGCGTCGTTCTTCTGTTCACTCAAATCATTCGGTTCACTCAAATCATTGATTGAAAGTGCTAATTGTGAAGGAGAGCAAACACGGGGAAGCTTTGGAAAAGGGACCGGAAATCAAAAAGTTTCTGGATTTGCGGGCAGAATTGGGTAACGTTAACTGGATTGGGAACAACATGGGTCGGGGAAAAAGTTTCCTAAGGTACAGCAGCGGGCTGTGAGCTGTCTGCTTTCTTGTATCATAACTTGCTTTAATGTTTCTTCCGCCAGAATACAACAATGTTGGCCGCTGCACTCTCGTATTGTAAATGTCGAATTGTTTGTTGATTTATTAACTGGAATAATCCAGGTCCAGGGGCATCAGAACCTTGCGTCACCAAGGTCATCTGGCGGGCTGGACCGCGCCCCTGTTTCCCGGACCCAACAGCAGTTCTGCAAGTTACATATGTATGTAGTCAGAGCCTGATGAGTGGGATGCGTGCGGTCACAGGTTGTGGTGATGATTCGACCCTTGAAAGTTAGGTAACATGCTCCCAGAAGAGGTTCCTCGGGACGAGCACTGCGACTCATAGCTGTGTCGCGAGCAACGGCAGCTAGATACAAAAATGGAAGGGCCACAGCCTACCTTCCTCGTCTGTAGCAAGCACTAAGTAAGTATGGCATGGAAGGACTGGGAGAGCGAGCTGGTATGTATTCGGTACTCGGCTGTGTACTGTGTATTGTGTTGGACCTTCCCAGGTTGTCTAAGTTGAGCTGCGACGCAGGCATCAGCTCAGAGCGGTACAAACCAACGCTGCGTAGTTCATATAGGTCCCGGATTGTTCGCAGACTGGCCTCTCTGCGATTTACTTGATTTGAGAAAGTTCATCTCAGCTTGAAGCCCTGATTTTGGACGCTCCTCTCGCCGTTACTCTGTCGCTGTGCATTGATATTTAACCTCAGGTAGCTTACCTTGGTTACACTCGCAGCGAGTGCCCACTTCAATAAATCAGATTTCGCGATTCGCGCAGCAATACGAATCCTCAGACAGACAACCTCACCACCCGCAACCTGCCAAAACTTCGCGATCCGTGCTTGCCCGGGGCCGATGACCTGCCATCTCGATCCGCGACACCGTGCTTGTCTTGGGGCGACAATCACGTCTGTGCCGTGATACAACACCGGACTCGCCAACCCCGTCGAGGAGGGAACAATGCGGCTCCCTCCACCCTCGTCGCCTGCCAGCCTGGGCCAGCGCACATGGCCCGCGTGGCTTTCCGATGGCGACGAGAGCAGTCCAGACGACAAGCTGCAGAGGTGGTCTAGCTTGATTGGCATCGTCGCCGCCATCTGCGGCAATGCGCTCATCGCTCTGGCTCTCAATGTCCAGCGATACGCCCACATCCGGTTGCACCGGAAGAAGCTGCAAATAAGAGATCGCGCCCGCCAGGCCATGCGCAATGCGGCTGCTGCATCGCACAGTCAGGGACGAGGCGGACACTACGGCGCTGCAGGGTTGGTGGGCGGGGATGGGACATCAAACGAAAACGGCCGCTACCGCGACAATGACGACGACGCCCGGTACTCGTCCGAAATAGACCCCCTCGCGCAATCCTTCCGCTCCGACTCCTCGGCCGACGACAACGCGAAGGAGAAGCTCTCACTGTCATACCTAAAAGACCCGTATTGGTGGCTGGGTCTGGTGCTGATCACGGTCGGCGAGTGCGGCAATTTCCTGGCCTACGGCTTCGCCCCGGCCTCGATTGTCAGCCCGCTCGGCGTCGTGGCGCTGGTGTCCAACTGCGTGATAGCTCCCATCTTCTTCAAGGAGGTGTTCCGCCAGCAGGACTTTTGGGGCGTCATCATTGCCATCACTGGCGCCGTGACGGTCGTCTTGAGCGCCCAGACCGAGGAGACAAAGCTGGGCCCGCACGAGGTGTGGGATGCCATCACGACCATGGAGTTTGAGATCTACATGGGCGCCAGCTGTGCGCTGATTGTGCTGCTCATGTGGCTGAGCCCTCGCTACGGGCACCGGACGATCTTGATTGATCTCGGTCTCGTCGGCTTGTTCGGTTTGTCCTCCCCGAGAGAGATTTAGAGAGCCGTGGTTAACTCGTCTAGGTGCTTACACGGTGCTGTCTACCAAGGGCGTGTCCTCTATGCTCTCCTCGACTCTGCTCGGTGCCTTCACCACCCCGGTCACCTACGTGCTCGCATTTGTCCTGCTCTCCACCGCCATTTTACAGGTCCGTTATGTGAACAAGGCCCTCCAACGCTTCGATTCCACCCAGGTTATCCCGATCCAATTTGTTCTCTTTACGCTTTCTGTAATCATCGGCAGCGCCGTCCTCTACCGCGATTTCGAGCGCACCACCACCCAGCAGGCGGTCAAATTCGTCGGCGGCTGTCTCCTCACCTTCTTTGGCGTCTTTCTCATTACGAATGGCAGGCCGCGGCAGAACGGCGAGGACGAAGTGGCGCTTTCCGACGCCGAGGGCATCGAAGAGACGATCGGCTTGGCCGAGCAGGACCGGGCGCCGCCCCCAACGCCACCTCAACCCCGCCGTCGCACCCAGGTAATGTCACGAGGATCATCGCGGACATCACGCGTCAGCTTTTCAGACTCCGTCCACGGAAGCCCGGAATTCACCTCTTCCAGGCCGCTCGCCTCACGCGCCACACCAAGATCCCAAAAGCCCCTTTTCCTCGAGGACGACGACGACGACGACGATGTCGACGAAGACCACCCCCTCTTAGGCGTCAACCCCTGGCTAGATGCCGACGACGATCAATCACCTCCCCGACGACCCTCCCTAAACCACCACACCATCTCGTCCGACTCAGCCCTCCCAGTCAACATCCCTTCTGACGCGGAAATCCAGCCCGCAACTACAACAACAAAATCTTACCCGTCCACCCCACCACGAGTCACCGTTCCTCCGCCGGAGCGCCCGCCCCTCACGCCGCGCACGTCATCCACACCCGCGCCGCCGCGCCCTCCACAACACGTCTACTCCCCCTCGCCCTTCTCCTCGACGCTGTCGGCTGTGGTGGGCGATAAGCTACTCGCGCTTGCTGGTGGAGGTAACAGTACTAGCCAGGGGCTGGCCCATGACGGTAATAGTAATAATAGTAATAATAGTAGTAATAGTCACAGCTACAGCTACAGCAGCAGCCCTACCACACACTTTGGGACTGGGTTGGGAGCCGGGACGGTGCCGAAGAGGAGAGCCGCTGCTGGGTTGAGGGGCAGTTTGTTTGCTTTTTCGTTTCCGGCCAATAATGGAAACGGGGACGGGGACGGGCAGGTGGATGGGGTTGGTGCCGGTGTTGGCGGTGGTGGTGGTGCGAGTGCTGAGGTGGCGCGTCTTGGCGAGGACCGTGGTGGTGGTCCCAATTTATTATCCGGTTCGGTGGATGATGGCTCCCTGAGGAACGGGACCGGGAGTGGTGGTAGTGGTACGGGCCTGAGAGGGAGGGCGAGGAGCCTGAGTCAGGCGTTGGGGCTGGGGGGTTTGTTTCGTGGTGCTGGTGATGCTGGAGAAGGGGATGGGAATGGGAGAGCCAGGAGAGCTACGGTTACTATGAGAGATGGTGGTGGCGGCGGGAGTAGTCAATCCGAAGAGGGGGGTGACGGGGTCGGGAGGACGGAGAGGGTATAAGTCGATGTGGGTCCTGAGGGATGATACTCACTTCTGGGGGCGAGGTTTTTGCTTGCAGGACGGATGGACGGGCACTTGGATTCTCTGTGAGTCTGTTACGGCGGGCATAGCGTCTCCGTTTTACTCTTTCTGGTACAGTTAGGGGCATATGCATTGGACGGCGTTGTCGGTTCTCCTGCTTTTCTGTTACTCATTTCCTAGCGAGCGGCATAGCCTACGCCGGTGGAAGGGCGGTATTTGTGCTCTCGAGGTTTCCCTCACCTGTTTTCCTTCGATTTGTGGATGATTTCGTACATAGATAATTCCCTGGTAGTATAATTGTGCCCCATGGGTACTCAGTCCGAATGGGTGAGCAGTAACAGTGGTACATGAGTAACTACATTATACACCGGAGCACGCCCTCCGTCATATCATATCTCCTGTAATCGCCATCTTACCCATCCTCGTCCACCTTCTCTTCCCGCCGGGCCTGCCCTCATTATCCGAGCCTGATCGCTTCCTCCTTTCATTCAGGGAAGCGCCGTTACATCCTTCCCATGTTGAATGCTGGCCTCTTGTCATGTTCCGCAATCATACACTACTCCAGCACAGTCCTCGATTCCTCCGTATGCGCAGGCAATCTGCCACCTTCGACCCTGCCTCCCTTGCTCAGACACTCCGCTCCCTCCCACGAACCACGATCCCAGCCAGACTTGGAAATATTCAGTTCTTTACGCTCCCCTGTAACCTCCTCATCGCATTCCGATGTGCACCCATCAACACTCCATTCCGCATGCGCTCCTCAAACTCCCGCTGATACTGCAGCTTCTCCGTCGCCTCGACTTCCCTCCGCCTCGCCTCGGCCTCCTTCTGCGCGAGCAGGATTCGCCGCTGTAGCTCTATACTCCGTAGCGCATCATCGCCCTTCTGTTGTTCTGGTTCTGCACCGCCGTCGCTGTGACTGTATACCACCACCGCCATTCCCGCGCCAGCAGCTGGTGATGGTACCATACCACTACCGAAACTATCACCACTGCTCCTAATATGGGCGATACCGGAGTTCATGGTCGAGGTGAACGCGGACTGCGGACTGCCCAACGACGTTGATCGGTTGAGGCCGAGCTCATTATTGAGAGGCAGAAGCGTCGTTGTCCCACTGGAGGACGCTCTGTTTAGGTTTCTTGGGTGAGTACTGGAGGGGGCTGCCGCAGCGCGGAGGTCGGCCGCGACACTACTCAGAAGTTGTGCGAGTTGGGCCTGGCGGACGGATTCCCTTGATGGGACGGTAGTGGTGCTGTGGAGCTGACGGATCGGTTGGTGCGAGTCAGAGAATGTTGTGAACTCGGCTGTTGGTTGTTGTTGTGCGAGTTGGAGGTGGAGGCTGCTTTGGCTTTGGCTTTGGCGGATCAAGGAGCGGCGCTGAGAGAGGGGGAGGTCATCTAGATCCGCGTCAAGTTTCGAGGACGGGGATGGTTGGCTTGTTGGTTGTGAGGGAGGTGGGTGGGTGCGCGTGCGACTGATGTTGTTGATTGGGGTGAAGATGCCCGAGGCGCGGGAGCGAAGGAGCATCTCGCGCATGCCGATTAGGGTTTTTGCTTTGGCATGGGCGTACCCGCCAGAGGGCTGTATCGCATGATCCGAGATTGAGTGAGAAGCTGAGTGGCGATTGTTGGTGGTTGGCTGTGCCGGCTGGATGGCTTCCGCCCGCTGTGCCCTTGGTATTCTACGAGTCTCGCCATCTTCCTCAGCAATGGGCTCCTGCGGCACCAGTGAGTTTTGGCGCGCCAGTATCGTCGACGTGGAGCGGTAACCGGCAGGCCTAGACCCAGATTGCAGGTCTGGAGCCACAGACCAAGTGAAGGCTCCAATATCCGAGGCGCTTGGTGTAGCCCGCGGAGCACTCAACACACGATGAGGAGGCTGGTTTAACATGGCACTGGATGTCCTTGCAGCGGCCGGCGGAGGAGTCCCATCCACGGCCGTCTGCTGCAGCTCGACGATATCCAAGCGCGCAGGCTGTTCCTCCGAAGCCTCCGTGGTGTGATGGGAGATTTGCAGCTCTTCCGGCTCGGGCCTCTCGGCGATGCTGAGATGCTTTGCCCACTCATTCGTTCGGTACGTCAGCGCGACATCCGGCAGGGCCGGCGGGAGGTTTATTTTGGTTAGACCGGCGATTGTTTTCCGAGCCGACTTTCCCGACTCTGAAGCGCTGAGGGTAAGACCGTCAATCGTGTCCGCAGGTGTCCCATCCCTTGCTGTAGCTGCTTCTTCTTGCTTTTCCATCGTTTCGCCGGTTTCGGTTTGTGGCGGACTTGTCATACTCTGTCGGGCGGGTTTCTCAGCCGCAGGTGAGCCCGCCTCATTCTCTCGTACATCATCGGCTGACGCGTCTGGCAATTTCCCCTCCTGATCGGTCCCGACTCCTTGTTGCTGCTCCTCCTCGATACTCGGTATTACACTTTCCTCCGGCGTGGGCCTCCAGTCGAGTGATGCGCTGTTCGCATGCACACTGGTGCTTTCATCATCCAAGATGGCAATGACAGAGTCAAGGTCGTCGCCCGTGACCTTGATCGGCCGCGCCAGGTCAATGGATTCTTCAGGGGCCGCATTGCCATCCGCCTCGCTTTCTGCTGAGAGTCGAGGCTGGTTCCTCTGGATGCTGACCGAGTTTCTCCACATCCGCGGAACACTTGCAGTGCCGTCGTCTGGGGCTAAGACTGTCGGCTCGTCATTATCGTCTGCAACGGCCACCACCAAGAACTCATCCTCAGCAACAGCTGCAACAGATGACTCGTCCTCCTGGCTTCTGGGCGGGGGGATTTTGAACGGCAGCGGGACGATTGGCGGTGTCTGCCCGGACTCCAAACTGCGGTCCGTTGCTGGAGCAGATGGCATATCATGTGAAGCATTATGGGCCTTCCCTTGAGCACTCCTGTCCACCGTGTCCCCTTCTGACATATCGTACTCGAAGACTCCAACCGACATCCTGCCATCGCCCACATTCTTCTCAATGATACCGTGAGCCAGCGGGCTTTCATTCGCCAGCTCAGCCGGCCGCTCTCGGTCTGGCGTTTCGATCGGAGACCAAACTTCCACCGCAGAAGCTGCCGAAGCCTTCTTGCTGTGCTCTTCGGGTTTCTCGCTCTCCATGTCACCCACAGCACTGTCTGATCCCCCGCCACGGCCACTTTCGCCGTCTCCGTATGCGCGCTCCCACTCGCGGCGCTCCTGAGCGGCCATCGCCCTAACCCGCCGTTCAACTCCTTCCTCCTCGTCCGGCCGGACCGCTACCTCCTCATCCCCCGCCACGTCCATGCTCTGATTCCGACGGTCCCGGACGACGCGCCAGAGCTTAAGCTGTGAGATGCCACCAACGATAGACAATATGACGGTCAGCGCGAGCTCGACGCGGATGCCGCGGGTGAGCGGGTACGAATCAACCCCCTCAGGAAACAACGCCCCATTCACCGCCCAGATATACGCCCAAAACTCCCTGAGCCCGGCGCGGCTGAAGCAGTCGATTCCCAAAATAGCCGCCGTCGACCCGGCAAACGAAATACCCGCCACGAGGCCGTGCGTCCTTGTCCAACGGCTGAAGTACAGGCACAGCCCCGCACAAGTAAAAGCCGCGATGAAGACGATCTTCCCACCAGTAGATTGATCTGGGCCCACGAGTCCGCCGGGACGGAGCGTCAGCAGCCACATGCTCAGGCAGAAGCCGCCGAGGGCGCAGCCCAGACACTCGGTGAGGTCTCGGAAAAGGAGGGCCAGGCCGCCGAGGGCGGCTCCCGTGCAGACCGCGGCGATTACGAAGGCGCCCTGGACGGCGTGACTGACGGGTGGGGTCATGAGGTAGAGAATCAGCACGGTCGTTCCGAGGGCTGCCAGGAAGGCGGTGCTGAAGAAGGTTTGCAACCGCTTTCCCCTGACGCCGACGAGGGCGTAGATGATGCCTGTGATGGTGAGGATGGTGCCGGAGACGGCCCAGCCGGGGGTGACTTGTGGCTCGAGCGGGAGTTGATCGTCGGGGAAGGTAGCTGCCGAACTTTAGTAGCCGCGATCTGGACAACAGCGCCTGCAGAGGAGAGGCACTTACCGTTGAACAGCGTAGGGTTGGTATCTTGGGTTGGCGTTGGTATCGAGACGCTCGAAGCGGGCGGTATTGTGCTGGGCAAAGTTGTAGAGGTAACCTTGAGACCGGCCGATGAAGTCTGCGGTGTGGTATGCGTCTGCCCATCGTCTGTGAGTGCCGAAGCCGATGTGCTTGGTAGGATGCCTGGTGAATCCGCTGCGGCAGTTGTCTCTTGCCTTCTCGCATGATGTGTGGCAACTGTTGTAAAGCTGTGTATGAGGCAAAGGCAAAACAGAGCCTGCCTAAAAGCGGCCACAAGCCTCATTGCAGCGACTTCCTTAGGACAGATACTAGACCGGGTGTTGTGGGCTCCGATTCAGTGAGCGTATTCCGAGCATGCCGTTTCCTATCCTGCCCAACAGCCGCATTATCCTCGGAGGAACCTTGCTCGTCAAGTCAATGTGCCAGCTACTAGGACAATGGACGTGTTGGAAGATGGGAGTACCTCAGCGGGTGGATATCAGTTTGATTTGAGACAGGAAAGGTTAACATCAGCCGAGCGAGAGGTAGTACTCAGGCCCCTAAATGGGAGACGGGGTGGGAGGGTACAGAGCACCTGGCCGAGGACCTTTGGGGAGCCGTACGACATGATGGGCAGCATGGTATCACTGGCGGAGAGTATCAGCAAAACCTGATGGGCGCCGTGCCCGACAAAAGATGCTGTCCAGCTCGGCAACGCAGCTGGACACGCGAAGCAAGGGACAGCTTGGCTGCAGATGCCCGCCGGCAGCCTCCAATGGTTCTGACGTGGGCTCGGGTAACGCGGTCGAGGTCATCTAGCTGGCCCAAGCCACGGCATTGTTCGAGTGGATGGCGGTATCCTGGGGGAGATGAGTTGGTCAACCACTCGGCGTGGGGCGATTTGGTTGCATTGGCTGGCAGGCGGGATGTTGCAAGGCAGACAGGGGTGCAATGCCTGGCGTCCGTCGAATCTGGGGACGGCGACAGGGGGGGACAAATACCGGGCGCTTTTGCTTGAAGTTCCCAGACAGCCTTCGTTCGTTCTCCTTGCTTGTTGTTGAGCTGGTTCATTTTGTCCTTCCCGACTGCTAATTGGATGGTAACACTTCTCGTCGCAGCAGGAGCCCTTCCAGCCATGATGATGCGATTCCCAGGACAGATGTGTATGCGGTTTGAGTCTGTATTCTCCGACTGAGACAAAACTGAGACAGGCTGAAATGGAAGACTACCAAGCATCAAGCCAAGCCGCGCTGGACTGGCATCCGACCACAACGTCCGTAATTCCATAAGTTGGATGACATGGCGAGAAGCGAAGCTTGTCGGGTCGTGGATCGATGAGACCGTGTAGCCATACTTCCCAAGAACAATTTCGGGTTAACAGATGTCCTAGTGCTGCAGGGCTGAGTTGACGAGGCCGGCGCCAATGCTTTTTGGACGGGTACCTGAAGTTTGTGCATGGTCCAGCCAGGGGATGTAACAACAGCCAACCTTGTTCACTTGATCGCAATAGGTCGAGCAGGGCATGCATGCCAATTGGCTTTTCGCGACACGTCGAGGGAAATTGAGACAACCTTTTGACGCCATGAGCGTGTCGAGAACGCAAAGGCGATCGGCTAGCCATTCCAAATTCCGAATACAGTGAGGGAAAGGAAGGGGCTGCAGGAAGACGAGAGAAGTTGACGTTATGAACTCACGCGAGTCGGCAGCCTTTCAAGAAGAAAATCTGCAGCAAGGAAGGAGCCCGATCCGGGCCGGCCCTTAGGGACCCACATAGCGGATACCCACAGCCATGAATGCATTTTCTTTCCCGATTTGGACAATCACTTACATCCTACTTGAACAGGTGTGCACCCTGACCTCGGGATCTGACCATAACCAGGGATCAATACCTGAGTTAACTTCCCTTTCTTCCCTTGCGGGCTCTTGCTGAACCCCCATCCACGTTATACCGGCCCTCTGATTAGCAAAACATCTATTCCCAACTATGACCTTAGAGCCCCAGATTCCAAGGTTCTTTCTTTCCCCGTCTCGAAAAAGCGGCTAATAGCCATGCGCTAATAATTCATGACGGGATCAATAAATGTAAACAATCAGAAATCCATAGACTGTCCAAGCCGACCAAGATCACTTGGTCCTCCCAGTATCAAGGTCACCAACCCCAGCGTCCGGTGATACCCGCAGTCACCGTACGTTCGCAGCATACCATTCACACACATGCGGCCCTAAGGTGTTCCTCAACTTTCCCGCCAAGTCCCTTAAGTTATTCATCATGATTATGATACTTGCAGAGTTCAACAAACATAACTCGACTATGACGGAGACCCAATACCTCGCTACACATAATCGCCCGCCCGCGAAACAAAGCAAGGACAATGTGTCTCGGCTACATACCTGGCCATCATGCACTGTGAGATCCAATGCGCAGGGTCTGAGTCCTTCCCATACTTTGTGAAAACGTAGTGTATTACTCTCAGAACGATCATCTATCGAGACCTGCATGACCGTCCAACCGTGGCACAGCTCCCAGCCGTACTTGACCACCTGATATGCAACATGATTCGATCAGCACATCAGTCTATGCGGGCCCCAACCTGGCGCAACATCACGATTCAGGACAACCTAGGTAGCTGTCGAGACAGGACTTTTTACGGGTACGCTGCATATGCCAAACCCAACGGGAAGAAGGAAGAACTTCCCGGCTATAACACCGCAGGCTCGGAGACGCGACAGACTTCGCCGGAGAATTGACACGGTCTCAAATGTCTCCCAGAGCTTTTCGGTGTCACGCCCCTTTCCGAAGGACAAAGACCCAGCGACGAGCATTTTAAGGGGGAAGCCACAACGATCGCTGATCATCACATATATTCCGATGCTTTGAACCCATAAGAATTTACCCACTGTCCCACAGCCGCTGTCATACACCAATCCAACACGCACATACCCTCACGGCCCCCTCAACGCAGTCCTCGAAGCAAGTCTCGGCGACGAAATCCCGCTCGGCTCAACAATCCGCGCATGCTTAAAAGGCATCTGCAACGCGCGTCCCTGCGCCCTCACTGACTGTCCCTGACTCTGTCCCCCATAGATACCCCGCCCATGCAGCGGTTGCCTAACCGTCCTCCTGAACAACGCAGTAACCGGCATCAGGGCCCAGGCCAGCAGATACACCATCCCCACCCAAGGCATCCTGATCAAGCCAGCAATCACCTTCCCCAGCAGCCCCCACCCGTGACCTTCCGCATTGCTCCTAGCCACGACCGCCGACAAGGCGATGGCGTCGTCCAGCCGCCGGCAGATATCCCGCATTTGCTGCTCTATGTCCTCCGTCAGCGCGCTCGACTTCTTCTCATATCGCCGCACGGCGCGCGTGACGGCGTCAATCTCGGGCGCGATAGCCGCGCGCACGGAATGCGTGATGTCGTCGCGCAGCTGCTCGACGTTGACCTTGCCGCGCCGCTCGCTCCCGCCTCCTCCTCCTTGGTCGCCGTCGTCCTCGTCCGGGTTGGGGTCTGACGGCGACGGTGGCTGCTCCATCAGCACGCGAGCCTCGAGGGCCTCAACCCGCTGTATCATGTCGCGGTAAATGGACGGCGTGATTTGGATGGTGCGGTACGGGTTCGAGTTGACGATGCGCTGCAGGTGCAGGGTATGAGCCAGGACGAGCTTGATGCAGTGCTTGAGGGGAATCATCTCGGCGGTGAGGAGGAAGATGGACAGGTTAAAGTTAGAAACGAGGCTCTGGGGCGGCCGACTGAGCTGGCTGCGGACCATGGAGAGGAGGTAGGTCGCCGCGGCGGGGGCCACAAAACAGACGATGAGGGCGGCCACTTCGAGGTTCTGAAGCTGGGTGAGGGCGGCCTTGGCCTGGCGTGCTTGCTCCTGCTTGTCTGCTGGTGACATGGGTGTGCTGCTGATTGAGTCCGAGTCACCTTCTGGCTCTTTGGCGGCGGGTTCAGCCACCTCAGCGTCCTCCAGCTCAAGGGCCTCCCTCAAGACGACTTCTTGGTCCTCACAGACCTGCTGCGCGGCGTGATACCATTTCCTGAACAGGGTGAATTTGCGTCGTCTGCTTTGCGAGAAGAATTACGTACCATGGTGCGCTAACAGACCAATGGAGAATTATCATGGCGATAAAGATGAGGATCACGTCGGTGAAGAAGGAATTGCCGTTCTTGAAGACGAGGCCGGCGACCGTAGGAACCAGGACGAAGAGCAGGGGCAATTGTGACCTCCAAGTCATTATCTCCCACTGGGAACCTGGTCCAGGATCGATGATCTCTTCCTGAAAGTCCCGAGTCGCCTCGCTAAAGCTGTAAGTCGACAGCGTGGAACTGCGGCGCTGGCGACGCTTCTCAATTGGCGTGTCTGGAATGAACGGACCGCCGAGGGACGGGCGGCGCACCGGTTCGTTGAGCTGGATGGACCGACGGCGGAGGTTCTCGGGAGAGGGGACAGCTGTGGACGTCGAAGCCTCAACACCCGGGCTGCCCATGTCCCGGGGCTCTGGACCTGCGGAAACCATAACGATGTGACACAGAGGCGACGAAGTCACTATGATCGAGTCCTCTCGTTGAGCCCGTGTGGTTGTAGAGGTGTAGCTGAACCGACATCAAGTTGAGGGGCTGTCTGGTGGTGACGTAATTCAACAACTCAACTGCTTATAGTGATAGCACAGACAACGGACGGATGGATATGTCGTTCATCTGGCCTGAGTGCGAGAGTAACAGCGGTGCAGACGTCCGGCATGTTGTTTATGAAAAAAAGCTATCTTAGGCGCTGCTGAACGCGAGGTGCATGAACGTGGCAAGTTGCTGGTGTTGCTTTGCCCGTTTGTAAGTATAGGAAACTGTACCATGCGATGCACGAATTCCTGAACTGCAGGAACCCACCTTCCATTCCCCTCCCGCCACATCACGACTGGAACTTCCGAGTCTTGTGCAATTCCCAGTAAAATCAGGAAGGTTAACACCTGGAAAACTTGAATCAGGTAAGTGGATGGTGAAACGACGAGAACGAAGGATGAAATCAACCCACTAGCTGCACCCCATCATTTTGATAGGGACATGAAGTTAGGCACGCACGTCAGACAACCCGCCCATTTCACCCACCGTAATTGCCCAAGCTCAACGCCGTCCCGACATAAGCGATCATTGTCCTGAGCGGGACTCAGGCCGTCTTCCCCTACGGTAACTTGCCTTACCTTCTGTAATGTTCCTCTTCATCTTGACTTTACACGGGTAAGGCAGTAGAAAGTCAGAAGGGGTTTTGGATGTCAGGGATGCCCCCACAGCCACGGGTGCAACGCCGATTGGCCAATAAAACACCGACTTGGGCTTCACCACCTCCGAACGGCAGTCCATCATTGTCTGGCAGCGGCAGTCCCCGAAATCCCAATTCAATTCGTTCAATTCCCCAATTAACCCACAGCACTAACCTTAGCTCGCTGCATGCAGAATCTTGAGTCTGAGAATCTCCATTGATTGGCGCCTGGAAATCGATTCTCTTTTGATTGCTGGGTCGATTTTCGAGAATACATCTCAATATCTCACGTTCAAGGTGCGTGACTGGGTGGAGAAGGGCCTCGAGTGCAGTTCTGAGCACGTCGTGTTAGGCAAACCGCTCCTTATAGGCCCGAGACAACGGGTTCGGGGAAGGGACAGGAAACGAGAAGGGACACACCTCATTACTAGCTCTTCGGGGGCCGTCTCGGCGGCCGCCCCTGACTGATCTTCCCCACGGCTTCATCCACGGCATCAACTGCCCACCCTCAATCCGCCGCCAACGCTCCTGCCCTCGATGCAGCGACGGCCCTTCGATTATTGTCCACAGCAGCTCCAAACCTGCCATCACAGCAGCCGCCCTCCGCTCCCTCGCCAGTAACCCACGCGCAGCAATCGCGAAGAAGCAGCCTATTGCGAAAAGGCCTCGGCGCCACCCCCGAGTCGTTCTTACCATCACCCTTCCGTACCCGCCGCGCCGCTGCGCAAAACCCCTTTGGACACCTTTCAGCCTCGCGCCTCTGGAACCCCACCAACTCGACCCCACGAAACCTCGCGCCTCCGACCTCCAGCAGGGTCCGCCGCCCGTCCACACCGCCTCCTCCACCGGTTCCGCTAACACATCCTACGCTCGACGTCACCGAGGACCCGTTGGGCCCCATCGGCGCCGCTGCGGGAGACTACCCGCTCTTGGCCCTCCCTGAGCAGCGCCAGGCCCGCCCTTCGCTCACCAACAGGGCCAGTCTTCACCTCGATCGCTGCGCCGGCGCCGAGCAGCGCATCAGCCTGCCGCCGTCCCTGCGCCACTCGTACGACGAGAAGCGCGCTACCCCTAGCCTATCGCCGGTTGAGGAACCCGAAGCAGGCCCGTCGACCAGCCGGCAGTCCCTTCATTTGGCAGTTCCCGAAACCCCGCGGTTCAGGAACAGGGGCTCGAGCTTCACCAAGCTCCAAGCACCGCTCGGCCTCAGCTTGAGGGCTCTGCCTGGGTCGAGGTCACAGAAGGAGGACAACAGCAACAACAATAAGGGCAAAGGCAAGGCACCCGTCATGGCGCCGCCAGAAGACACCGCCGCTGCGGGGGACGACGGCTTCGCGGCAGACCTCGAGCGCGGGCCAGACGTCCTCCATCATCACCAGCGGCACTCGACAGCGTCGGGCCTGTCGGTGGGCGCGGGCATCGGCTCGGCCATCTCGTCGAGCAACTCGTCCATCATGGGCGACCCGGACCAGCCCCCTGACAACGGCGAGGAATGGGGCCCTCAGCACCCCTGCTACCCGCATCTGAACCCGCACGTGCCGCTGGACTCGCCCGAGTACGCCAACACGCGCATCATCCGCGTCCGCCGCGATTGGCTGCTAGAGGGCGACCTCGCGCCGACCTTTTCGAATCTGTACCCGGACATTCTGGACCCCGCGGGGGTTTCCGAGCAGGAGTTTCGGCGGGTTATTGACAAGCTGAACGGCGAGCTCGTGCCCATTTTCAGTCCATACGCCTGGCGGAATATTCTGGATAATGTGCTGGGGCTGGCGACGGGGTGGCTGTGGGACGACCTCGGTTTTACCGCGGCCAAGACGCGGCTTAGGAGTCTGGAGAAGTGGATTGAGCAGTGGAATGCCGAGATGGAAAAGACGGCCGGGTCCGAGGAGGGTGTTATTCCGCCCAAGATTGTGCCATTGAGGCGGACAGGGTATATGACGGTATGTGCATGGCCCCTGGGATGCGTTGCGTGGGGGTGAGACTGACCTCGATGTTGCAGCTTGATATCCAAATACCCGATCCTGAACTGGCGCCTGCTTCGCCCACCACGGCTACTGCTTCGCGCGATGGGCCGGAGTCTTTGCCTGAGCCACCTGCTGCCATCACGGCATAGGACCTAACATGTTGTTTCCTTCTCCTTTCTCTGGGGTCTTTTTGCTCCCTATATTGTCTCACTTATACCCCGTGATTGTCTGGCTTGGCTTACGCCTGCATATACCTACTTTCCATGCTTAATGTCGTGGCTGGATTGTTGTGGACTAGGCAAGACTTTTTGTGTGCTTTGTACATTTTCAGACATGGCGTTGTGGTCCGTTACTATACCCCCATGGGCTGTTGAGAATGTAATCTGGATAGTTGTCTATTCTTTTTCATGTTGACGGTGCATCTTCTTCAGGACATATTCATATAGTACCCTGCCAGTGTCAACGCTGTGGAAAGACTGGTCTGTGTCCCACACAAGAGGCCGTGGGGGCTTTGTTATGTACAAATGGGGTTGTGGTCTGTTTCTACATACGGAAGTACACTACCTAGCACAGATGCCAACGACAATGACCGCGAGCAGCACACACCGCATCACTCCCCCCACCAAGTCCCATCTCCCTTCATCGTCATGTCCCAACAAACCACAACCCCGGGACCGCCCCTTCAAGAGGGCCGCACACAACTTGTCAATTTCTTGATGGTCAAGTGTCCTTTCGGCCTCAAGCTCTGACCAGTTCTATCGCCGCCTTCTGAAAAGCGTAACCTGTATCCGATCTCTCTTTAATAGTATGGGGTTTTCCTATCTAGCGATCGCGGACTTCAGGAGAGTAGATCTAGTAGTCGTGGAAGGCCACTTACTTAAGGAGTACAGGCTGCTTTAGACTTCAGGTTCGCTACGGCTGTCCGGCCCCCTGTATGCAAGGCCCGTTTTTGTGATACTTGATCCGTCGAGTAGGTAGGCCTGCTCCTTGCGACCACGCTTAAGACGAGACCAAAGGCGTGGATTCCGTTTCGAGCTAGGCGCCGAGAGGAGAGTGGCAGGTATCGTCAAATCTCAGTGGCGGCGCCTTTCGATGGAAAGGGAGATAACGCTGAATGACGTCCATGTAGCCGGAGTAGTACAGTCGCTTGGGTTAGTTCTGATGCCGTACTCTGTTCGCTCCATGGTGCCTTGGTCATCAGCCCTGGCAAACTTAGGAGAAGTCCAGGTCGTCAAAATCACGCAAGAAGAATTTGCGTCCTTCGCATGGCACAGGAACAGGACGTTTACCCGGTAAATGGTGGCAACAGCGCCAACAGGCAGCAGACTCGAACCTGAGCGGCGGCTATGATGTCTCGCTGCCTTCAAGCAGACACGGTGCCGTCATCCCGACCCTTGCGGCCCAGAAAGGGGTCAAAAGTCCCATACTGGAGGAGGACGGAGGAGGTGCAAAGCGGAAGCTCGCATCCCTCAGGGTCGACGTGGGCCTCGTTTTAGACGAGTGTCCGGTATGCTGCCCAGGGAAATACAATTAAGTAAGTGTAGGTGGTAGGTTGGGGCGCTGAATCTCGGCCACAGAGACAGCTCAGTTCGCTTGCTTGGAAGTAGACCTTCGCTGCTGCCGAGGGAAGCGCTTGATATGTCTCTACGTCGATCACGAAGCTGTGTTGTGAAGTGGCGACCTACATGTATGCATGAAAGGTACCGTATGTGAATGCATTCAGGCTTTCAACCGTTTTTTATACCAAAGGAGATCAGAAACTAGAAGTGATAGACTTCCGCTCTTGTTCAATCCTCCCCAGTGCACCATCAAGCTACTGCCTAGGTATTTGTGTGAAGTTTGGTGGATTGATGAGGGTCATGGTCAGGAACAAAAAGGAATGAGGTTAGGAAACACTATGAGAAACGGCGCTTTCGGTTCGCCGCCGTAACCTCCAATTTATACAACTTGGAACGACTCTCTTTAGTACTTGTACGTGATAGACATGCTCACTTCGTCATATCTAGGCAAACATTGATTCAGGTTACTTGGAAGGCAACGAAGTGACGGAGAAAACAGAAAGGTTGACGCCAAAAAACTAGCTCAGACTGGTTTCGATCCAGTGACCTCCGGGTTATGAGCCCGGCGCTATTCCCCTTAGCTACTGAGCTGTTGGGCTTTGTTGGTAAAATTAACAATCTACTTTGCAGATTATATGCAGTAGTTTTTAACACTAGCCTATTCCGACTAGCCTGCCACACTAGGCCGTAACACCCTTTGAGAGAGTGGGACAAGCCGAAACACCCTGGCTCACGCAATATCTCTACGGATCCGTACCTCCATCCAACTTTGTTTCCTCGTTAAAAGCATAGATGGGATCTAGCAGCAAGCTTCCGGGTTACCCGCGCCGGGGTGTTTCCGGAGCCAAACTTATCAAGCTCAATTCCTAAGCCATTTGAGCGTTTCATAGGCCAATGCACTAGTAATTACTCAAAATTCTCCAAGCAGCGCCATGGTGATTTTATGGCTGCGGTTCAGTCCTCAAGCGGTTTGATCTAATTGCGGTCGCTCATTCCCTTTCTAGGCGAGCTACATTTCTCTGTACCACTTTATAGGGAGGGACGGTTCTTGAAAGACCTTCCTTAAATGAACCATTGACCAAACTAGACCGTTTATTTGAAACGGGTTAACGGTCCATGAAGCGCTCACCTAGGTGAGTTAAACTTATCATACTCCTTTTCTAGAGAGCCGGTTCTGTTGTGTTTGATAACCCCAGGTACCGCTCGTCAGACATCCCTTTGCGCTAGAAGCGGCGGTCTTGCGGTCCAGTGTTTCTTCTCTGAATGTCTCAGAAATTCAAGGCCCAAGAGAAGGCCGCGAAAGCTAGGAGAAAGCTGCCAAGGCCGGGCTTATGGCTGAGAATGAGCACTGCAATAGAAGAAGCTGGGCGGAGAGGAACAGTAGCCGAAGGCGTACAAGAAGGAGGAGGAGAAAGCGAAGAAGGACGGCAACCCGATGAAGCTTCCTACCTTTAGTACATTCAACCTTACAGCGACAACTGCAAGAGAAAGGAAAGGTGCTGAGTGCGACACAAGCACCACGGCTGGAGCTCCCTCAGGCCTGTGATAAGATATACTAATGGAAGTACAATTCCAAGTAGGTACCATCACTTTCTCTTACCATCGGATAATGTAGTTATTGATCCTTGATACATTCCCTCAATTGATGTCGTCCTTCCTACAGTTAACTATCCTGATTCCATGATATTCGCAGGTCTTGTTCTTTTAATCTGCCTCTTTCTCCTCTCTCTCTTGTTTGGTTCCTGTGTCTCTTTCAGCCAGTTATTCAGTCTTCCTTGCATTACTCATCTGACTACTACGCATTCAGGGTGCCATTGAGAACGAAACGCTGTTCTCGTGGTGTAATGATTATCGTAAAGATTCCTTCCCTGCGTATCGAGTCATCCGTCCCACCGTTGGGTTGATTTGGACCATCGCTCAGAGACAGCTTTGCTTACTTCCCAGTCGCATCCTACTCTTTTGTTTGTCACGGGTGACGAGAATCAAAACTTGAAGCTGCCGCCGGCATAGGTACTGACAATTAATGAACATTCCCACCGCCCAACAGGAAGCTTCGGAGATAAATTGGCCTTCCCCGTATCTGCTCCACTACACAGTAACCCACAGCCCACTCAAAACCGTGACGCTATCGGAATCCTGCAACGGTCGCTTGCTGTAAATACCTCACGGAGTGACGGAGCGGAGCTCCCGAGCCCACGTGTTCCGGGGCCGTCGGGTCCCAGCTGGAAAAAGAACGACTCCCCAAACTTTTTGATGGTCCGTCTCGTTTCCTTCAGGCCGTGATGGCATCGCTAGACCGTTCCCTCGCTTCGGGGATCTCAAAACCGGTATTCAGGCCCTTCGTTCTGACCAAATAGAACCATCATGTATGTACTGCCCAATGGCCTCGTTCCCTTCGGCCCCAGCGCCAACTGCACGCTCGAGACGTGCCCGCTCGAAGCCAGCATCCTGAAGTATCGGCCCTACCAAGGGGCCAGCGGCACCTTCATCGCCGTCTTTGCCCTGTGCTTGATCGTCCATGCATATCAGGGCGTCCGGACCCGGAGCTGGGGGTTCATGGCGAGCATGCTCTGTGGCTGCGCCCTCGAGATCGCCGGATACGCCGGACGGCTGGTTATTCACGACAACCCTTTCGACTTTGGGGGGTTTCTTGCTCAGATAAGTTCGTAGTACCCGCGTCATCCCTGTTTGGATACTTGTTCGTCCTGTTCGAGGCATCAGCACGGGCTACCCCTTGTCTGGTTGCACCATTTTTGCCACTCCAAGCTAACAACCAACACCCAGTTTGTATCACGGTAGCGCCGGTCTTTTTCTGTTCAGCCATCTATGTCGTGCTCTCGCAAGTGTAAGAAGGAAGCCCATTACTCACCCACCCAAGACTAGTAATTCTCACCAGACTCTTAACCCCCTTTCCCAGAATAAACCACATCGACCGCTCCCTCTCCCGCTTCAACCCAAACCTCATCTACTGGATCTTCATCACGTTTGACCTAGCCTCCCTAATCCTGCAGGCCGCCGGCGGCGCGCTGTCGTGCACGGGCGCGACGGCGGCCGACATCCAGGTTGGCGTCAACATCTCGCTTGCCGGGCTCGTCTTCCAGGTCGCCACGCTGGCAATCTTCTGCGCCCTCTTCGCCGACTACCTTGTCGCCTGCCGGCGGTTGCCGCCGGCCCGCTGGGCGAGCCTTGACAGGCGCCTCAAGTCCGTGCTGGGGTTCCTGTTTGCGTCCATCTTGTTCGTCTTGGTGCGGTGTGCCTACCGCATCGTTGAGCTCCACGAGGGGTACTTTAGCGAGCTGTTCCGGGACGAGCCGCTCTTTATCGCGCTTGAGTCTGTGTGAGTGATGGTCTCGTTGGTTCCTTTTTTCCTTTTTTTTTTGTTGGTTTGTTTGTTTGTTTGTGTGTGTTTTGCTGATTCTGGATCTGACCGGCGTACGGATGTAGGGTGATGTGCATTGCCGTCATCTGCTTGAATATGGGCCACCCAGGAACTGTCCTGGGCAAGACCGGTACTGAACCCGAGAAAGACCGCGCTTGGGAGTTAGAGCGGATCAGCTCGCAAGAGCGCTCATGAATAGAGACTGAAGCAGAGTGCTTGTTCGTGGGTAAATGAGAACTGCTTGCGTTCCGTTATCCAGTCTTCGGTTGGACCATGGGTGGGTAGATTTAAAGGAAAGTAAGTAAGTGCCTTGCTCAATAACAGAAAAATAGAAGCAACTATCATTTGACATGCACAAAATTGGATGTAGAACATCAAACATGAACCGGAGGACCAGTTTCTCTAAGAAAAAGAGCCAAAAGGAAAACGCAGTCGCCAACTTAGCTTTCACTGGTTTTGATCCAGTGACCTCCGGGTTATGAGCCCGGCGCTCTTCCCCTGAGCTAGAAAGCTTATTGCTGTTATGAATATGGGATAAGGTAATGAGGCTTCTATTCTGGTGGAAAGGTTTGCAATCATGTGTGAGATGGGTGGATCGAAGGGGATGGGCCAGAAGGAGACTCTACCTGCAGCTCGCCCGTGCGGTGCACAGCCTTGTTCCCCCTTTATAAAGCCCTGAACATCCAGATCCTTTTCCAAACTACCCTTCTCTTCTACACCCCAATCAGCACCTCCCTCGGCGTGCCCTTCTTGGCCCACTCCCGCAGCACGTTCTTCTTGATCTTGCCCGTGCTCGTCTTGGGCAGCTCCCTCACAATCTCCACCTCCCGCGGCACCATGTACCTGCTGATGGCGCTCTGGTGCTTGGCCCACTCGATGACGTCCGCCCCGCGGATCCTGCCCTCGCCGCCCTCCTTAACCGTCAGATAGGCCTTGGGCCGCTCGCCCCAGTGCGCGTCGGGCACCGCCACGACGCCGGCCTCGAGGATGTCCGGGTGCTCGACAAGCATCGACTCGAGGGCGACCGACGAGATATTTTCGCCGCCTGTACGTTTATGATTAGTTAAACTCTGGACGACATAAAGGAAAGGGTTCATGAACAGCTACCAGAAATGATGATATCCTTGGCCCGGTCCTGGATCTGGATGCTCCCGTCGGGGTGCCACACCGCCAGGTCCCCCGAGTGCAGCACGCCCCCCGCAAACAACTTGCGCGTCGCCTCGGGGTCCTTGTAGTACCCCTTGCAGCAGATGTTGCCCTCAAACACAATCTCGCCCATCTCCTTGCCGTCCCGGGCCACGTCGACCAGCACGCCCTCGGGCTGGTCTTGCTTAATGACGCGCACGGGGAGCGAGGTTAGGAAGCCGTGGCCCTGCCGCGCCATGTTGGCGTACTTCTTGTGCTTCGGGAGCACATCCCACGCCGGGAGCATGTAGCCGCGTGTGATGGGCCCGTACGTTTCGGTCAGGCCGTAGACGTGCACGGGGATGAGGTTGAGGCTGGTCATCTGCTCAAAGAGGTGGGCCGTCGGCGGGCTGGCGGCCACGGTGACGCGGACGGGGCGGGGGAGAACCTCGGCGTCCTTGTGGGCGCAGAGCAGCGTGTTGACGGTGGGCGCCGCGTTGAAGTGCGTGATGCCTTGCTCCTTGAGAAGCTTCCATATCAGGGCATAGTCGATCTTGCGCAGGCAGACATGCGTGCCGCGGACCGCACAGACTGACCAGGGGAATGTCCAGCCGACAGCGTGGAACCTTTGCCGTCAGCAGAAACTCTGAACAAGAGGGAGGATAACCTTACATGGGCAACGTCCAAAGATACTTGCACCTCCCCTCGGGGAGGTTCAGCCCGGACTCGACAACATTCGCCAGGGCGGCGAGGTAAGCACCGCGATGGGTATACACTACTCCCTTTGGCCGGGACGTTGTCCCCGATGTGAATGGGATAGCGATCGTATCATCCTCGTTTGTAACCGTCCGCGACACCAGATCAGACCACCCCTTGTCCCCAGTCTCCTGGTCTATCCTGAGGCCTTCGAGCACCGCCTCATCAAACGGCCCGCACATCTCCCCCTCGGTGGCACCGGTATCCTACCCTCAGTCAAGTCAGCAACGTCCCTCTACTTTTCCTCTTTGCCTACAACTAACACCAGAACCTAAACCTAAACCCAGAAAAATAAAACCTACCAAATCAACAATGACCTCCACCCCTTTTCCCCCTTTTCCCTTCCTAAACCTCCCCAACAACCCCTCAAACTCCCGATCGACAAACACGCACTGCACCTCGGCAAACTCAAGGATATACCTCACATCCTCCTCCTTGAGCCTGTAGTTCACCGGCACAACCACCCCGCCGGCCGCGACAATACCATAAATGCTCTCCAGAAACGCCGGCGTGTTGGGCATCAGCACGCCCACCCGCCTGTACCCCCTGCTGCGCAGGTAGTACGCCAAGCCGCGGGCGCGGTCGGCGACCTGGCGGTAGGAGCGCACGAGCGGGTGGCCGGCGGCGGTCATGTGGTAGACGGCGTCGGCGTCGGGCTCGATGGAGGCGGCGCGCTCGAGGAAGAAGGTTGGCGAGAGGTGCGCGAGGTGGTACGGAGGAGGCGCGGTGGTGGCGGTGTTATCTTGGGACGGGGATGGTGAAGGGGGGTCATTGGGGGTGGGTAAGGAGGGGGGCTGCGGGAGGAGGTGGCCTAGCACGTTCCGCAGGCGGGATCGAGGGGCGGACATGGTGGTGATGGTGTTTCCTGAGTAAGTGTTTAAACCGGTGAGATGTGAATATGTTGGAATGAACGGTGTGAGGGGAGTGCTGAGACCTGATGGAGAGTTTATGTTTAGGGACTTGGGATCACAGATGGCCTGGCAGTAATGATTGAGTAGAATCGAGGAACGCTCGGTGGTGGTACAAGGGGTGAGAAGATAAGGCAATAAAAGCTGAGAGTACAGTGATGGCAAAAGGTCGCAGGAAGCTGTCGCGACCGAAGCGGTGTCTGCGACGTCTTGCCGATCGAAGCCCGCGCCAAACAGACCGAGATGGACGAGGAGGATGAACAGGAAGCGAGCTGTCAATTGGACAGAAAAGAGTCGATGCCTCGGCCCTGGCGAAGCATTCCGGGTAAACTCCCTTATGTCTTACGTATGTCCCTCTCGTGTCGATCCTTGATCAACGCGAACAAGCACGAAGGTGAGGAGGCAAGCCTTCCAGGTGTCCGACTCCCATTTCCAAGTCCCTCGGCCAAGGCCCGGTTGCAGTGCCACGATCACGGCTCTCCGCATTCTGTCTCGGCAACCCCCGCCAACCTTAAACCGCATAGGGTAGCAGGATGAAAAAGAGCGCCTGGATCAGTCTCTTATTCAACTCGATCGAGTCTAGGCAAATAGGCAGCTTTAGGACAAACCTGGATTGAAAGTGACATGTTTTATTCTCGCAACTTGCATGCGGACTGATAGTCGAAACTCACAAGCTGGCAACTGATGAAGCAGCCGAAGACCCTTCCTCTTTCGGCTCCACGTCTGAAAAGACACCCCGCACCGTTTGTGGGGCTAGCCCACTGAAGCCCCCACACGGTCGGGACGATTCAATTGACTGGAGCTGTTCTACTTGGGAGGACAATTCCCCTGTCCTCATCTCTCATGGCAAATCACAATCCTCCAAGAGAAACTGGTCACCATGGCAAACCCAGAGCATCAAAATTATACGAAGCCACAGTTGATCAAAATCAATTCAACAATGACCTTCATCGCTCAGTCATGAGTATCATAAACGAAGAGATTCCCTCAGAAACAGGAGCCGATACAGCGGCGAAAAACATGGCATCAACTTCCCAATCCCAACACACAAATTCCTCTCTACCAGGTACAATAGACAACCTTACTCCTTGCGAATGAGGCTGTCAAACAGCGGCTTGAGGCTCTTGGCGCTCTTCTTGGGATACCGCTTCTGGTCGTTCTCGTAGTCGACGTACGTCACACCGAAGCGCGTCTCGTAGCCCTCGGCCCACTCAAAGTTGTCCATGAGCGACCAGGCGAGGTAGGCCTGGACGTTGACGCCGTCTTCCTCGTAGGCCTTGGCCATGGCGTTGACGTAGTCGTTGAAGTACTTGACGCGGAAGTCGTCCTCGACGATCTGCTCGAGCGACATGTCGTTCTCGCCCTTGAGCGACGTGCCGTTCTCCGTCACGTAAATCTTGGGGTAGCCGTAGCGCTTGCTCAGCCAGTTGAGCAGGTCGCGGAACCCCTGCGCGTGCGGGCGCAGCCAGAAGGACTGCGTCTCGGGCCCGATGCAGTCGCCGTTCTTGTTGTAGAAGAGCGTCTCGAGGTTGCCCAAGAAGTCGTCCTCGGGCGGCACGCCCTTCTTGTGCTTGATGTAGTTGGCCGTGTAGTGGTTCATGCCGTAGAAGTCGTTGGAGCCCTTGACGAGTGCCACCTCCTCGGGCGTCCAGCTGGGCAGCCGGTCGCCCAGCTGCTTGCGCATCGACTCCGGGTAGTGGCCAAAGTAGATTGGGTCGGCGAACCACGAGATGGCGAACTCGATCTTGCGGTCGCACGCCTCGACGTCGGCCGGATCCTCTGGATCCCAGGGCAGCGTGGCGTCGCCGTTGAGCGTGATGCCAATCTCGCCGCCCTGCGTGGGCTTGAAGTCGTCGCGGTACGCTTTGACGGCCTTGCCGTGGGCGACGAGGATATTGTGGCCGACGATCCACGGCTCGCGCGCGCTGTCGCCGACGGGCGACTTGGAGCGGTCTGACGTGTGGCCGGGCGCAAAGTAGCCGCTGTTGTAGCCCAGGATGGACGAGCACCACGGCTCGTTGAACGTGATCCAGTGCTTGCACTTGGGGATGGCCTTGAACATGACGCGCGCGTAGTTCTCAAAGTCGGCCGTGAACTCCTCCTTGTTCAGGAACCCGCCGTAGCGCTTGTCGAGCGCATCCGGGAGATCCCAATGGAAGAGTGTGATGAAGGGCTCGATGCCGGCCTCGAGGAGGTCGTCAACGAACTTGACATAGTGGTCAATGCCCTTCTGGTTGATGGGGTCGTTGCGACCACCGAGCGGGATGATGCGTGACCACGAGATGGAGAAGCGGTAGGCGGTGGCGCCGAGCGACTTGAGCAGGTCAATGTCCTCCTTGGTCCGCTTGTACGAGTCGCAAGCCACGGCGCCGGAGCTGCCGTCGGCAATCTTGCCGGGGATCTGGCAGAAAGTGTCCCAGATTGAAGGGCCACGGCCATCCTCCGTGGCAGAGCCCTCGATCTGGTATCTGCACAGAAGGGCAGGTCAGTCAGGGCACCATCGAAGCCAAGATGCGGACTACACTCACGCAGCAGTAGCGAAGCCCCACTTGAAGCCCTTTGGAAGAGACATGATGACGACTTTCTGTGAGCTGGAGGGACCCAAGTGTATGCGAAGGGAGGAAGACAGAGAAAGAGGTTTGCCCAACGATTGACTGTTAGGAAGGGATGGGCACCCCGCCCTCCCATATTTATACATCAACCATCACGACTGTTTCATGCCGTTATTCTGTCCCCCATTCTCCCGCGTGTTTCGGACCGTCGACACCGAGAAAAGCTAGGCATAGCCTGAGAGATGCGGGCCACGATCCAGCCGTGTGCAACGCTTGCGCGTAACAGGAGAGACTGCAAGCACCCGGGGCCCCGGCGGGCAGAGAGGACACAGGTTGCCCCCCACCGCGGGGTAAGTTTTGCCCTGGCGAGGGACGGCCAACGGCGGGTGGTAAGTGGTTGATCGGATGGCTGAAGTGGACAGAGCCCTGTCGCGACCGGGAAGGGCCCCAGACCCTAGACCCCGCCAATCCCCATCGGGATAATTGCCCAGCCCTGGGCCACGGAAGAAAGCCCCGACACATTTGTTCTGGAAACTTAAAAGTTGAGCGTGGCTTCCAAGTACTTGTGCCTTACATAACCAGGCTCTTTTGGCGGAGAGCCGCAACAACTCCAACAACGACGTCTGTTTTCAGGCTGCCTAGAGTACACGAACACGACCCTCCAGACCCCGCCAAACTCACCCAAAAAAAACCGCTCATGCCGCACTCTCCACCCGGGCAGCGGATTCCGGATCCACGGCCCGCGAAGGGACCAACAGGGCTCCGGCTGGGTAAACCTCGGCAAAACGAGGGGTGGCAGCAGTCAAACGGGGTCACGAGCAGGGGCGTCGCCGTAGCCCGAATCACCTGGGACACGGCAGCACACCACCCGCGCCGAGAGACGAGATGAGATGAGCCTCTTCAACCGCCCGGCGAAACCATGGCACGGCATTTCTTAGTTGTGAGGCAAGACGAGACGCCTTCGCGGCTAGGCCGCGGGCACTCCTTGTTGCCGATGGCTAAACCTCGGCCGGCCTCGCGACTCACGATGCTTCGCTCGCAACAGACCGAGCGCGGCGAGCGATCCCGTCAGACCCAGAAGGCGCTCGACACAACAGGTGCTATATGTTTTTATCGACGCCGGCAACGACGGCTGGCTATGCCGTGGCATGAATATCAATCGCCCGTCGTCTATGTCGTGTAAGTCGCGGCTGCATCTCGGTAGCCTGGCAACCGGCTCCGGCAATTGTCGACTTCATTTCTGATGCAGGTTAACCGCGCGCCTCTGATAAAAGCAAAGGCCGGCCATTGCCGTCTCGTAACGACTGCACCACACGGGATGAACCTCATGCTTGTGTAAGTAGCTAGGGAGCAATTGTTCGTGTTTTGTTGGCGACTGCCGCATGACATTCGAACTCAACTCCAGTGCTCCGAGGAAAACTAGATCAAGGCTGAACGCAGGTCGTTTCGTGCAACCTCAAACTAACACCATGCCACCGCCGACGAGTGCTGGTTGCTTTGGGAAGCGCCGTTATTTTCATTCCGGATAGCGAGCAGAACCACACGACTTGGGCAAGTTTCCCTCCCTCACTGCTGCACCCCTTCCATCCTCCCTTCCTCGACCTCCCCCTCTAGGTCATCCAGCTTCCGCTTCCTCGGACTCTCGGCGGCAGCTTCGTCTTCACTCCACTCAACAACCTCCCACTCGACCCTCACTGTCCCCAACCGGTTCATGCCTCGACCCCTCGCCCGGCGCAATCTCCCCAGCCTGCTCCCCTCGATCAGGGTGTCAAACCACGGCAGCGCGCCAACCCTCCCCATAATCACATCACCAGTCCTCGCCTCGCTCTCCTCTCCTCCCGTTCCAACCATGGCGGCATCTCTTGACATCCCAATCTGTCCGCCGCCCCGCTCCTTTCCCCCCTCCCCCTCTCCCCCGTGAGCCAAAGGAGACGAAGAAGCAGGCGTCGCAGTCCCAGACCTACTACTCGCACTACTACTCCCACCCTCACCCAACAACCCCAGCTCCTCCAAGTCCCCCAGATCCTCAGGGTGCAGGCTGCCCAGCGTGAGCTGTATAAACTCGGCCTCGCCGCTCGGCTCCTCGGACCAGTACGACAGTGGGGTGCCACAGAAGCCGCAGAAGTGGCGCTTGGCGCGGCGGAGCTCGTCGTCGTACACGCGGCGGATCTGGGCGCGCGTCTCGTCGGCGTGGAATGGCACCGTCAGGGTGTGGCACCAGGATAGCGGGACGCGGAGGTAGGACGGGAGCGGGGTCGCGAGGGCCAAGACTTGTTGTAAGAGGAAGTTGTCAGTATGGTGAGGGGTTCATGGAGGGGAGAATGGGCGATTGCGGAGGTAGGTGGCTTACAATGGGATGGGTGCGAGTGGAAGAGCACTCTGGCGGTTCGGTCGGTTGTTGCTGTTGGGTTGTGGGTATAATTCTGGGGGAACTGGATGATGTAGATGTTGCGGCCGCACTGACAGCTTCCGCGGAGGGGGCGGTCGAAGCTCATCCTTACGAGGGCACACAAGCCTTTGGTTGCGTTATGGTAAGAGGAAGTAGTGAGAGGTGAGTTGCCTGCTTTGAGAAGATGGCGTAGGGTTTGTTGGAAGCTTGAAATGAGTGTTTGCTGCCGTCGATCCGAATCCTACCAAAGGTCAAGCCAGCACTTGAACGTGGGCTCGAGGATGCCAAGATGAACGGGCGTGTCGTTCAAACTCTGGGTTGAATTCTGCTGGGGTTGCAACCCAGGTAGTTTTGAGGTAAGTTGCCAGTAGGGAGGTGTTTGCAAAACAGACCACTGACAGCATGTCTTTTACTTATATCGCCGCATAGTACAATGGCCGTCACTTACATCATTCCTTTGGCAGCTGCACCTAAGCCCCACCCTGAATCGTGCACTTTCTTTTTGGCCACATGAGACCGCTCCCTCCAGGCAGATAGGCTGCAGCGATCCATATCTGCAATTCCGAGCAGGCAACTTCTGACAGAAAGTACCAAGAGTTCCTGTAGCGCTGAAGTTTCACCACTTCCGGTCATGACCGCTGCGTGTGTTGTCGTTGTTTTCTTGCCTAAGAATCTGCATCCGTCTAGAGCCATCTCGGCCCCAAAGTCAACGCTTGTTGGCAGGAAGATTGAATTTTGTCTGACCAAATCTATTGTACTCTCTCGGAAATTATTTACACTTGTATGATGTTTTCCTTTTCAATATCCGTACTGTCGGCCGAATAGTTTGCCGTCTGTACTGTGTCCGAGGGTGAACAATATGTCGAGTGGGTCCAAACTGTCCGGTCGCCACAGGCCCACATTCTCGACCGCCCGGCAATTGCTCGCGCCGAGCCTTCCAATTTAGCTCTGTCGCGTCGACCTTCACCAAAAGCGCGCCAGGCGAACTTCCAGGTTCTCCAAGAATTCCAACTTCAGCCCGCGCAACCCATCCAACAGCTATCGCGCTGAGCGGTGCAATTGAACTCATTGAGCAATATGGCTGCCATGTAAGCGCCCCATTCGTATTTTGTCCATTACCTTCGACATTCCGTTTGCGCATGCTACCTCTATTCCCGCCCCGACGTCCGCTGACGCGCCACAGTGAGAGTTTTGACAACATCTACCTGGACCTGTCGCGGGAACATGGCAAATGCAGGTTTGCCGAGAACGGCCTTGGGTGGAAGCCTGCGGGCGGCGGCGATACCTTTACACTCGACCAGAGCAACATCGGCGGCGCGCAATGGAGCAGGGCGGCCCGGGGCTACGAGGTGAAAATCTTGCAGCGGAATTCGGGCGTCATCCAGCTGGACGGCTTCCAACAAGAGGTATGGACAACACGGGCCGGCGACGACAAGGGCGCAACTGATCTTGGGATAGGACTATGAGCGACTTAGCAAAATCTTCAAGAGCTGGTACAGCACCAATCTCGAGAACAAGGAACATTCGCTGCGTGGCTGGAATTGGGGCAAAGCCGAATTTGGCAAGGCCGAGCTCACGTTCAACGTTCAGAACCGACCCGCCTTTGAAATCCCCTACTCCGAGATTTCAAACACGAACCTTGCCGGTCGCAACGAAATTGCGGTTGAGTTTTCGCTCGGCGATGGTAGCAAGGCGAACGGTCAAAATGGTGCCACAGCGGGGAAAGGCAGGAAGGCTGCGGCCGGGCGTGATCAGCTCACGGAAATGAGGTTCTACATCCCCGGCACGACAACGCGAAAGGAGGCCGAAGGTGAGGACGCCGGGAGCGATGCCGACGAAGAAGAGAAGAACGCCGTCACGCTGTTCTACGACACCCTTATTGAGAAAGCCGAGATTGGGGAGACGGCCGGCGACACCATCGCCACCTTCCTCGATGTTCTGCATCTCACACCAAGGTTCGTTCGATGCATCATTTGAAGCTGCTTTACCCTTCTGACAATCATGCAGAGGACGTTTTGACATCGACATGTACGATGCGTCGTTCCGCCTCCGGGGTAAGACATACGACTACAAGATCCAATACGAGGCCATCAAGAAGTTCATGGTTTTGCCGAAGCCCGACGACACCCACTTCATGCTCTGCATCGGGCTGGATCCGCCTCTCCGGCAGGGTCAGACGCGCTATCCCTTCATCGTCATGCAGTTCAAGCAGGACGAAGAGGTCACGCTTGATCTCAACCTGTCGGAGGAGGAGCTCAATGGCAAATACAAGGACAAGCTGCAGCCCCACTATGAACAGCCCCTGCACCAGGTCGTCGCGTATATCTTCAAGGGGTTGGCCAACAAGAAAATTACAGCGCCTGCAAAGGACTTTACAACGTGGGTCTCGCCTTCTGTGGTCCCTTTAGAGTTTGCGTGTTGACATGCTTCCAGGCACCGCCAACAATACGGCATCAAGTGCTCCATCAAGGCGAGCGAGGGCTTCTTGTACTGCCTGGAGAAGGCCTTTATGTTCGTGCCGAAGCCGGCGACATACATTTCGTACGAACAGACGCAGTCCATCACCTTCTCGCGCGTCTCGGGCGCCGTATCGGCCCTCTCGACCTTCGACATCACCGTCCACATGAAGTCCGGCGCGGGCTCGTCACAATTCAGCAACATTAACCGTGAGGACCTGAAGGCTCTCGAGGACTTCTTCAAACTCAAGGGCTTGCGCGTCAAGAACGAAATCGACGAGGAGACGACGCTCATGGCGGCGGCGCTGCGGGACGAGGACATGGCTAGCTCGGACGAGGAGGTTGTCGGACCCAAGGCGGACCGCGGCTCGGCGGATGAGGACGAGGAGAGCGTGGACGAGGATTTCCAGGCCGAGTCCGAGAGCGACGTCGCGGAGGAATATGACAGCAACCACGAGAGCGATGGGTCGGGCAGCGCCGAGAGCGATGTCGACAACCAGGTGGACGATGAGGATGAGGACGAGGACATGGACGAGGAAGAGGAGGAGGAGCGGCCCAAGAAGAAAAAGAAGACTGGCTAGGTGGGAGGAGGGAATGTGACGATAAGTGAGGCCCTCTTGAGGAGCACCGGCACCTGTCCCTTCCTGGGCAAACTGGCTAGGGCGTGCATGGCGGGGATGGGAAAGTTGACTTGGGCGTGATTGCGTGCACTTTATTGGGTTGGCGTTTGAAGGCTGGCGGCAACCAGCAGCATAAGGTCTCGTATAGCGCAGTGTTTTGTGTGTATAAAATGTGCTGCTTGGGTACGATGGGTCGATGTCTACAGAACAACGGGATTAAGAAGCCATCTAAAGTCACGTTCCGGTCTCACACCGTATTCCCTAAGTATAGTTCAACCGTAGTTTGCTGGTAAATGTAGCGCGGAACTCGGGTACGTGCAGAGGTACATTTCTTCATCTTCTATCACTTTCACCTTCTTAGATCCTTCCTCCTTTTCCTGTTCCTCTTCATCTTGGTCTTTTCTTTTTCTTTCCTCTGCTCTTTTTTTTCATCTTGGTCATGTATACCGTATGCTTCTTCTTATTCTCCTTGCTTTCTTAGATTCTTTTGAATTCCGGTTTTCCAGTCTTCTAGCCGCCATGTGTCCCACTAACGAACAACACACAAAACCAGGCCTGGTTTGTATGTTGTACAAACCCTAGGATCCTCCTCCAAGCCTCATTTTCAGACAGGCTACCTTTAAGAGGGCACGTGCGCCCGCACGAATTACCCCACCAACGTCAGCCTGCTTGACCCAAGTGTGTGTGAGTCGGGTTGGTTGTCCTTTGAAACTTTCTCTGGACCGACTTCAATGCCCCACCTTATTCTACCCAACCCGCCTCTTTTGCTTGCAGTAGCGACCTCGACAGCTTGCGTGCCATATCGCGTGCATCTTCATCACCTTGACCTTTGCCCTCCAGTGCAGCCGTTCTCCTATCACCGAGCCTTGTCACCGTGATTTGCAGAAGATGGAGGTCTGCTGAGGGGCTGAGCCATGAGTATCGGGCACCACAACTGCCAAACCTGAGAATGAGGACGACTACATCTTTCACGACACAGCTGCTTGGGGTATAGCAGTCTTGCACACAAGCTTCCAATAGCTGCTAGGATCAACTCTGCTGCAATACATACGTTTTACTGTCCAGCAATGGACGCCCAGGTGAGTGCCGGTGCCTGTTTCCGTTGCCCAACTCGCGTGCCCCGCTATCGAGTGATGGCCGACATCCGGGGACCGCGATTTCACGATGGTTCCTCTTGCTAACGTTGTGCTGCGCATCCAGATCGAGAATGCGATCGAGATCGCCTGGAACCCCGCCTCGGACCAGGCTCTCAAGGCCCAAGCCTTTGAGTTCCTGAACCAGCTGCGCTCCGATTCCCAGGCCTTGCAGGTCTGCACCAACCTCTTCGCCCGAACGCCCCGAGCATCCGAGGTCGTACGTCTAGTCTGTCTCGAAATAGTCAACAATGCTGTTGTTCATTCGCAGGCAGTCGACGCCCCCAGCCTCGGCTTTCTCAAGCAGGCGCTGCTTGATTACATTGGGCACATCTACAACGGCGAGGCTCACGAACCTGTCGACCCGGCACATATACAAAACAAGCTCACACAAACCCTGACATACCTCTTCGTCTTCCTTTACAAGGAGGGTTGGGAGAGCTTCATTGATGACTTCCTGGCCCTCGCCCAGAAAGAAAACAACCTGCCCGGCGTGCTCATGTACTTGCGCATCCTCGGCTCGATCCACGACGAAATTGCCGATCTCGTGTTCACCCGGCCAGACAACGTCACCAGGCGCAACAACGATCTCAAGGACCTGGTGCGCGACCGAGACATGCGGAAGATAGCGCAATCCTGGAAGGACCTGCTGGCTCGGTACAGCAACCAAAGTGACGCAGTGGTCGAGTCGACGTTGAAGATTATTGGCAAGTGGGTTAGCTGGATAGACATCCACTTGGTCATTAACGAGGAGATGCTCAACCTCCTTCTTCCCTTGGTTGGCAGGACCCATGCGGCCGGCAGCGAGGACAAGGTCAGGGATGCGGCTGTGGACACCTTCACGGAGATCGTGGCCAAGAAGATGAAGGCGGGCGACAAGATCGACATGATTTCGTTCCTCAACCTCCGTGAGATCGTCACGCAGCTACTGGCTACCCCGCCTCTGAATGAGTGGAAGGGGACGCCCCGGTACGATACCGACCTTGCCGAGGCCGTGGCCAAGCTGGTCAACACCATCGTGGTCGACGTTGTCCGTGTCTTGGAAGATGTCAAGGTGGAGACCGACACAAGGGCGAAGGCTGAGCAATTCCTCCGTGATTTCCTGCCGTCCTTGCTCCGTCTCTTCTCGGACGAGTTCGACGAAGTCTGCTCGACCGTCATCCCCGCGCTGACCGACCTCGTGACCTTCCTCCGCAAGGTCGGACAACTGCCCCCCACATACTCCGAGATGCTGCCCCCCATTCTGAATGCAATCGTCCTCAAGATGAGATACGATGAGACGGCCAACTGGGGCAACGAGGACGAACAGACCGACGAGGCCGAGTTTGAAGAGTTGCGGAAGAGGCTTCAGATTCTCCAGAAGAGCGTAGCGTCTGTCGATGAGAATCTCTGCATAGAGTTCTTGAGCAGTTTGGTGGCAAACATGTTCTCTACCCTTGAACAACAGGGTTCGCAGATGGACTGGAGGGACCTCGACCTTGCGCTGCACGAGATCTATCAGTTTGGCGAGCTTGCGCTGCCCAACACGGGACTGGCTCAAAAAAGCCAGCCGAACAGCGTCGCTGCTGAACGACTGAGTGTGATGATGCGCAAGATGGTCGAGTCAGGTAAGCAGTGAGGATGGATGTCCGGAATAGGCTCTTGCTAATTGTCCCAGGCATCGCCAACTATCCTCACCCTGGAATTCTCCTCCAGTACATGGAGATCTGCACGCGATATTACAACTTCTTCGAAGACCAACAACGGTATATCCCGCAAGTGCTCGAAAACTTCGTCCGTCTGGTGCACCACGACCACATACGCGTCCGGCTCAGGTCCTGGTACCTGTTCCTGCGGTTCGTGAAGACGCTGAGGGCTCAGGTCGGCAGTCTAGCGAAGACAGTGATCGAGTCCATCAGCGACCTGCTGCCGATCAAAGCGGAGGTTCCTGGGAACGATGCCGACGACGACATGTCCTCGGATGAGTCGGACCACTCGGCCGAGTCCGTGTTCAACAGCCAGCTTTACCTGTACGAGGCCATCGGATGCATCTCATCGACATCGGCCACACCTCCCGCCGACCAGGCCATGTACGCGCGCTCCGTCATGGAGCCTCTGTTCTCCGACATGAGCGTGCATATCGAGCGAGCAAGTGCCGGAGACACGCAGGCAATCCTACAGGTTCACCACATCATTATGGCCTTGGGAACGCTCGCTACCGGCTTTGCCGAGGCGAATGCCGGGCAGCCAAACAAACGGCCACAGCCGCACGAAGCCATCTCGAACGAGTTCTCGCGGGCAGCTGAGGCCATTCTGATTGCTCTGAATCAACTGAACGCCAGCCAGGACGTCCGCACCGCGTGCCGGTCGGCGTTCTCACGGCTGCTGGGCGTTCTGGGCGCGGCCCTCCTGCCGCAGCTGCCTCAGTGGATTGAAGGCCTGCTCTCCCGCAGCTCCAGCAAAGACGAGATGGCCATGTTCCTCCGTCTCCTGGAGCAGGTTGTCTACAACTTCAAGGGCGAAATCTACAACATACTCGACCTCCTTTTAACCCCTCTCCTCCAACGCGTCTTCAGCGGCCTTTCCGAGCCCATCAGCGGTACAGACGACGAGATCCAGCTGCACGAGCTCCGCCGCGAGTACGTCTCGTTCGTGCAGGTCATCCTCGTCAACGACCTGGGCGGCGTCCTCGTGAGCGCCGCCAACCAGGCCACCTTTGAGTCCCTCATTTCCTCCATAATTGACATCGCCAAGACGCTCACTCACGGAAACCTCGTGCCCAGCCGCATCGCATTCAACGTCCTCAGCCGCATGGCGTCGCAGTGGGGTGGCCCGGACGTCGCTACCATCGGCGAGAACCCTGTCACGACGGGCGCCCCGGCCCCGGCCATCCCGGGGTTCGACCAGTTCATGATTCAGCATTTCCATGGCCTGTGCTGGACCGTATTGCAGGATCCGGCGTTTAGACCGAATAATGATGCACAGTCGAGGCAGATCCTCAATGAGATTGCAGGAATACAGCAGGTTCTCTATTCCAAGACGGGCGAGGCGTTTGTCAATCATCTGCAGGGGGTTACGTTCCCGTCGTTGGGCATGGATGGCGCGGAATACCTTAGGGTGTTGACGACGAGCAGGGACAGGAAGCCTGTTGTACAGTGGTTGTTGGGGTTGCTTAAGGGGAGGAGATAGGCAAGGCGGCCTGGCTTTAAGCGGCGGGATGGGAGGTGGGTTTGTAAATACCGTAGATAGATGAGAGAGAAACTTACTAACCTTGGGGAGACCTTGGCTTGGTAGTAGACGGGTGCGGGTGAGAACATCTAATGTGCCATGCAGAGTTGTTGTACTCCTTCAAAGCTGACAGTCTGTATCAGTTCCTCCAGGAACACAGTCCTCAGACATCACAACAGCCATCCAACTTTTTCTCGGCTTGTCAATGAATCTGATAGTAACACCCTCTGTACCTAGCAAGTCACCTGGAAGGTCTTCGGACTTGAACAGCCAGGCTTCCAATCCGATATACAAGAAAATCCCTTCGTGAACAAGTATTCCATATTCTGGCATCTCCATGTAGATGGCCTTTGTGTCTGAACTTCTTGCGGGATGGAAAGCGAGATCATCCTTTGATACACCACACTGTTACCGATCATAAGCTTCTGGACGAAACAAACAGATCATACAGATTTACCAGTTGAGCGGCCATCTCCAGAACCTCGTCCTCGCACTTGTCTGTTGCGTCTTGTAGCATGGTTAGCGTGAGAGCGAGGGCTTGATGTCGCCGGTTTTCAGATAGCGCTTGTTGGGCTTTTCACTGCAGTGACTGCACAGTAGGTACCTTTGCGCCTGGCAAAAATCCCCTTGACAAGGCACAAGCCTACCTTACCTATGCAAAAGCTGCGGGGTATTCGCGGCCGATGTCCGGTGAGGACCAGTTGTATCGTCTGTTTTGATATACGACTGGTTACACGGCCGCCTGCCTTGCTTGGGAGAGGCTCTATAGTACCAGGTGCGTTATCTGTAGGGACACTTCTACGGTCTTTCGTCAAAAAGCGGTTCTTGGCAGTGCTGAACTTCAACTGGCACAAGATGCCACCAGAACTGGGGATCTACCTGCACAGAGGGCCAAACAACTCGGTGTAAGGATTCAAGTATCAGAGTGTGCCTGGTGCCAAATGTCCTACAAGGTCTCTAGATGTTTAGCTGTCGAGGGCCCAACCACGTATGTTAAGGTTTTGGTGTCTTCCGTAAGGAGGAGCAAGCTACTGTACCTGTTATGCAGCTGATAAGTGCAACCATCAGGGTACCTGGGTTATTCGCCTAACGAGGGCTGTGGCGGGGTCACAGTTTCCTGGGGGCAGCCCGCCGCTTTGATCTTATCAGAGCGCTGGTCGTGTTGACGACCGAATCGCATACTCCAAGCCCACTAACCGAGCCAACCATCCACCTCCCCCTTTGGTTCAGTAAAATCAACATCAAAGGGCGGCTTTGTGAGATTCGCATCTGATGTCATCTGGTCCTAATCGATAACGCGGACTCTCTCAACAACAAGCGACTGCCTGGAGATCCTTCCAACGAAGCCTTGGCAATCGGACAGCACCCAGCTCGAGCATCAGGAAGTTCTCACAACCAAAACGACCTGTTTAAATTTTGCGAGCCGCCGGCCAGTCTCAGCACTTCCCGTACCTTTGTTTCCGACCATTCCCACAACCAACCATGGCCGACGTCGAAATGACCGATGCGCCTACTTCAGCGCCCGTGACTAAGAAGAAGGGCGGTGCCAACGGCGAGGCGAAGGAGGGAAAGAAGCGGTTCGAGGTGAAGAAGGTAAAGCGATGGGTATTGAGGGATCTGGCATATTCACCTGTCGTGTTGACGTGGGCTCTAGTGGAACGCCGTTGCGCTCTGGGCGTGGGACATCGTCGTCGACAACTGTGCCATTTGCCGGAACCACATCATGGATCTCTGTAAGTTTGTTTGCCGCGCCGCACCTGCATCCAGGCCTAAAGTTCTCTTGGGAGCTGACTTCTGCTCCCACTTCATTTCAGGCATCGAGTGTCAGGCGAACCAGGCGTCCGCTACTAGTGAGGAATGCACCGTTGCTTGGGGTATTTGCAATGTGAGAACACCCCCTCGGTCGACCCGTTTGTCGGTGTCACTGACATTGACAGCACGCCTTCCACTTCCACTGCATTTCGAGGTGGCTCAAGGCCCGACAAGTCTGCCCCCTGGACAATAGGGATTGGGAGTTTCAGAAATACGGTCGGTAGGCGAGCGAAGGTTGATGAACCGGGGACGAATGGGACAATAACTACTGCGGATATGGGCTGCGGCAGCTGGGGCGAGAGGAAGCTCGGTAGGAGCGTCATGGGCATGGTTTCGCAACATGGTTCATGGGCCCCAGATCCATCAATAGATGCTCCCATAGGAAGACTGGAGCTGTACAGCAGGGACACGATGCCTGCTGACTCGTTATGACATTATGCATACTCGACTTTTCTGATATGTCCAGGGGTTCCAGACGGTGTCTCCTTCTGCTCCGGTTTCATTTGAGCACGTTGTCGTTGATCACTAGGTTCGCCGGCGGCGTGACTCCTCCGACCGGTAGCCATTTCACAGGATGTCGGTTATAGAACGGCCAGGGCGGAACGACGAGGACGAAGACTGCGGCGGTGCCGATGAGCCCGATGTAGACGGCGAGTTTGATGTCCTGCAGGAAGTAGCCGACAAAGAAGGCAATGGCCTGAGAACAGACAGTTAGCGGTCGCTCCCGGACATGGCAGACAACCAGGCAATCAGTAACTCACTCCGACGAGGGTCAAGGCAACATTGACAAGGAGCTCGACGAGCTTCTGGCCCTCAAAGTCCTTTGGATGCTGTTAGCAGCGGCATTGAGATTGCGCTCGGGAACAAAGCACGAACAATTTGGCCCTCAAACAGGTCGCCGACCTGGTCTAGCAGTTGCTCCGCCATTTTCCTGACGCCTCGCTGCGAGCCGTTGCTGGTCAAATCCGATGAACTGATGCGATAGTGTTGTTCCCGAAGTGGTAAGAGCGCAAAGATGAGTGAGTGCTCCAACGTGGCTTCAGTGGCTTCAGGAGCCACCTCGGATCGTTTTGACCCTAACCCTAAAGTACAGTTTGACGCGCTATCATGTGCCCGCGCGAGGCAGCGAGCTCAACCTAACGCGAGCTTGGTTCCTGGTCTCGGCTGGTGCTGCCTGGACTCTGATGATCCAATGCATTCCATAAAAGAAAATGAGAGCCTTTTCCCTCCAATAATACTTCCTTCTCACCATATCAAATTGTGAGCGTAACTGCCATACAACCTTCCCAACATGGCCGACAAGGAAACCACCGTCTACATCGTGGACCTGGGCGAGTCAATGGCCGACTGCCATAACGGCCGCGACGAGTCGGATCTCGACTACGCTATGCGCTATGTCTGGGACAAGATCTCCACCACGGTTGCCGCTAGCCGCAAGACATGGACAGTAGGAGTGGTGGGCCTGAATACCGAAGAGACCGACAACGCCCAGGACCGCCAGGGGCTTGAGGGCTACGAGAATATCTCGGTGCTGCAGGACATCGGCCCCATGACCATGAGCTCGCTGAGGGACCTGCGGTCATTGATACAACCCTCGCACAGCTACGGCGGCGACGCCATCTCGGCCATTGTGGTTGCCCTCTCCATGATCGAAGGTTTCACCAAAAAGCTCAAGTACAAGCGGCGCATCATCCTGGTCACGAACGGCGAATCCCCAATTGACGATGAGTCGTCAGAGGACGTGGCAAACCGGCTTAACGACTCCAACATTGAGCTGGTAGTAATGTAAGTGTGTGCCCTAATAAGGCCCAGCCTATCTCCTCGACTGACCGTCTCAGCGGCGTCGATTTTGATGATCCAGACTATGGCTTCAAGGAGGAAGACAAGTCCAAAGCCAAGGCAAGTCGGTCCATTTATCTCCTTCGCCGGGTCACCTCGCTGACTCCGTGCAGGCGGAAAACGAGAGGATCCTCCGCAATTTGGTAGAGCAGTGCAGTAATGGCGTGTTCGGAACCATGGCGCAGGCGGTTGAGGAGCTCGCCATTCCTCGAATCAAGCCCGTGAGGCCGTTCAAGGCGTATGATGGAGCCCTTACCCTCGGAGACCCAAGCAAATATCCCAGCGCGCTCAGCATCCACGTCGAGCGCTACTTCAAGACGAAGCGTGCCATGCCACCGCCAGCAAGCACCGTGGTTGTCAACACGGAGCCTGGCGCGCCTTCCCAGTCGCAAACCATCAACGATGAGGATACCGAGATGGGCGGGACAGGGTTTTCTGGCGTCAAGCAAATGCGCACCTACCGGGTCAATGACCCTGATGCCCCCGGCGGCAGGCGAGATGTTGAATTCGAGGATCTTGCGAAAGGATACCAATACGGCCGGACCGTGGTACCCTTCAGCGAGTCTGATCTCTCAATCACCAAGCTGGAGACGAAGAAGGGATTTACAATCCTTGGGTTTGTTCCCTTTAGCAGTGTAAGTCGTCTTGAGTCTGTCTTTCAGTATTTTTGACTTACACAGGCAACAGTACCAACCATTCATCAACATGGGTGAGACAGGCATCATTGTTGCTCAAAAGCTAAATGAAGAGGCGGAGCTGGCGCTTTCGGCCCTCATCCATGCACTTCACGAGCTCGAGTCATATGCAGTGACGCGATACGTACAGAAAGACGGCGCTCAACCACAAATCCTCCTGCTCAAGCCGAACCCCGCCTTGGAGGACGAGTTTGAGTGTCTCTATGACGTGCCCCTGCCGTTTGCAGAAGATGTCCGCAGCTACCAGTTCCCGCCGTTGGACAAGGTGTTCACCGTCACGGGCAGCGTCATCAAGGAACATCGACTGCTACCGTCGAAGAATCTGGAGCAAGCTATGAGCGACTTCGTCGATGCCATGGACCTTTCCGGTTTTGACGAGAATGAGGATGGGTTTGTCCTTGCCCAACTCCAATGTAGATTACAGATTCACTGACATTGGGCCAGGAAACCGGTGGAATATGCTGCTATCGACGAGATGTACAACCCAACCATCCATCGCATCAACCAGGCCATCCGTGCACGCGCCGTGGATCCGGAGGCGCCGATCGGACCACCAGCCGAGATTCTGCTTCGCTTCTCCAAGCCTCCGGAAAAGATCATAAACAAGGCAAAGTCGGAGATTGAAGCGCTAATCGAGGCAGCCGAAATCAAGAAAGGTTTGTCTTTATCCTGGACAGTCCCATCAAACGTCTCATCCTAACGGAGGGAATGACCAGTGCCCGCAAAAACCCAAGGCCGCCGCGGCCGGAAGGAGCCGGCCAAGCCGCTCTCGGGCCTCGACATCGACGCGCTGCTCGGCGAGACCAAGCGCACCACCACCATATCGGCGGACAATGCGGTACCTGAGTTCAAGCAGATGCTGGCGACAGCGAGCGATGACGCCACGGTCGAAAGCGCGGCCAAGCAAATGGGCGAGATTGTGCGCAAGCTGATCCGGGACAGCTTCGCGGACCTGTTCTATGCCAGGGCGGCCGAGAACTTGCGGGCCATGCGCGAGGAGTTGATCGGGCTCGAGGTTCCAGGTCTGTATAACACTTTCCTCAAGCGGTTGAAGAAGAGTTTGTTGAGTGGTGAGTTGAATGGGGATCGGAGGGAGATGTGGTTCAAGTATGTTGTGGGAGGACGTCTGGGGTTGATCACGCAGGACGAGTCCGAGGTGTCGGAGGTTACGGCTGATCAGGCCAGGGAGGTAAGTCAACCTGAGGCCAGGTGGCGACCATTTTGTTAATTTTGAGTGCCAGTGTTGAAACGAGTGTCTGCTGACTGCCGTGTAGTTTGTCACTGGATCGAGTTAAGGATTGGCTATGGCCTCAACTCTCAATGTATGAGGGCATCGTCCATGAATGGGCATATTGCTGTTGAGAAGCAAACTGATTTAGCGCTAATAGTCAGGGGCTGGGTGTCCGCCTTTGAGGCCTACCACGCTGTCTTGACTCTTGATGGTGAGCCTCGTGGTCGTCACGGTTGGCCGTGCTGTTGCACAGGCCAGGCTTACCAGCAGTACTCACGCCTTTCAATCCCCCGTTGTGTTTGCCTTGTCACGGCTCAATTCTCACATGGTACTACTTCGGCAACCTCATTACGATACCTTTGGCAGACAATTGCTGGAGGATGCCGTGATGACGGGGATGGTTGGGGTTCACAATTGTGATGTTCTATGAGTTCAGCCCACTCGCCTAACCCATTGTTTACGAACTTGGCTTGATGTGCACTCGTTGAAACATTACAATACTTCCATTGAAGACAGCGTACAATAAACAGCGCAGAATCATCCTCTCAAGTTTGAGCTTGCTGCCGCTTATGTAGACTTCCGCGGAATGTAAGTTCGTCATTCAATCTGGCAGTTAGCAGGCAAAAAAATCTGGGAGCACTAAAGTTGATTTGACTGCACCTTCCTTCACGCCCCCTTTCCATGTGCACTCTATCCTTAACGGCGCCAGGCACGACTCACGCACCGCCTCACCCAGACATATCCAAATCCGCCTCCCAATTGTTTCTCAAGTGAGCTTGTCCTGTCGTGTGTCTGCCTAGCATCTTTAACAGATTGGAGGTTGGGTTCCAATCCTCATCGTCTCAGTGTGCCCGGTGTGTTGACCATGTCCACAGTATCACGTCCTCCTTGTATTTGCTTCTTACTCAGACTCACGAATCGGACCCCGGCCTCATCCATCGGTCGACGCCCACTCGGCAACACCCGACCATAACGCGGGTCTGTGAGTAGAGCGAATTTTCACTCCCTCTATCTAGGCGGACTGCCCGCTACGCCTTCCCCTTCGCGACTTTCACCTCTCAAAAAAGTCTTGCGAGGCATTGCAACTCAAACGATCATTCCGTCGTTCAATCTCAATAGACGAGACGATCCCACTGCGAGTTCTGACTAAGAAGGAAAATGGAGGACGCTGACTTCCTCGCCCGCCTGCGCGCCATCACGGGCGACGCTGCGGTCTGGGATGGCTTTGACCCGACTGCTTGGTGCTCTCTCCAGTCCGAGGGCGAGGGTTCCGAAGCCGCAGCCGAGGCCACCAGCGCGGCCGAAGGTCAGCAGGATGTGGGCTACGCGTCGGACGACTCAGCGGACATGATTCTCAACCTGCACAAGCTCACCCCCGCCGAGAAGGCCGCCAACACCCGCGCCGGCGGCTCCAAGCTTAACAAGGCGCGCCAGTATGCCGCCGGGGAGAGTGCGTTTTCGGACCAGGTTGCGGAATTGGAAAAGATTGAGTGGAAGGAGACTGGCTATGCCATGGGCGACGTCGCGGACGAAGGCGCAATCTTTGTGCCGTTCGCCCTGGTTCAGAACTACCCCCACATGTTTGTCGGGAAGGCAAACGGCGCTCGCGTAAGTGTGTCAGGTGATGAACTTGATGGCTGTAGAAATGGGTTACGGCTGACCGTTTTGTCCAGGCTGAGCCGCTGTTCACGCTCGACGCTCTTCATGAGAAGCGAGTTTGGGATCTGTAAGCCATCTCACAGCTCTCGCGATGGTCCCAAAAACTGACGGTTTATCAGCTACTACATTCATTGTCCTCCGGACATGAACATGAAGCCCGTTGTGCTGGTTCCCACTTACCAGTTCCAACATCTCCTGGAGGTTGTCAACGCCAAGCTGGAGACTCATCTGACTATCCCTCCGGGCAGGAACGAAGAACGGTTCATGATGTCCTTCGGCATTGGCAACAGTCCCCGGCCACGATTCTTGGGCCGCTCCAGGTCTGCCCAGTCGTTCCAGAATCTGATCAAGGCCATCCCTGAGCCACACCCAGATGATGATGACCTGTCCAAGGCAACTCAGCTTGGTCTCGAAGGGTTTAGGGAGCTCCTCAAGAGGAGCCACGCCGACAGGAAGAGGGGCAAGAGGTCTGATCGAAACCGTCCGAAGCGCATCAAGGCCCACCAGGCTTGGGGCCGGTCCGTCAAGCGCGTGCAGCGCTATCTCGGCCTCCGCGGCAGGACGGCGGGTGATGCACTCGGGAAGCTCGCCGCCCTCGACCTCAACATGCCCACGGTCGATGGTCCGGAAGGTTCCGTCTTGTTTGTGGCTATCGACATTGAGGCCTGGGAGCAGAACCAGGATCTCGTCACGGAGGTTGGCATCGCCATGCTGGACACGGCCGAGATCCAAGACTCCCCCCCCCGCGAAGGCGGCCAGAACTGGTTTCAGCACATCCGCGCTCGTCACATTCGCGTCAAGGAGAACTCGTGGGCTATGAACTCGCGATACGTCCGTGGCTGCGCGGACGCTTTCGACTTTGGGTTCGTCCAATTCCCTTCCCCTCATTTCCTTCCAAGCAGCAATGAGAGGTACTAACTAGAACCTCCGCCGAGCAGAGAGAGCGAATTCCTGCCTCTATCCCAAATCACACCGCTCATCACCGACCTCATCGATAACGCCACAACGCCCGCCGGCGCCCCGCGCCCCGTGGTCCTCGTCTTCCACGAGTCGTCCTCCGACATCAAGTACTTGAGGGTTCTTTCGTACCACGTCGAGGCGGCCCGGAACGTCGTCGAGCTGGTCGACACGCGCGAGATGCACCAGTACATGGTGCGCAGCAACGACGCGGCCAGCCTGGCGACGGTGCTGTCGAGCGTAGGCATCGAGTCGTACCGCCACCTGCACAACGCGGGCAACGACGCCGTGTACACGCTACAGGCCATGGTCGGGGTGGCGGTCAAGAAGAGGGGGATGAGTTTTCAGGAGAAGGAGAAGGGGAAGGCGAAGCGGTAAGTAAATCTGTGTTATTTCCATTCACTTGTTGCTTGGTCGTGTTCGGTGCACAGTGTGTTCTTTGGCGCTGACTTTGACATGATTTTGTCCAGACACGTTCCGTACTCGGAGCTGAAGGAGAAGGACGGGTGGACCAGCAATGAGGACACTGATGGCGGCGAACCGGTCGGTCTCACTCGTGGTGTTCACGTTGGCTACTGGGCTAGCGAGGATGTTGGCAGTCAGGATTGGGCTGATGAGGGTCAGAGCTGGGACAACTGAAGGTCGCCGTAGGGGAGAGAAAAGGTGCGCTAGAAAGTCACTCATGAGAGCTGGGAGAGACTTGCAGCGGCGGGTCTGGTCTTGAGAAAGCGCTCGGATCGAGCGAAGACGTGAAGGCCTGACAAACAGCGAAATGCTTCGTTTTGTGCAAGGACTGAGCGGGATATCCAACGGCGCTGGACCCCTCCAAGCGTGCATGGCCGCGGCGCAGATTAGGATATAATAATGTGTACGGTTGTATATTGGAGGGGAGTCATCAGCGTGCCGCTTAGGCTCTCCTGATTCGTAAAGCGGAAGCTTCGAGTTACCCAACATGCCGTCACCCCTGGGCCTCCCTGATGTCGGCTTCGGTATACGCCACTCTGTCGAAATTCGCTCGCCCCTCCCCGAGACACAACTATAAAGTCCACCTACTTTCACTCGAATCCAAGCCAAACCAAGCCATTCCCAGTCCCAAACGCCAGTGCTATGATCTGCGTGTTGTGTTGTACATTTACATGTTGTGATGATGGTGCTGCCGTTGTTTCGATGATTGCGGGATCCGATTTCGCGGTGAAGGCTGGGGAGACCAGAAGAGTCGTGACCGCGGCACAACGACAGTATCGTCGCTTCTCCCCCTATTCCTCGCGCCGAGCCGGGCCGGTAGGCTGCGCGCTACGCTGGCGAATCGAGCCCAACTGATCAGAGCTCGCGAACTGCCATCTCTCTCTCTCTCTCTCTCCCCCAACTCGATCGAGACTGACTCCCCATTGCAAGGAAAGCTGAGGGGTGTGTGTGTATGCGGGGACCCAAGCGGCGCGCATATCATGACGCGTTCTTCTCAAGGAACTCCTTGGCCTCGTTCACCTTGGTCGCCAGGTACGGGCTCCCGCCGCGGTCGGGGTGGTTGAGAAGCATCAACGTGCGGTGCGCCTTGCGCACCTTTTCCTTGGTTATGCTGCTCTCGCTGTTTTTTTGGTTTGTTTTGTCAGCAACACAACATATATCGCCAGGGGAAAATTTCACGGAGAGATATTTGGGGGGGGAAGGGGGACCGTACTTCAATGACAGAATCAGCGCCGCCTCGCGCCGGTTCATGCGCGGCTCAAACCCGCCCTTGTAAAAGGCCTTGCCCAACGCACCCACGCCGCCGCGCGAGCGCCGCCATGCAACCAGGCCTGCTCTGCCCTGTTACGGAGTTTTTCTGTGTTAGTTGCGATTTCTCGAAGGAGTGGGAGGGGGGGATGTGGGTGGGTGTTTGATCCGAAGAAAGAAGGGCGGGCCGTACGAGGAAAGCGGCGACTGCGACGCCTGCGCCGATGGCGATTGCCGAGGACATTTTGGTATATGGGTTGATATATGCCTCTGCTTGTGTGTGTTGCAGAAGCTGAGTTTGGCGATACTGATTTGAGCGTTGAAGTACGACGGCGAGTTCGGTAGTGGTGATCACGATATGTGGTTTGGTGGTGGTAACTTGCGATGGAACTTTTTCTGCCGGGTTCGACGCCGGGATTTGCCGCTTCTGGTGTAGGAGCAATTGTTACGGAAATATTACGTTGTTACGTTTGGCTTGGCAAAGAGCGAGGTCCCTCAAATTCGCTCAATAGGGATACACTAGTTGCACAGCACTGTGTGCTCCTTGTCAAACAGTTTGGATATGCTTCTCGAGAGAAGATGAGTATTAAAAGTATACTCATACAATCCAGTCATTAGGCAATCCAGGGGGACCCATCGTGTCATAACCTAATCCAGAGACAGCGTCTTCCCGAAGCCGAATCACCCGCAAATACACATCCACTCTCCAGGTTGCAAAAGAGAAAACACTTGGAATCGCCGGCTTCCAACTCCCTACACATACCTACCTGGCCCAAATCGCGGGTTGTTTCTTGTCACTCCCGGACTCCCAGCTCAATCCTCCCCCTTCCACCATGGCCCTCTACTCCTTCTGTCCTAACCCCTGGCCATGATACGTTCTCCCCGGCACCGCCAACACGGCCTCGACCTCCTTTAATACCTTCATCTCCAACTCCTCCACCATCCTTTCCTTCTCCTTCCCCTTCTCAACCTCATCCCCACCATTACCATTGCTACCGGCGTTCCAGTTCCCCGCCCCTCCCCGCCCGCTGAGTCCGCCCGTCCTGGACTTAGCGGCTAAGCTCGCCGCTACCGCCGCCGCCGCTCTGCTCCTCTCCGCCGCCAATTCTGCTTCCTCATCTCTCCCATCATCATTCTGCTTCCCTCCTGTTTCGGGCGAAGATTTCGAAGAACTGGAATTTTTGTTGTGGCTGGAAGAGGAAGGAACGGAGAAGTTGAAGTTGCCCGCCCCGCCGCGCCCCGTCCGGGCGTGAGTTATTGATGCGCCTCCGCCGGACCCGGAGACGGTGGTGTTGGTCTGGGTGCGGGAGGGGGAGAGGGAGGGGTTGGTTTGGGCTTCTAGGTCCTGTAGGATGGATGGGACGGTGTTAGTAAGGTAAGTTATACTGCTTTATCGTCGTAGCAACGGGTTCAGGGAGTGCGGAAAGTGGAGGGCAAACGGACGGTGGCTTTTTCGGCGTCTTGGATGTCCTGCTTGGTATAGTAGTTTCCGGCTCCACCGCGGCCCACTCGGCGGAAAGCGTCGGTTGACATGGCGGGCTTGTAGGTGGCAGTGGTGGTGGTGTTTTGGTTCGTGATCGCCAGTGTCTGGAACAGCCGTAACCAAGCAATTGTAGTTAGACTACCTTCGGTATGTTTTAAAGTATAGAAATGAGAGACACGACGATTTGATCAAAGGTGAATCTCTTGTCGTGGTCTTAATGGGATGTTCCCCTTATCAGTTACACCCCTTATCAGCTCATCTTGGCCTGTGCAAGGTAATTCTTTTACATTTCTCTCCCACGCAGATCAGAACGGCCATGTTGAGACGTCGAGACGCCGCCTCATGGTCTGCCTTTATTCTGAGGATCTTAAAGCTTGCTCACTTGGTCAATCCGTCCAATGTTGTGTGTTATTGTTGAGATAAGACCACAACCTGCTTTTGGCACTATAGGGATCTTTATGCCACGTTCAAGCGGGGCGCTGGGGGCCTCGAAATCGCCGATCCGGATGCGGGGCAACCCTGATCCCCCCACCAGGCCCAAAGTTATGGTCCTTCGAACCCCGGCGTCACTCGACGCCGATCCGTGATCTGGTAGCAGAAGAGGTGATAGAGTTAGTTAACGTTAATTGCCCACGGACGGATACGTCTGTCGAGGGCAGCGGCTTACTCAAGACTGGAACCTTGGACGCCCATCCGGCATGTTCGGAGCGGCACCTCGCGACGTCACTGTTGATCTGGCGTGCCTGACTCCTGCTCTCTTGCTCCGGCCTCTCTAGGCACATTGCGACACTGCTCACCTGTGCCAGGTTATTTTCCTGGTTATGTAAGTTGGGCAGGTTGTCAATCCCCAGCCCCCTGCTAAGGTTATCCGCTTCCCACCCTTCTATCATGTGGCACAACAGAGCATCTCAGCAAGCCACGTGACCGGCGCTGTGAGGCTTGTACCCAGGGGCTGATTGTGGCCCCAGGAAAAGTTGGTTTGGTGTACTAGATCCTGAAGGTAGGTCGATTGGAAAATGGGCAAAGAGTTGTCCCCCCTTCAAGAAGACCAAGGACCGACGGAACTTCGTTACAATGTAAGACGTAGGTCGTGGATCCGGGACTTTGAGTACCTTAACTGGTGGAGCTCCAAAGCTCTATCAGCCACACGATGCGGCTCGAAAATCCTTACCGTGGCGTTGAACCGTTATCGTTTCCGCTGTTGTGTTGATCGTCACTTTCCATCCTTTCTGCCCATCGGCCTCGTGGCGTCTTTCAAGACCATATGCCTGAGCAAAGCGGGCTCAAGGCGGGTCAGAGCAGCGGGCAAGCTTGATGAACTGAGCACCCCAGTGATCTCGTCGATTGGTCGGTGTGGAGCTTGCGGGACGGGAGATGTTCGGCGGGTTTTTCGACAGTCCAACCCGAAGCGATCGGGTGAGGGGTTGCGTGCTTTCGCATGATTGGGCAAGGTTTCTGTCGACAGCGTTCTTGTTGCAGGACATGGGACAAACCAATTGGGACTCCGGGGGTTTATTCCCGAGATCAACAAGTGCAAATGTACGGATATATTCAGCAGCGTCCGCGGTTGTGGCGCCGGAATTTCAGTCCTCCTTGCTTGCGGATATCTCAACCTGTATCATGTTTGGCTCTGGCGTAGCAGGTCTCGGTTACCGTAGAGCGGTTAGATCAGCTTCCTAGAGAAGTGCGCATGGTGTGGCATCGGGCATGGCGAGCGTGATTCTGCTTTCGGACCAGTGGTCGAGATTCAGCGGTTTATAGAGAGACGACCTTTGCCGAGTCTGCTGTGACTGTTGATCAGATATGTGACAGGCACCGGATGCTATCTGAAATCTGTGAGCCGGCTGGGTGGGTAGAAAGTCTCCACGAGGAGGAGGGCTACTACAGCAATGAAAGAAGTACTTGGAGAAGAGCAATCTTGGCGAAAGACAGAATGAGATTTCCAACAAGCATTGACCTTTCTTCAATACCCTCCTCGCAACTCAGGTCTTGACTTAAAACATGACTCCCAGTTCTTCCAGCAGACTACACAGTAGGTACCTTACCTTACAGTCCAAATGAAAACGAGGAGGGGCTGATCCACCTCTCTCAGTGCGACCCCAGCGGGAACACAACAGGCGGGGTAAAGGAGAACATCAACTGGCGGAACACCGTGTAAGTACGGAGTTGCCTTGAAAATGGTGACACTAGAGCGCTCCATGCTGATTTATCTGTTGAAACTCTTTCTCTTGACTCAAACATGGAGCGAGTATGCCAGTTCCATAACTTGCGGTTAGGTTCAATTGATCAAGAATGGAACTGGCTATTGAGTCACTTGTGGGTACCCAGAGCCTAGCATTGCCAGTTCGGTGACGACCAAGGCTCGTGACCTGGCACTTCCTTTCCTGCTTTGTCTCACCATGGCAGCTGACGGGGACACCCCAATCCAGATCGACTGTCCTTTTCAAGGTACAGTACGGCACTAAGAAAAGAGGCCACACCTTCCAGGTTGCTCTCACCGAGACAGGGCTTAAGGCAAAGACAACCTGCTGAGTTAGGTACTCTGGGCCAGCTAGTGCTCTTCCTGCGATGCACCTTTGCAGCATGACAACCTCAAACGCCACGCAGCTTCGGGTAGCCTGTCCAGTCAAACACCCTCTTACACACACGCTGCTGCATTCGGTAGTATCGATGCCATGTATGGATACAGTTCGGCGTATCTTTATCCATCGAGCGCCGGCTAGAGCCAGGTACCTGAACCCGGCGAGGGGCAGTAAGGGTACTTGCCAGGGGCGAATGCGCATCGCCGAATATGTAGCCCCTGTTAGCCAACATTCCAACTCCAGTGGGAGTTCGCTGGGGATATGTGCTCGCGCTTGATGTTGTTGGTCTGCTGAGGTGTGCCTCTCTGGGTGATTCTGTGTCTACGCGGTGCCTGCAACAAATTTACCAGTCCGCCGTTTTTTTTTCCTCGGCTGACCTGACCTTGTTGAGCCACGCGCCTCCCTCTTACAGGCAACACTCCCATCGTGACCCGTAATTCATTCCTCTCTTGTTGGGCTTCGTTCTTCAGACCCTGCCGTTCCAGACGGCGACACAGCCACTTACCTCTCCAAGCATTTGCACTCTTTTCCCCCATGCCATTGCTGCAGCCCAATTGTTGTTTTTCGCTCTTTGGATTTGGGCACCTTATCCAAGCTTGACTGGTTGGCGAGTGACCCCTGGGCCCATACCCTAGGCGGACCCGAAATTATTATTGTTCCTCCCCGCGCTTTCGACCTGCAGCTAGCTGTTCTCAAGCACAATCAACCTCCCAACAATCGTGGGCCACCACCACCTCGCACGCCGATCGACCACAACGCGATTAATTTCGCAGCTCCGAATTCTTGGTTTCGGTCAATTCGGGCTTTGGATAGGACTCAATTCCGAGAGCCGTGCGGCAAGCTGGATTTCTGCAGCGGTACCGGCAATGGCGTCCTCCAAGGTACCTAACCACTTCGTCTTACCTTGGCTGACTGCGAGTTCGGCTTCCCGGTTGCGCATACAGAGATAGGTGCTAATTACGTCGTGTGTCTTAGGAAATAACACACACCTCGCGGCCTCTCACGCACCGGCCCTCAATCTCGTCGACCTCGGTCCCTGGTGGGCTTACACTCGGCCGACAGTCCCATTCGCGAAATAACTCGCACTCGCTCCTCGGCAGCGCTCTCAATGGCGCCCACCGCATTACTCGCCGCAAGAGCATGACAAACACAGGTGCCAACGTGGCGGCCGTGGCGGCGGCTCTGCAGGAATCCGGGGACATGGCCATGCCGCTCCCCATCTCGGTCAACGCCCGCCGACACACCATATCCAAGAACGGACTCTCGCGGCCCGCGATTGTAGGGAGCCTGCCGTCGCCGCCGGCGAGCCTTCCGACTCGCAGGTTCGTGACAGGAAACGGCATGGCCGGCGTGCAGGAAAGCGCAATCGACGACGAACTCAACGACGTTTCCGGAGATGACGCCGAATCGGCCTTCCAAAAGGCCCGCGTGAGGAGGGCTAGCGACGGCCAGCCGCTGGTCAAGGAAGGTGGCCGGAAGAACAACCGCCCGGAACTTCGCTGTGAGAAGTGCGGGAAGGGATACAAGCATAGCAGCTGCTTGAACAAGCATTTGTTTGTGCCCATTTTCCTTTCCCTACCCTCTCCCACCCCGTGGTACCCGCGTGCGGAACCGGCAACCCCATACCGGTCATGGATTCCAGGCTACGCGAGTTGATAAAGCACTTGTGTTGACTTGTGTGCCCGTTCAGGTGGGAGCATACTCCCGAATGGTCCTACACTTCCAAGCTCTTGATCTCCAAGCACCAGCAAGTCCAGCTCCTCGAGGCCGCCTCGGTCCTGGTTGCCATGAACAACAGCGCAAGTAGCAACAATGGAGCTGCTGCTTCTGCTGCTGCTGCCGCCGCCGTCCCGACAACCACGACCCCTCCGGACTCTGCGCGGGATTTCATTAGCGACCGGGATTCCGCATCCCCTGCAGCGAGCGGGTACTCGGAGCAGCCGGACCGCGGATCTGCCGACACGACCCCGCCGCCGCAGCTAGACGCCATCCACCCGGCCAACGCGCCCTACAGGAGCTTCGGAAAAAGGTACAGTAGCGGAAACGGACTGTCCCGATCGTACCAGACGGCGCCGTACGCCAGTTCCGCTGCCGGCAGCGTGCCCAGCGTTTCGGGCTTTGGGCACTTCCGGCAGTTCAGCCAGGACGTGAGGCCCACGTCGTCGGGCAGGAATGCCACGGGACAGGATGACCGCGAGCTCGCCGCGGCCGTGGAGCTGCTTAGTTGCAGCTTCAACAGCAACGGAGGGTCCCGAACAATGGTCCACCTGGCCGCCGACGCGCCGCCCGTCCCCCCGCTGCCCGCGCAGTACCTCGACCAGGGTATGTTGTCTGGTACCAGTTTCATCAACAGCTACCCTAGCAGGGCTCCCGAGAGCTTCACCCGCGGTGAGCTGCCACGGGTCGACGCCAAGATGGAGGAGAGCGGCGAGAGCGCCATGGACGACGACGACGAAGACATGCGGTCCCGGGCTCGGAGCGATGAGGAGGAGGACGGCGTCTTTGGGAGGATGGAAGAGTGAGCCGCCCGGCCGTCGGCTGGGCTTCTTTTTCTTTGGATTTTCTGGAGAGAGGCAGCGCTTGAGCCATGGCCCGCTTGGATTTATGATATGGATACGGTTATGGATATGAACGGATCCGGTCTCTTTTGTATACCTATGTAAGCGTGTAAATTAGGCTCGCTCCGCGACGATGGTTGGCACCGAAGAGTGGAGAGCGCGTAGCTCCTATCGGACGCGTCTGGTTGATGGAGCGCTCGCCGGCTCCACGAGGTTAAAGCGAAGGTCGTGTGTGAGCGTCGAGCGAGCTGCGAATGTTTCCTGTTGGTGGTAGTGATGGGGTTCTTCTTTGGTCAGGAAGATGGTTGGGATAGTCAATAAGCTGGTGCCTCCAGTTGCCCTCTGTGGGCCAAACGCACATAATGGGAAGAATATTGACAATGGAGGGGCTTGAGGGATGATGAGTGTCGCGGAGCATCGGTCGTTTGTCAAATGGAGTTATGCGGTCGACTCGGGAACTTGCAGGTAGCCATCGCTCCTGTGCAGCGTCCAGGACCACTAGCCGAATCCTACATCTGGGCAATATGATCCTCGGGGTTCTGTTGGTAGGGGTTGATAGTCAACTTCAAGCTTGAGCGGGTCGAGACAAGGTTGTGAAGGACGGAGCCTCGTATCGGCATGCCACTGTGCGCGGCCAAAACTGCTCATGATGGAAAGAGGAATCGTCTGAGTTGTGGTTTGTTTGCTTGAGGTGCTGCTTTACCTAAGGTAGCGGAGGACTGGTGGTTCAGATCGCGCTAGCAATGAACCGGGAAGACACCCAGCGCAGCGGGGACTGCACCGCCCGAGCCTGGCGAGCCTGGGATGAGAGCGGGGGAGCTGGACCTGGCCACAGGCATTGGGTTCCAGTGTTTAGTGCCGATCCCGGTCTCCGACGTCACAGGCTCCACTGTCTTCACGACAACCTGGAAGCTTCAACTGACGGGACGCTCACTTGAGCGCCCACCTCGATCCTGAGTCGCATTCCACATCAACAATCTCATCAAAAAAACACAGAAAAGTCGCACTACAACCTCCATAGGGGCATGGGGGTTCTGTTCACAGTTCTGCCACATCGGAGATTATCTGCTTCAGAAGCGTAACCCGGATCGTGAGATTGCCGGCGTCGCAAAATATCGGCATCCGGGCTTGCTTTCGAATGTATTTTCGTCTCTTCGCTTCTCAACTCAGATTGAACCCTCAAACAACCCCCACGTTTGACACCTACTCACCTTAACGATACCGCAGTCATGGGCCGAGCCAAAGAGGCGGGGGCTGAGGCTCTCACCGCCGTTGTCGATGGAGCCGCAGCAGCAGCAAGAGCGGTGTCGCAGCATGCAGATACGGCCCCGGCCCCGTTCGGAGCCGCCGACGAGCCCACCATGGCCAAACCCAGGACACTATCGAGAGGACGCGCCCATCACCGCCTGCCCGATTCCGCCCGCTTCGCGCTAGCGGTCGTCTTGAGTTTTGCGATTTCGTCGCTTGGCCGCTCATTTGTCGACCACTGCAGCGATAATGAAATCGGCAGCATTACGAGAGAGGGGAATTCGAGAACGGAGTTATTCCTCCTGGCTGCGCGGAGACTGTAGGTTTTCCGTGCTGCCATCACTACCTAGCGTCTGAAATTACCTGATTTCGCCTTCCTTTCCAGCTTCGGGTTGGGGAGACTGCAACCCCCTTCATTCAGCTCGGCCAATACTGACCCTGCCAGGTCTGGACTAGCCCTGGGCTGGTTCGCAGACTACGATTCCTACGATCTTGCAGCCCTCGCTCTGCTTGCGCATGGCCCTGCAGTGAGTTTGCCCTTGTTGATTGTAACGGTCCACGGTCCTTCCCCGCACAGGGCAGTCCCGGGGCATTCCGCGTCGCACTCCTCTCTCCCGCATATCCCCCATGGCATGGTAGGCGCAGTTGACTAACGTGCACGGTCCAGATCTATCTCATCTCTGTCTTCTACGGAATTCGTGCCATGACCGCGGGCGCTTACCTCAGCGTCGATGTGGTATCAGCTTTCTTGCCTTTCCTCCTCCTGCGGCGCCTGTCTGGTGCCCACACAGCAGCCCCCGGGATCGCCAACCGCGACATCGTCGCCGACCGGGGAATCCAAGTCCTCACATCGGTCCATGCCGCCCTCGTATACAGCGTGGTGTTGTTCCTAGCAGGCCGATATCTTCTGCCCAGCACCTTGGTGCTCCACTTTCAGGGCATCCCCACCATCCTACCGGCCGCCGAAGCTCCATTTCTCGGCCTCGGCAGTCCGACCACTCTGATTCTCAGCCTACTGCTCGGCCTAGCGGCGCGGACCTTCATATTTACGCCGCTTGTCGCTACACCCCGAACGTCGGAGGATCAGAAACTCGCCGAGTTCGATCCCGTCAATGCCACTCTCAAAGAGACAGTAGCGTGGAATTTGTGGGGCTACACCACCCGCACCAAAGTGTCTCTCATCCGGACTGCCATGGCCATGCTGTTCACCGCGGTGGGGACCTACTTGGACACTACGCTGGTGATCAAGGGTGTCGAGCCCTACGGCGCGGCTGTCTACGCCAGCGTTTGGGTCACTGGCGCTCTAGTGACCGGAGTGACGTTGCGATACGTCGGCAGCATCTGACGTGCCTGGGCGGGTTGCGCGTCGAGGAAGACCGGATGACGTGCCCTGGGATTGTTGTCATCTTGTTTACGTTAAATCGGAAGACGAAAAGGCTGATGATGTGTCCCGGGATGACGCGGGGTTTGGGGAAGCTGCAGACTCGGGATCTATGGACGTTGATCCGTGTGGCTACGGATCTCGCATGGTCCGGGCATCCAGATTATCGCGCATCCATCTCGGTCCCTCTTCGACCGTGGTTGGGGTAGCATGCAGCCACGACGGCTTGATTTTTTGACAGTCTGAGCAAGGGGTAGCAGGCCTCGTGGAACCCTGGAACCGGCTGTTGAGTGTGCGTGCGTTGTTACATCCTTGTCTCGCATCCCGTGACTGGAAGAAATTGGCGCGCGTTTGCGGCAACTGTAGCAGTCAACACGTGAAGACAAGGGTAACGGTCTCTATGCCAAGACCCAGCTGAAGGCGAAACCGCCTTGTGGAGGGTAAGGTAAGGCTTTCTGGTCCTGCCAGGGGCATGAAACGGCTTTCCGATAGAGCAACCGTCGCGAAAGAGAGGAAAGATGGGCGGGGTGGTATGACAGGTGGAAACATGTCGACTGCCCTGTGAGTGAGCGACTTCAGCCGCGCTGCGCCTTACCTGAACTTTTAGCGGGTATCACCACCCGGGCCGACGAATAACAGAGCGAGAGTGACGGGATTTGGACACCTCGTTCCGTACCAGCCCTGGCACGCACCCCATAGCCGCGCCCATGACTACCGCCCGGAAACGGCTGGCGGCCTCAACAGCTAGAATTTCAACATTTCACTCAGGTCGGCAGGTTGGAAAGGGCTGAAAGGGCACGATTTTGAATCGAATGAAGCTACCAGCGGCTGCGGCTGCGGCTGCGGCTACCAATATCTGCTTTGTGGGTCGGCAATGAGAGAAGCATCTAACCTGATAGAGCTGGCTGCGCCTCTGAGCCCGATGGCTCGGCCGAATGGTCCAATCACGCCCCGTCGCATGACTCCAAGGGCTCGGAGCCGCGCTGGTCTGCAGAAATTTTGTCCCCCGAACCCGCGTCTAAGTTGCTCATACCGGAACCGGGATGCACCCTTCTTTCTGCTTCCCCCTTTGGGACTGGACTGAAGAGGAATGTTACATCTGCGTCTCAATGGAAGGCTGAGAGCAACCTGATTCGCGCCTCCGAAATGGCTCGACATGTTGTTTTTGATCTGAGCAGGGGTGAGGGGAGCGCACCTGGGTAATGTGAAGCGGGAAACAACGCATACCCATCTCGGCATGGACGCTCTCGTAGATCCTCCGTCGCCGCACCCCCTCGACACTTCGGTCAGTGCTCACAGACTGAAGCTAGGACCGACCTGGCATGGGCGCTGGTGGAGAGTGACTTGGCGAAGTCCTTTGTTACGAGCTTCAAGCTGTGGACTGTATAGTACCCCAACGAAAACTAGACACGACCTACACCTTCATCATGGGCCTACGCCTGCTCCTGAGCAAGGGCTGGGCCGATACGGTACCGTTGCCGCTTTCTATATAGCTTCCCGAACATCGCCCTTCCGGGCCCGGCCAAATCCGGTCTTGCATATCCAACACTCCAACATCTAAGCCCTGCTGCCCGTCGTCATTCTGTGCGTCTGGCTGGATTTACACAGTCCACCAGTGGTAGTGATGCGTCGAGCATGACGGCCATGCCGGACGGGTGCCATCGGGAAGCTGGATCAAGTCGTACCGAGCCGCTACTGATATCACCGTGTCGAGGGACATGAAAAGGGGCACTCTCCCTCCTCCGGTTGGGAGGACGACGACGACAGACTCGGACGCGACATCAACATCAACACCCACAACTACAACCCGTGTTACTACTACCACCCCAGCGGCAACAAATCCTACTACTACTAGTACGCCAACCATCATCACCACCGCCGCCTCCTCACCATCCACATCCCCATCGCCATCACCATCAACACCATCAACAACAACAACGACAACAACAACAGGCGCAGCACCCACCCCGATCCCTTCCAGTGCCACCACATCAACAGCACAAGACCCAACAACCACAACAATGTACGAATACGAACAAATAATGACCTTTGACCAGCCCATCATGATGGGCAGCCACCACCACCACCCCACCGCCTCCTCTTCTTCCACCACCACCTCTTCCGGCTCCGTCAAGAAGAAGAAGTCGATCAAGTCGGACAACGCGCTCGACCTGCGCGGGCCGATGGACGTGGACGGGTCGGTCAAGTCGATGGCGTCGGTGACACTGACGGGCGACTTCTCGGTGCGCGAGCGGATCGAGGCGTACGGCAACCTGGACGTGAGCGGGAATCTGAGCTGCGGGGGCAAGGTCAAAAGTATGGGGAATGTCAAGGTTAATGGCGGGGTTGTTTGCATGTGAGCTCTCTCTTTCTGTCTGTCCTCTTTGAATGTATTTGTTTTATGTGTGGTTGCTGATATGACGGGGTTTCCAGGGACAAGGTCAAGATTTTTGGGAAGCTTAAAATTAATGGGACGATGGAGGTGCACGGGGACTTGGAGGTCTGGGGGGATTTGAGGATCAATGGGTATCTGTAAGTTATGCCGCTCTCTTGTGTTTCCCGGGTGTGTGGTTTGGGTAGGTCGAGACCGTGGACGAGATGGCTGACTGGGAAGCAGAAAGTGTAGGACGTTGACTGCCTATGCCTCCCTCACGACCGTCGGCGACCAGTCATGGTATGAGGTTGAGGAGGGCGAAAAGGTCCACGGGGCAAAACTGATCCAGCGAGATTACATCGGCTAAGGAAGGAGTTTATTGCTTCTCTCCTTCTGTTGTTGTCTCTTCTATGGTGATATGGATAGGTTCGGAGTTGTACACACTGGGTTACGGTTGGGATTTGGGATAATTCTATGGGTTGGCTTTTGTGTTCCTTCTTCTTTCGCTTCCTTCCCGCTGCGGCCACTTGTCCACCTCGGATCACTATAGTGGCACGCTGCCGGAACTGAATTTGAGGTGGTTAACATGTACGATTTGTTGGGGGCCGCCTTTGCCTCGCATCGAGGCTTTGGGTTTATTCAGGAAGAGTTGTTGTTGTCAGTGCCTCGGCCCATCCCGAAGCCTGGGTTGGCACAAATTGGCCATCCGCCACTTTGGCTTGCTGCCCATTGACTCTTGTCCAAAGTTTCACTCATGATTCGCGCCGATCAAGGTTACGTCGTCTAGTGTACGCTCAGCCGGATGAAACGTTTCCGTAGGATGCACTCAAAACCCCGTTGATGTGCCGAAGATCGGCGTTGCTTGTTTGAAAGAAACACTATGTTCCAAAGAGGGAAGGGCGAGGATCAAGTTGCAGGATCTAGACTCGGAAGACAGGGAAGGAAGACCTCAGTCATGATGACAAACTTCGACTGGTGCACAGGGACCACGCAGCAAGCCGACTTTGGCTTAGCGGATGCAGCTGAGCCCCTCGATAACACGTGGGGGACGCTTCGGGTCCCGTTTCCACTTGCCTGCCACTCCCATTTCTTGGCGCGACCCCGAGCGCGTTCCACTTCCAGGTTCACACTCAACTCCAGCAGTCCATCGACGGAAAAGCCGTACTGCTAGCGGCAACAAAAGCGACGTCTGAGTAACACGCTACAACCGAGCCGCACTCATAGGAAGAATTCTACAGCCATCTACAAATCGGGGTAATTGAAGGGGAATAACAGCGACGTTTTTCCACGACGCAAGGCGGGTGAAAGCGCCGCAACAACTCACAATGGCTGCAGAAGTCCTTCTGCGACCTGACATGGACGAAGCTATCTCGCCCCGGCAGCCGGCACCGCCGTCACTCGAACGAAGCCTTCGGCCGGGGGGTCCCGTCAACAACCCCCTCAACCATCTCGACCTCCGCGCCGACCCCGATGCACAGGCCACCGTTTCCGACTTCCTCGACTTTACCGAATACCTCCCAGCCGACATTGCACGTGCCCTGACCCTAGTTGGTGACCTCGACCACACGTACGTCGATGAGTCGACCAAACTCCACGATCTCACCGCTGCCTGGGGCCTCGAGAAGAGTGGCGCCGCCGAGCTGCGCGTCGAGCTCGCCGATGATGTTTGCCACTCCGTGAATCAGCGCGCATTTGCCTTGGCCGAGTCTCAGCGCATGATCGAAAACGTCAACCGCCACCATGTGCGTGCTAAAACCATCCGTGGAAAGCTGGAGACGATGCGTGAAAACTACCCCGGCCCCGAGGAGCAGAAGAGCCCCGTCACAGCCAAGTCCCCGAAGATGTTACGGGCGGCAAAGGCGGCCGCCATTCGCGGAGACGGGCAAAAGGTGCGCAGGCCGCGAGTGCCACGAATCACCGTCCCGGGAGAGGTCCTCGCCCCTTACGACTTGACCTACGACGCGTATACGACAGGCACGGATAGCAGCTCTGGGGAGGAACAGGCGGATGAGGAAGGACTGTCAAATAGGCCCACCCCAGCTCCGCATACACGAATCAAGGTAGTCAAGCCGAGGACTCCTAAGCCAGGCAGGCCACCTCGGTCTAGATCTTCTGTGCCACCGCCCAACTTGCCGGGTCCCGGACTGTCGACAAGCGGCGCCATGACTCAACTAGCACCCCCTCCGGAGAATGCCATCATTGGCGGCCCTGACGCGCCTTGGGGCCAGCTCACGGCATACGAACTTGCTCGGCTTAGGAAACGGATGAAGAAGAATGCTGCTTGGGCCCCTAGTGATACCATGGTTGCACGAGAGCTGAACGCACTGGGCAGAGGAATGGACGCCTTCAGAGCTGCGAAGAAGAAGGCTGAGGAAGAAGGCCGGCCTTTTGAAGGCACCATGCCCACGCCCTCTGTCGATCCTGATACGGGCGAAAGAAGGATGCCGCCTGGGGCTCTGACCTTGGAGACGTCGGACGAAAAGAGTCTGAGTAACCGCGGGATGAAGCTGAATGAGGCCAAAAAGCTCAAGAGGGAGATGTTGGCTAAGATGGCTGCCGAAGAGGCCGAAGAGTCAGCTAGGAGATTTGACGCCATCGCCAGAACACTCATGTCTGACGCGAACCAAGGCAACGTCCAGGACCAACCCAAGGCAGCCGGCAAAGCGAAGGCCCAAAGGAAGCGCAAAAGAGACTCGGCCCCGGAGGCCGAGGCCGAGAAGATGGAGACGGCAGAGGGCCAGGCTCAGCGGCCGCAGCTCAAGCGCACAAAAACGGAGACTCCGGTGCCTCCCCCGGTGCTCACGCCGGGCGGTTCACAAATGCCTCTCGAGACTCTAACGCAGCCTCTCCAGCGTAACTCGACAGGGGGAACGCTTCATTCCACGACGCCAATTCCGCTGCCAATCCAGGGCCAGGAGCAGTCCATCACCGCGAAGTCCGCAACACCCGCTGCGTCGGCAACCTCTCCGGCGAGCAGCTACGCAGGCCAAACCGGTGGTATTCTACCGCCCGTCAAGCTCCCAACAACTGAAACACCGATCCCGCCTCCGGTGATCTCCCCAAAGAAATCCATGACCCCCATTCTTCCACCTACCTTAGACACTCGCAAGACACAAGCAGCTCGCCAGGAACAGCAACAACTGGAAGCCCGGACCGCCCAAGCCTTCCCTAGCCTCTCCCGCTCCGCGAGCCCATCAACTGCCACCAAACCCGACCCCGGTGCCACACCAACAGCAACCACAACAGTAACCCGCCGGCCCGCATCCCGCGGCAAGGCCACGAGCCAAGAACCGCAGCCCTCCCTGGCCGCAGACCGTCACCGGCGCGCTAGCACCGCCCGGAACACGCCCGCGCCGGAGCAAACCGTGACCACCTCCACCAACACACCCGCATCCGGCGGCGCAGCAGCAGCGTCCGCCGCCGCCGCCGGGCGCAACTCCGCAGGCAAGCGCGCGAAGCGGCCCGCCCCAGGCGTCATCAGCCGGACCAACAGCGGCGGTAACAGCGCCGTAGGCAAGCGCAAGGCGGCGCCGCGCAAGAAGACGAGCTCTGCCGCGGCGGCAAGGAAGAGCAAGGCTGCGACCACCGCCGCCGATATGCAGGAGGTCGAGGTTGATGACGAGGGCAATATCATTGACCCGCTCGAGGCCAGGTATTGTTTGTGTAATCGAGTCAGTTTTGGGACCATGATTCAGTGTGATAACGTTGATGTGAGTTCTCTTTCTTCTTTTTTTCTCTCTTCTCGCTGTCTCTTACTTCCGCTTGGGGCTATCGCTTAGTTTGGTACTGGTATTGGATGTGTTGTTGACGAGAGACGAAAACACAGAATTGCAAGCAGGAGTGGTTCCACCTTGAGTGTGTCGGGCTGTCGGACATACCGGCGCGGACGACAAAATGGTATTGTCCGGATTGCAGGAAGCTCCTGAACATCGGCGAGAAGGGTGAGGTTAGCGCCAGGGGCATCAAGGCTTGATTGCGACTGTTCTTCGCTCTTTTCATTTCTCCCTCGGAAGCGGTGTGATTTTGCCCTTATTCTCTGTTTAGTCCGTGTTTCTGCTTCACATTGTTGTTGCTTCAATGGTTGGCTTCAATTAGAGTCTGGGATTGGGACATTCTTCGGAGAAACTTGAAGTGTAACTATAGAGTTCAGAGCGGTTGGTCAGTCCATGGCTGGTTCAAGAAGGTTGGAGGTGGTCCATCGTGCTTTCGAGTTAGACATGATGTGTAAGGTACCGTATTTGTCGGTGTTGGTTGTCTAGGCTGATTGTAGCGTGTACAATGCAGGCATGCGTATGGTGCATCCGTGGGCAGATACAATACTGCTAGTTGTCACCAAAATTGAAATTCGTAGGGTGGGCATGGACCTGCATATGGGAGATCGACGTCGTCATGGCGTATGATGCAGTGATACACGGCATCATACGCCAATATTATGGGAAGAACGGACGTGATGGCAACACAACGACGAGCTGCCAACCACACCCACCAATCGTCCCACCAGGGAGCCCAGACACTTCTAGAATCATAGACGGCAAGCACCTCGAGCCCAGTATATCGTGACATTTTACGCTCTGAGCCAACTTAAGGTATGAACAACGACGACAGCAGCATCGAGACTCAGACACACCTCGACTCTCTCACCATGGCACGAGACATGAGTTTGAGTTCAACTTTTGGCTCACTGGCGACGGCGGCGGGCAAGCCCGGCGGGGAATCGGGCTATGAGCCGTGGTATCCAAACAACGTACCCGTCGACTCGTCGGTCAAGCTGTTCATTACCCGCTTCTTCGAAGTCTCGGACGATCCGGACCGCAACGACGAGTGGGTCTACTTCTTCCGCGAAGATGCGACGCTCATTATGATGAAGGATATTGCCAAAGGCAAAGATGGTGAGTGTCCATACACTACAGGCCCCAGGGTAGGCAGTTCGGTTTGAACTATTGTCTCATACTTGTGTGTATTACAGAGATCAGGAAACTAAGACGCGACATGTGGAGAGACGTCGAGGCGCGCAAGCACCGGCTGGTCAAGTTGTTCCCGGCCAGCTTCTCGCCTGACCAGAAGGCGGTTATGGTGATGCATGAAAAGGAGTTCATGCTGTTTGGGGCCGTCGCGTACCGGATGAAGGACGGATCGGAAGCGGTGGCCGGGTTCGCTGCTCATGCCCAGTTGCGGAGGGACAGCCTTAACGCGTCGTGGAAGTTTGTGTTCTATAGGGTTTATGTCCAGAAGTGAGAATGGTGAGGCTGTGGGGTGGCTTGCTCCCTTTTTCCCACTCTACCTGACCTTAGTACCATTCCCGGTTCTTGCCTCCCAGAAAGGGGTGGTTTGTCTGTCATGTGGTCTCTCTTCCCCGCCCGTCATGCCAGCGTGAGTGGCTGGCTTGTCGTTCAGTTGCCGCCTGAGATCGTCATTGTCTCGGCAGTGTTGTCGGCTGGTGGCGGGTAAAAGAGCTAGGTCGGCTAAGAAGAATTAGGTATTAGATAAACTGCCGTAGTCGAGTCATGGTCTCTGTAGGCGATCTCGAAGATCGGGCGAACAGACTTGTCCAGATGGGGATGTGGGAGGTTCGAAACACTATCGGGCGTTCGTGGAGTTGACGAAATAGGATTGCTCTGCTTGGAAGCCTTCTTGGTGGAGGGTTGCGGAGTGACTGCAGGCCTCAAAACCGACTCATCCGGCGAGAGCATGCCGACCATCCATGCATACGTGATTCTCCCCTTGATTGTTTATTGTACAAGTGCAATACAAGTCCATCTTCAAAATCGAGCACAGAAACGCCCAAATGGTTCCTAGTCCTTCTTCATAGATCCGTGCTTGACCGAGGTCATTGGTCAAGGTCAGCAGCAACACAGGAGGAGGTCATTCCGGCTCTGAGCCACCAAACCGGTGGTGAATGACCTCGGGTATGCAATGACGTAAGGTTTGGGAGGGTTCTTGAGCTCCTTGAACCGTCCCACGCCTTCCCATGACTTCCCAGTCAATACGTGTTATCTCCTGTATAGATCTTGCTCAACTACCTAAAGTAGCTCGGGGCTCTGTCGAGCCGACTTTGGAGAATCTTCCAAACACACGACGGTGCAGGTTGCAGTGCTCCTGACGATCGTTGAAGATTCATCTCTCAGTGGGACGGAAACAGCGACAATCATCAGCCCCGCCAAAAGCTGATAGCCCACGCTTATCTGCTTCGCCTTCCCGTTCACAGCTGCAGAACCCCAAGCGACAAGTGGACCGTTGCTGCAGACCCCACCAAGCCACAAGACCCCAGGAATGGGAACCCCCCTCCTTGCCTTCTTCGGCCGACGTGCAACCTGCAGCAAAGCCCCGCCTTTACGCGACTCCAGGTCTGTGGTTGCGCCTGTCGACCACCCCCAGCGGCCTTGCTTCGAGTCACAGCAGCACCTCCAACAACTGTTGACACATCCATCCTGTCCCGCTTGTCATCCCATCTTCGCAGCCAACGACACTCTTTCCTGTCCATAACGAGTTATCAAACAGACGAACCTTCTTTTCTTTGCTTTTCCTGCATACTCGGCGTTTTTGTTTCGTTTTATCTTGGTGCTAGAAGAACACCCCTTTCAAGCTTGGGCAGCGTCTTGTGAATTGCCGCTCCTTTGTCCCATCCGATAGCTTGCCGGCCGATTCTACATACACATAACCCATCAGCCCGGCTTTCAATTTCTGTCCTACATCAACCGCCAACGCCTTACAGCTATTGAAGGAGCCGTCGGATACATTGAGCCTATCTCGGGATTACTCTACCAGCTGGCACCGACTTCGGCTTCACGCCGAAAGGTGCACTACTATTGCCGCTCGAGCAGGCCACTGCTCCGCTGTCTTTATTAGTTGCCATTCATGCCAGGTGCGCCTCCCTCTTCGGACCCTTCCCCTCTGCTTAGGTTGCTTGGATGCTCTAAAACCAGCTTTGCCTGGTTATACGACATCTCGGCAACCCGACCACCTCGTGTGGTGGGGCTTGAGGTTAACCCTCTTCCTCCGCAACAGGCTCTAAGAAAGACCGGAAGAATGGCAAAGAAGGCGGCAGCGTCGTCGCGGCCGTGACCAAACATGGTGCCAAGTTCGCGTGGGTTTCTAGGTCCTGTGCCTAACTTGGCTCTTGCCGCGTTGGCCATCCCATCTCAGGGGCTTGACGCTGACCACGTCACAGCAACGGGACCGCTACCAAGGAACCCTCCTCAAACTCCTCGCCCGTTGTCTCCCCAGAGATGAACCCTTCCAGCTTATCGTCAAACGACAACCCCGTTGCATCGCCTTTACTGGATGCCGTCTCGTCGACATCCTACGCAACGAGCAATTCACCGAGCACAAGGGAATGGGCAAGAGGGCTTGGTGCAGGCATGGCCGGGTCCCCCGGAAACCTCATTAGCCTGGTTGGCGAGTCTCCGCCCACGGTTCCTTCTTCTTACGAAGACACGCGCGGTTTCCGATCTGGCTGGTCCTCGCCTAGACCTGCTGTAGGCTACCATCCGCCCTCGGCATCGCCATCAACCGGGGGTCGCAGGCCACTGAGTTTCCACATGGATAACCAATACTCTCCTCCGGACACCCATCTTCAGTTCGCCGCGGCCGCAGCAAGACGCAGCTCGATGCATTCGCATTACGCCCAGGTAAGGGCTGCCTCGAACTCGCCGCTTCCGCATCAGCCACAGCCGCATTTTTACGGCACAACAGGTTTAGACCTCGGCCTGCAGCAACCGGCCGGCATGAAGCCAGGAGAGAGGGGTTACTATTTCGGCTTCGATACGCTTTCCCCTCAGGATGCCGATCGCACCCGTGGGAAGGACAATGTGATCCTGGCAGGGTATGAAGGTGGGCTCGAGGTTTTCGCGACCGGAAAACACGGCATCGAGAGTGTTGCCAGTTTGAAAGGGCTGCGCGGAGGCATTTACCATGCCAAGGTTCTGCCATGGACATCCGAGAACTCGGACCTGTTTCCTCTAGTGGCAGTCGTTCTCCATGGCCCCAGCATTTCCCTCCCGGCGCCGGAAGTGAACGTCGAGACCGACTACGATGCCGTTTATGCTGAGAGGTCTGATGCCATGAGCAACGCCAGCCCGGAACCCCCCGCTAGGAATGTCGGGAACCGCATTGCGGCCGGCTTTGTGGAATCCTATCGGACGACTGTTGAGATCTTCTCGTTAAAGACGGGCCGCCAGGTGAGCGTACTTCTTGAGGCGCCTAAGATACCCTTCAAGCCACCCATCACGAGCGCGACCTTCCAGGCACCTCCCCCAACCGGTGCTTTCCACATCCATGCAGATGGCGGTAATCTTGTGGTATCGTCAGGTATTACAGGGGAATGTTGGGTTTACCGGCAGACGCCAGCCACGAACGATCACCCGCTTCACTTCCGCTGTCATGGCAAGCTCTGGACTACTCTGCAGCAGCCGCCCAAAGGAGAAGCAACACAAGAACCTGAGAGAGGCCGTATGCCCGCCCCGCAACGTCCTCGGCCCCAGGTTGCGATCCTGAGCGTCAGTGGCAGATGGATCGCGTATTGCCCAGCCGCGCCATCTTCTCAAATTGCCCTGCAGGCTGTGGTTCCGGTGCCTGCATTCGGCCGTGCTCCAGGTCTGGCATCCGTGACACCCCCACAGTTGCCGCCTGTCAGCTCGGACCTTGATCTTCCCGTGTCTGAGAGTGTCATGAACAAGATCATGCGGGACGCCACTCAGGAGCTAATCCAAGGAGCTAAATGGGTCGGCAAGCAGGGTTGGCAGGCTTGGAACAGCTACTGGAACTCGCAGCAGAGCCAGCATGCACGGTCACCAACCCTCGCGCCCCAAAGCTGGGGCGGAGCGGCTGGTTTACGCCCAGATGCCTCTCAATTTCCCCCGACACATGGCGCAGTCGCGCAGCCGGTGGCGAAAGAGCCGGGTATGATTTCCATATTGGATATCGAGAGTCTGGCTTCTTCGACGATGCCGCATCCGATTACCAGTTTTGCTCTTTCCCAGGGCTGCAGCTTTCTGTCGCTTTCGCCCTCCGGTCTCTCCCTGTTCAGCGCAAGCAGCAAGGGCGATGTGCAGACGGTCTGGGACTTGATGCGCATTCAACACACCAAATCTTCACCACTCCAGGCTACCGGTCTGTCATCCGCGGGCCCACGGGTGCGGCAGATTGCCCAGTTCTCCCGGCTGACCGTAGCCCGCATCGTCGATGTCGCCTGGACACGTCCAAATGGCGAGCGTTTAGCTATGGTCACGGAACGAGGCACCGTCCACTTGCTGGACTTGCCGCCAGCGGCCTTTGTATGGCCTCCGCCGCGCCGTAGACGGGCCCAGGAGGTGAAGAGTCCAGCAGCCGACGGCCCGACTTCAGCCGTCTCTATCGCATCAAATGCTCTGAGCTCCGTCCGCGATGTCGCCCGCCCTCTCATCAACCGCCAGCGCAGGAGCAACTCCAACGCTGCACCGGTGGCGGCCGCTGGCATTGGAGACTATGCCGCTCATGGTGGGAAAGTCATTGCCGCTAGCATCAGTCATTCGCTAGGCAAGACTGGCATTGCGATCAGTCAGCTACGGCACACTGGCGAGAACAGAGTCTCGCTCCCGAACTCAGCCACGCTCCCAGGCCCGTCATGCGTGACGTGGATCTCTGGTAAAAGGGACCACTCTCTCTTCGTTCTCGGCGGCGGTCTCGTCCGCTTGTTTCCTAGTAAGAGCAGGAAAGCGGTGGCTGGCGCCGATAAGCGTGCACCGCGCTTTTCCCGGTACACGGACTTCCAGGTCCCGTTCCTGCCGGACGACGCTCTTGCCCCGCTAGCGAAGAATATCCTTGATCCTGATGAAGACCTGGACCTCACCGAGAGGGATCTCGATGCCGGCAACAACACCACGGTGCTCAATCACCCACGGATGCGGCCCCGAGTTTACGATCACAGCGCCGAGTCCTCCATCCCTCAGGCAGAGATTGAGTCGAGCGCGCCGTATCAGCCGTTCCACACGGACAGACGGGTGGCGCTCTTTGAGCTGGGCCCGTCCCAACAGGATGTAGATGTCACCACTCTAGTGGCTACGGCTTCGCTAGAGGAGACGTCGCCAGAGCACACGTCGCGGCGGAAGAAAACTTCCAGGCAGGCTCAGATTCGGGGCACGTCGGCCTCCAAATCGTCGGCTGCGTGGGCGTTTGGCCAGCCTATTCAAGCGACCAAACTCGACATGGGCCTGCCTCACTTGTTGGATGACGCCTCGTTCAACCTCCCACTGGACGCGTCGCGGGCGCTTCCGGCATCGGCGATGGAAAGGATCCTTCAACGGACCGGAGACGACGATGCGCAGATTGTGGTCACCACGCGCCGGAGACGGGGCGCTGCGCCGGCCCAGGAAGATGATGGGTTCTTTGAGGACGATTGTGAAGTGCTTGACTTCGCGGACCAGCGGGTGTGAATGGGGGCAGCGGGTCGGGCGTTCTGGGCTGATGCCTGTTGTTTGCTTGGTTATTCAAGTTTTGCTGTGGTCGCGTTGAAATCGGTTGCGTTGCGCACACACGAGGCCGCTTTTCCTCCTTCTCCAATTCGACGGGGGCATGTCGTGGTATTTTCACGATAGAGAGAAGCTCAGTATTTGGATCGTTTGGGCACTGCACTGCATTATGGGCATTGGGAAGGCATATTGGAGCGTGTTGGGGACAGTTGACCTTCTGGCATCTCTGCTACGCTCTTTGGGCTTGGGCGCTTGGCTCTTTACCTGGGTTGTGTTGGTATTGTCTGGGTTATTGTAGCTTGTCCTTGTTCTTTGGACGAGTTCGACGGCTGCGAGCGTGGTGCAGGAGCGGGAAGAATCCGGCTTAGCAGTTGAGTAGGTAGACAGGATACCTATCAAGCAATACCATCACTGCCATACAGCGTTTAGTTTGGTTGAGCTCACGAGGTGGTGATGAGAAGAGTTGGTCGAGCACAGATCATGATGACTGGATGAGTGTTATTCACCATCCAATAAGGTCTCGCTTCAAATCTCATCGCGGACCAATGTTCGCGGTTGTGACGGCCACACGTTTTGTTGGAGAGTGTTGGATTATCTGAGCAATTCTCCCCTCTCCTCGCAAGGATCATTCCCCGTACAATATCTTACCACCTGCCATGACTCCACTCAAGACGACCTGGAAAAACAACAGCATTCACCACCCTCCGCTTCAGTTCTTCCAGTTTCACCGCCGCTTTCCGTGTGTGTTCTTGTATTGTATTATTTGACTGTTTAAAGACCATCCAACCCCAAATGACCCGGACGGACCGCAGGGGGTGATCAAGGCACAGCCAGCCATCCCCAAGACAAAGCACCAGGATGAATTGATGCGTGTAGTTTTCCCTATGCCCAGACTGATGATACCAGTCGATTGTTATGCCTTCTTCTTCCCAGCCGCCGCCGCCGCGGCGGCCGCCTTGGCTGCCTTCTTGCGGTTGCTGCGGATCATGACCACGCTGAGGAAGGAGCCGACCACGGCGCAGCCGAGCAGGATCAGGATCACGGGAACGCGGATTGCCCAGACGCGGGGCGGGAAGAAAGCTTGGAGGGGGTGGTCTGAGTCGACGAAGGGCTGTGATTTGTTTTGTTAGCATGGTTGATTCGATTGGTTGTATGAATGGGGTTTGGATAGTTTAGAGGGAAAGGCAGGGCGAGTACCATCAACAAAGTCCAGATGGTGTAGTAAAGAAAGACAACCGATGCGGCCACGAGCATGGCGAGGCCGACGAGTTTGTCGAGCTGTTTTGCGGTTTCGGTGTTTGGTTAGCTTGGCTGGCCTTGACCTTTAAGGGGAACGTGTGGCTGGGAATGACCGACCATTGTCAAGGGAATTAGTTGCAGAAAACTGGAATGGTGTAAATTCGGTGTTGGGTTATGGCAATCTCAGCGAAGCTGGCGACACTAGTCGAGGCGGCCTGATGTTTTGCATAGCCTGGATGAAGCTGCTCGTCAAACAAGTCGGGGTCCCACCCACGATCGAGGTCGTTCCGCCACGGTGACCTCCTCAGAAATTGGCCGTCAAGGGTTCGCGTTAGCGCGTTCTCGTTCATCAGCCATTTCCAGAAGCTCCGGCAGCCAAACGCATCAAAGTGGGGCGCGGTCTCTCAAGTCTTGGCTGCTCCAGCCTTGTCAAAATACAATTTCCAGGTTGAGCTCTGCTTTGCTTCATCGATTGCGACTGCCATTAATCAGCCTTTGGCCTTTACAGTCAAACTGAGGTGGCCAATCCAGAGTTCCGAGATCCCAGCTAAGCTTCTTGAATTGGGTCTCTCTCTGTTAGTCAGGAAAAGGGACTTTTTTGAGTTGACGACAGCGAAATGGCGTCGCTAGATGTCGAGGCGCCGTCGCGCCACCCCGAAGACCCATCCCCACGGCCATCTCCATCACCTATCGATCGTCATCGGTCGCCGAGCCTCCGCCGCGACCGGTCGCTGTCCCGAGACTCCCGCTACTCGAGAGATATATCACCGCCCCGCCGTCGGTTCCGCGATGACTCGCGCGATCGATCACCCACGAGGTCACCAAGGTCTCCACCTTCAAGAAGAGGTTCGCCGCCGCCTCGAGGGCGTTCCCATTCTCGCTCCGAGGGTCGGTCACCGGCGATGCCATCCCAGAGAATACGCTCGCCGCCTCCCGCACGCCGCGATGCCGACAGGTACCGACCAGCCAAGAAGGAGCGCACGCCTCCTCCTCCTCCTGCCCCGCCGGCCAAAACGGAGGAGGAGAAGCTGGCCGAACAGAGGGCCGAGTACCAAAAACTCCTTAACCTTCGCAGCCAGGGCGTGTACCTGCCGCCGCAGAAGCTGCGCGCACTCCAGGCGGCCATTACCGACAAGACCACCAAGGAGTACCAGCGCATGGCCTGGGACGCCCTGAAGAAGTCCATCAACGGTCTCGTCAACAAGGTCAACACGGCAAACATCAAGTTTGTCGTGCCTGAGCTGTTTGGCGAGAATCTCATTCGCGGCCGCGGCCTCTTCTGCCAGAGCCTGCTCAAGGCGCAGCATGCCAGCTTGCCCTTCACTTCCATCTATGCCTGCCTGGCAGCCATCTGCAACACCAAGCTGCCCGAAGTGGGCGAGCTGCTGGTCAAGCGCCTGATCATGCGGTTCCGCAAGGCCTACAAACGCAACGACAAGGCCGTATGCCTATCCTCGACCATGTTTATCGCTCATCTGGTGAACAACCAAGTCGTGTTCGGGACGCTTGCTGTCCAGATTCTGTTCCTGCTGCTCAAGCGGCCGACCGACGATAGCGTTGAGATTGCCGTCGGGTTCATGCGTGAAGTCGGCCTGTTCCTGGACGAGATGATGCCCAGGGTTGCCAACGGTGTGTTTGATCAGTTCAGGAGCATCTTGCACGAAGCCGACATCGACCGCCGCACGCAGTACATGATCGAGGTGCTCTTCCAGGTGCGCAAGGACAAGTACAAGGACAATCCGGTGATCAAGGAGGAGCTCGACTTGATCGAAGAGGAGGATCAAATTACCCACACAGTCAGTCTGGACGAGGAAATCGACACGCAGGACGGCCTGAACGTCTTCAAGTATGACCCGGACTGGGAGGCCAACGAGGAGAAGTACAAGAAGTTGAAGGCCGAGATTTTGGGTGAGGGGAGCGGTGATGAGGACGAAGAGGATGAGTCGGAGAGCGAGTCCGAGTCAGAGGACGAGGAGCAGAAGGCCATTGAAATCAAAGACCAGAGCAATGCGGACCTCGTCAACCTCCGACGAACCATCTACCTCACCATCCAGTCGAGCGCAGATCCAGAGGAAGCTGCGCACAAGCTGATGAAGCTGCGGCTTCCTGCCGGCCAGGAACCCGAGCTGGTGTCGATGATTGTCGAGTCGTGCGCCCAGGAAAAGGTGTACCTCAAATTCATGGGCCTGCTAGGAGAGCGGTTTGCGCGCCTGAACCGGATGTGGATGGACCTGTTCGAAGAAGCGTTTATGAAGTACTACTCAACCATCCACCGCTACGAGACTAACAAGCTGCGCAACATTGCCAGGTTTTTCGGCCACCTGCTGTCGTCCGACGCCATAGGCTGGCACGTCTTCTCCGCCATCCGCCTGACCGAGGAGGAGACAACAGCAGCAAGCCGCATCTTCCTCAAGATCCTCCTTGAAGACCTGCAGGAGAACATGGGCACGGCGAAGCTCAAGGCGCGCATGGCGGACGAGACGCTGCAGCCCAGCCTCCAGGGCATCTTCCCGCATGACGAACCCCGCAACATTCGCTTTGCCATCAATTACCTCACCGCCATCAAAATGGGATTTCTCACCGACGAGATGCGCACTTTCCTCGCCAACATGCCCAAGCCCGCTCTCCCAGCCGCCCCGGCCGCTGACTCTGATTCTGACTCAGACTCAGCATCCGGCTATTCGTCCTACTCGTCCTACTCTTCCCGCTCACGCTCCCGCACACCACCACCCCGCCGAACCATCGACGGCGACCGGCGCGGCCGCTCCGTCTCGCATACCCCGCCGCCTCGCCGCAGCAGGCCTGCAAGAGATGACAGATCCTACTCGCGCAGCCGCAGCCGCAGCTACACACGCTCTATCTCCCGCTCTCCGCCGGCCCGGCGGGGGCGGAGCCCTAGCAGGAGCAGAAGTCGCAGCCGCACTACGACCCGAGGGCGCGCCAGAGAGAGGAGTTATACCCGCTCGCTGACGCGGTCCCGGTCGCCGTCCCGGTCGCCGTCTCGGTCGCCGTATCAGTCGCTGTCGGCGCCAGCTCGTCGTGGTGCTGGTAGTGGTAATGGTGCTCGGCGGAAGCGTTCATACTCGCGTTCCGTGTCGGTTTCGCGGTCTCGGTCGCGGTCCAGGCCTCGCCCATCTGCTGCCGCTGCCGCTACTGTTACGGTTGGTGGAAAGCGGAGGAGGGAGGGGTCCTACTCGCCGAGTAGGTCGCCTGCACCGCCTCCGGCGAGAAGGGTGAGGAGGTATAGTTGGTCGAGATCTGGGAGCAGGTCGAGATCGGTGTCAAGATCGAGGTCGAGGTTGAGGTCGCCTGTGAGGAGGGAGAGGGGGTATTCCGGGAGCAGGTCGCCTCCGGTGAGAAGAGACGGTGGCGGTGGGGGGAGGGATGGGTATAGAGATCGGGATGGTGACAGGGCTGGTAGTTACAGGGGTGATACGGCTAGGGGTGGATATCGAGGGAGAAGGGATAGTCGCAGTCGGTCACGGTCGTATGACCGGACCCCGGCCGGTGTTTCCGGGAAGCGGAGGCGGTATTATTCTAGCTCACGGTCGAGGTCGCCTTCTGTCGTGGCGCAGCGGGGGAGGGTTTGATGGTTTAAGGGCATGGAGGGCAGTGGATAATGAGAGACTGTTTCTTGACAAAAGGCAGCTGCTATGAGGGCAATGCAATGGAGTGGCCCTTTCTCAGCTTTGTAAAGGACACGCACCTTGGAAGCGAAGCAGGGAACCCAAACCGATTCTGTCGAGCCTCGCTGCACGCTCCATTTGAAGTTCTGTATGTAGGTAAACATTCACAAATTGTGTAGTACTCAAACATCCCATCCACGTCCATCAACCCATCATCATGGCTGGACATTTCATGCCATGCCAGCTTCCTCCCTCAGAAAACGCACCAGACGTATTAACAACGAAGTCGAAGACGCAAACGCCGCGCCGATTTCCGCTCCGCCCGCATTGCCCACCCATACCACGGAAAAAGGGGTCAACTGAAGAAAGAAGGGAAGCGCAACCAACCACCCGACTGTAGTAAATTTACCGTTACCGAGCCAACACCTGACCGAACCCATCCCAGCCCATACCATCCACCTCACGCAACCCCACGACGGAATGGCTTTAGGGTGACGGTGACTACTCCTCATCACTCAGCCCGCCATCGCCATTAACCATGCTACTGCTGCTTCCCCCGCTACCGCTGCCGCTTGCACTTCCAGCGCCATTAGCGACCGACGCGCCGGCCGCTGCCGACGATGACGACACCAGCTTGATGCGCGTAGGCGGCCCACTGGCTGTCGGCTGCGGGGTGCCGTCCGCCGTGGTGGCCGCCGTCGAGGAGGGTGGCGCGGCCGAGCCATCTTTGCTGGCAGAACCTTCTTCCAGGGCGCGCAGCTCTGGGCTGGCAGCTAGTTCTTTCTCTAATTGAGACTTGAAGAAGGCCTTTTGGAGCAGTAAATGTTAGTACTGACATATGAGGGGAAACTGTGGGAAGGCGGGTGAGGGCTTACCTCTAGCAAATTGACATCCTGGCAGATGCCGCTGCTCTCCTCGTTGAATGTCCGACAGTTGCTGACCATCAGCTCGAGATCCTTGCGCATATCGGCCAGGCTACGGTACTCCTCTCGCTTGATCTTCTTCTGGATGTCGTTCATACAGATGGGGTTGGTGATGATGAGGTAGTAGTCGGCCCACTCGCGCTTGGGCGGGAGCTTGACAAACGGCCCGATGATGAGACGCGTTGGCGGCCCGTCATCGTCGTCCTTTTCGACCTTCTCTGCCGGCTCATCGTCTTCCACCTCAAAGTTCATCAGCCCGTCAAAGATGCGCTTCAGGGCCTTCTGCAGCTTGTCGCGGACGTCGGGTGCCAGCCGGCTGTCGGCGCTGTTGGCGCTAACTGCCTTGGGACGTCCCTGCGGTCCCCGGCGCTTCTTAGCGGGTGGCTCGTCATCGCCTTCTTCCGCCTTGCGCTTCTCCTGGTTCTTGCTGCCGGGTTTGCGCCCGCGCTTCTTGACCGGAGTCTCGACTTCCTCGGTGCTGGCGCGGCTGGCCGACGGCGAGTTCTCCATGGACGCGTTCATGAGGGCCATGCGCTTGAGCTTGTTCGCCTCGCGCCTCGCCTTGCGGGCCGCTTTCCGTGCCGCGGCGGCCTCGGGCGTGTCTTCATCATCATCGACTGCCATGAGCCACTGCTCTTCCGTGAGCCCATCATCGTACTTAACCCTGGCACGCTCACGGGCACCACGGCCCAGAATCGTCTCTTGCTCCTCCTCAACCGGATTGCCCTCGTTGAGGTAGATGTCCGGCAGCTCGTCCTCAGTCATGAGCCGTGAGACGCCCTTGCAGCCAGGCGCTGTGCCGTAAACGGGATCCCGTGCTCTCTCCTCGTCCAGTTTCTGGAAGACCACGAGCTCATCGTCATTCCGAGCAAGAATCATGTTGAGTTCCTCGTCATCCATCTCTTCTTGCTCGCCGGACTCGGCCATGTCGGCAGTTTCAAGTAGCGTCCTGAGCATGGCATCGCGATCCGTCTCCGAAGACTTGTTGTCGAAGCGACCCGCCTGAATGACTTTGCCATCCATGTCAAGCTTGAACCTGGCGCGCTCCAGAATCTTCTCCTCTACCGATGCAGAGCTGATCAGTCGGAGAATGCGCACTTCGTTCTTCTGGCCAATACGGTGGGCACGATCCTGCGCCTGCAAATCCTGGTGGGGATTCCAGTCCGAGTCGTAGATAATGACCGTGTCAGCTGTCTGCAGGTTCAGACCCAGACCACCGGCACGGGTCGAAAGGAGGAACATGAAGTAGGGCGAGTCTGGCCGATTGAACTCCTTGAGCAAGTCGGACCGGTCCTCCGACTTTGTGGTGCCGTCAAGCCGGAGGTACTGAATGCCGCGGAATCGGAGGAAATCCTCCATGATGTCCATGATGGCGGTCATCTGGAAGAACATCAACACACGATGGCCCGTCGCCTTGTACTTGGGAAGAATGCGATCCAGGAGCTCAAACTTGCCCGCTGTTCTCCAGAGGAGATCGTTGCTGACATTGGCAGGGTTCATCTGGTTCTCCACCTCGTCGAACACGAATGGATGGTTGCAGAGCTTGCGGAGCTGCATGATCATGTTGCTCAAGCCGCGAGCACCGGTCTTGCCGCCCTTGCCGTCGCTGACGGCGATCTTTTGGTGCGTAACCATCTGCTTGTACAGACGGGCTTGCAGCGCCGAGAATTTGCATTTGATAACCTTTTCTGTCTTGTCTGGAAGGTCTTTCTCGACATCCTTCTTCAGGCGACGCAGCAGGAACGGTCGCAGTACCTTATGCAGGCGCCGAATGACGAGAATCTGTTCTTCTTCGGTAAGCTCCATCTTGTCTTGGCCGCCCGTGTTTGCGAACGGAGTGTTGAACCACTCGTCGAAGGTCTTGGCGGACTTGAAGATGTTGGGGAGGACAAAGTTGAGCATGGCCCATAGCTCGGCGAGGTTGTTCTGGAGAGGGGTACCGGTGAGGATGAGGCGATATCGAGTGCTGTAATATTGCTGAATGGTGGCGCTGAGCTTCGAGTTTGAATTTTTCATGCGGTGACCCTCATCGATAATCATGTGGAACCACTTGATCTTGCTTAGCAGCGGCCGGTCCTTGATGATGTACTCGTATGTGGTGAGCAGGACCTGGAACCTGCCCTGGCGGATCTTCTCTTGCTGCATCTTCCTCGCATTCGGAGGACCCTTGTACACCACCTTAGCAACCGACGGCGCCCACTTGTCGAATTCCAAATTCCAATTGGTCAGCGTGCTGAGCGGGACAATAACCAAGTATGGGCCATTCTGCTGCTTCTTCTCGATCAAGTACGTGATCAAACTGATGGTCTGAATGGTTTTGCCGAGACCCATTTCATCTGCGAGGATACCGTTGAGGTTATTGTTGTAGAGCGACAGCATCCACTGTAAACCCTTGAGCTGGTACTCCTTCAAGGTACCGCCGACCAAGATGCTGGCTTGCTGGGTGACCTCTTCCTTGATGCGGTGGGCAACGGCGTAGTAATCGATCTTGCGGCTGCTGTCCTCATCATCCTCGTCGACGTCGCTTTCCTCGGGGATATCGACCTCATTGCCATAGCGTTCCGCGGCCTGCCGCTGCTGAGCCCGGACAGACGAGGCGAGCTGCTGCAAGAAGCCATCGGTTTGGCGGAGCAAGTGGGTGATACGAGTATCCTTGGCCTGGTCGAGCAGCTTGAGGTAGGCTTCTTCGTCGTTGGCCTTGAGCGCCTGCAGACGTTGCTTGGCTGTCCGTTCGATCCTCTTCTGCTCTTCCTTTTCGATGTTGAAGTGGTGGGCATACATGAGGCGATTGAGCTTCTGCATCTTGCCGCGCTGGGCCTGACCGGTGTTGAGGACTTCGTGGCGGTGATTGCAGACGGCCTGCAGGAAGTCGGTCATCTTCTTCTTCTCCCGGTTCTCGCGCGCGTCGCGCTGCTGCTTCTCGAGCTTCTCGGTGATGCGAGCTTCCCGAACATTCTGCTTCTTCATGCGACGGTACATGGCCCGGTTCGTGGTCATGGCAAGGTTGTCGTAGTGCATCATCTGCTTTCCGAGCCTATCCCTCAGAGCGCGCTGCTTGGAGTACAGGGCCAGCTTCTTCATCTCGATGATTGCTTTCCTCTTGGCCGTGTCGTCTGCCACAAGCTCATCCTGGGAGGCATCCCAGTGGGCAAGGTTTCCGGGGAGCGATTTGAGCTCCGCGTACCTCGCGCTCATGCGGTTGAACACAATCTTTTCTCGGTCCGCTCTTAGCTGTTCAAAATCAATGCCCGTTGGGAAGATGCCTGGGATGATGAGACGGTTCTTCCGGCGGCCATGATCCATGTACGAAATTGTCTTGCGCACGAGCCCCCCGTCATATGGAGACTTGACCGTCTTGAACGCCTTGGGTTGCGGAACCGAGGCTTCGTCTTGAGCATCTGGTCCGTTGACATCAGGCTTCATAGCACCCTGCCCTGATGCGTCGGCAGCGGCAGTGGTGGGGGACTGTGTGTCCTGTTTTGCGAGAGACATGCGACGCCGGGCCCTATGCTCGAAGATGGCTTTTTGGACCTGGATAGGAACGCCGGCATTCTTTCCAAGCATCCGGAAGGCCTTGATCTGCGTCCACAATAGGTTAAGCTGTGCTGGTGAGAATTGGCTGGCCTGGTTCTGCGCGGGCGCCGCAGGAGTGGTGCTGCCAGCGGGGGCGTTCGAAGTCGCAGGCAGAGCGGACGCCCCGAGCGGTGTTGTGGACGGGGTGGTTGTTGCGGCCGGGTTCGCGACGCGGGCAGGGTCAACACCATTGGCAGCCCCATTGACGCCATTCTGCATTGCCTGCCGCTGCTGTTGCATGCGCAATTGCTGCTTCCGCAATTCGTTTTGGTGCTGAAGGGCAGCAAGGATGGACTGGGTCTTGATGAACTCGGGGTCTGTGGGAGGAACACCCTGCTTCTTCATTTGCTGGAACCTCTGCTGGGGGTTAGCAAACAACGAGACGCGTTTTGAGGGCACGATAAGGGTTACAATGGGATGGATGAGACGCACCATGTAGACTTCCTGGGCCTGCTGCTGCGTCATGCCAGCTGGAATGGCAGACCCTGCGTGCGGCATCACAGGCTGCATTTGGACACTCGACATGTTGACGGCAGCAATGTCAAGTACGCCAAGCGGTATGTAAATTGATCTTTCGTGGCCTCAGTGTCCGCGCATACCTGATGGCCGACAGTCACAGTCGAGGGGTGGTGGGACCCGGAAGGGATGCTCGACACGGGCGCGCTGGCAAACTAAGGGCGGAATGCGAGTCCCGGCGCGTGTAGAAAAATGGGCGGCAATCCAAGCGACAACCGTGGTGCCGAAGAGCAGCGAGCAATGCGAATACAGCGTCTCGGGCCGAGGGGCGGGTGCAGGGAGGGTTGTCGCGTCGCTAGGCCAAGCGCAATGTTGAAGGGGGCCTGGCTGGAGTAGTGTCCAGCCGCGCCTGGATGGCGACGGGGCTGTGTGGGGTGGAAAGGAAAATACAAGAGGAGGGCGGATGGGGGATGTGAAAAAAATGAAAGACGGGCAAAGGCGGCTGGGGTCGTGGGGTTGCCTGGTGGAATGCGCGGGGATTAGCGTGTTCGGTGGTCGGCGATTTTGAGATGACCTCGATGCGTCGCAATGGCGGATGGGTGATTTTTTTGATGCGCGCTGTCGCCCTTTGATGGATGGAGAGGTTGAGGCAGTGAGCCGACAGTGATCGAATGGCGCGGCGATGCTGGTCTGGGCTTTGTGTGCTGCAGACTCCGTGCGCAGCTGCCAGCACGGCTTACCTCATTTATGTCAAAGTTGGGGCGCCCTGGTCAATCCCCGGAAGACCGAAACCTTACCCGTATTCATAAAGAGAATAAGGTTCAAATTACCGATTAGTGCATTGCTGCATCAGTTGCATGCCATTATCCGAAGTCATATATATACAGTATATCACGACGCAGAGAGCTGCGCAGTCGGTTCAACGTGCCATATCCTCTCTTTCTTCCATTCGCATTTCCATCATTAACAACTTGCACTTCAGAGGAATAATGAAGTTCTTCCAACCTTTGTGAGGTCCTCAACAGCCTTCGCTCTTTCCCTGATAGAAGCTTTTAGGGCCGCGGTGCTTAGGTGAATTCAGTCCGTCATTATCCCCAAAGTCCCATCTCCTGTCACCCCCCCCCCCCCCATCCCCTGTGCAACAATCCAAGCGGACGGCGTCAGACCGTGTAACTCAATCGCATCTTCTCCCAACCCTCCGCCTGAACCTCGCTGTCGGTTGCTTGCCCGAATCCCACGCGGAAAGCGATATGGTGCAGAGGTTGTAGCCCGACCACGACGGCGGCACTTTGACTCCCTCAACGTCGAACTTTAGAGCCATGCTGCTGACTATACATTTGATGTTGGTCCCGGCGAACTTTCGGCCAGGGCAGATATGCCTGCCTCCGCATGATGGACCCGCGCTGCTTCTTCTCATCGTTCGGGCCTAGGTCCATGAATTTCTCCGGGTCAAAGGCATCCGGGTCGGGGCCCCAAACGTCTTCGTCCAAGTGGCGCACTCCATTGAGCCATTGGACGTCTGCTCCCTTCTTTAGCAGATACTCGCGCCAGTCCGCATCCCGCAGCACCGTATCCTCCAACACCTGCCGGTAGGCACACTGTGTTGTTGTACAGATGTTGAACCACATGGACGCAGGCGTTAATGAAGGGCTGTTTGCTGAGCTTCACCACGTCGACGATGGCGCTGTCTCCGTCGATTCTTACCGCCTCAACCGCCTCCTGGCGAACTCGCTCGGTGTAGTCAAGGCGAGCGAAAACATGGAGAAACATCCACCATAAGTGAATGGACCGCGTTTCCAGGGGTGCCCACGGTATTTCGGCCTCGCCCCATGCCAGGTCGCTGGACGTCGCCCCTATCTGGCGTTTGAGTGCCGCACGATTCTTGACGAACGCCGACACATCAGGGCCCTCGTCATAGCGAGCCTCATAATACTCCTTCAGAGCGGCCTGGATACGACTCAGAGCAGCAACCGATTGTGGCGCCAGCAGTCGCGGTGCAAGGTTCATTACCAAGACACTGATGTGGTTGTGAAACAGCCTAACCACCTTGTCAGCTCACTCTGTCAGAGACAAGTGGCATTTTTGGGGCTTTACCACACGTCGTGTATCCTCTCGGCCCTGGTGAAATTTCTCCTACCATATAGCGCCGTCATGGTCGCTCGAGAGAGGACATCCTGCAGCCAGTCTCCTGCATGAGGAACCTCACAGATGCCGCCGCCAAGCCCGAGTTGATTTGTGTCCTCCGCGATCTCCCGTAAGGCGGCGCCGGCTACACGCCTCCACGGCTCTCCGGACATGGCCGTGCACACCACTTTCCTTAGGGCCTCGATATACTTTGGGTCCCTGAGCCGCTCCATCTCGGCGTCACTAGCTCCCAGGCCGTTCTTGGAGACAAGCGCGACACCCGCGTCAGCCGACAAGGTCGGGCAACGCATCGCAGCCGAGATCAGCGCGGGCGAGTTGAGCACGTAGCGCTTGCCGGCCAATTTTGGGAGCGTGCAGATGGGCATGCGTGCGAACTTGCTCCGTGGTTGTCAGCAAACATGTACTTACAACTCCCAACCAGAAACTGAAACGACGGATGGTCCTCACTAGAGCCGCTCAAAATACCCGCTTCCTTCCCAGATGGCCAAAATGGGATGTCCAAGGAGCGGTATCTTACCCCATATCGCCGGCGGTTCCCGCGCTTCCCGCCGGTCGTAGAGTGGTGGGAATAGCGCCCAATACAAGATGATCAGCGCGAAGGACAACGCCCCCAAACTCGATACGAGCAAAACCTGCCAGAGGCTCAGGCTGTCGAGTTTGCTCAAATGAAACTGCATCATGGCGACTAGGTTGGAATGAGGGATGCAGTATAACACAGAAAATCAGTGTGACTGCCTGGTCAAGAAGGACTGAAGAGCATGCTTGAAGAGAAATGCACCTCGGCAAGGGGTCCTTGACGAGAGGGCTTTAGCTTTGTTTCCTCATTGAAGGGAGAAACGAGGGGTGGTGGCTGAGAATACAATATTGACTGACACGCCAAAGGCTCAAAAACAATACTAACACAGCAACGGCGAAGAATAACACTAATTCGTCAGCGCGGAACAATGCCAGATGCGGAGAACTACGCCAGCCCCTTTCTCCCAACTAAACGAGTGAACCAAAGGTTTTGTCTAAGGTACGCAACGAGTACTAGTCTACAGAGCAGGGGTATCACAGCTAATGATGCTTGTAAAGAAGCCCAAAACAGCAATGGTTGCAAAGCATGAGGGCACAGCCGGCTTCTTTCTCATCCTGGTGACAGGATGTCTGGAGGCACCAGACGGGAGATGCCGTCACAGTCCGGAAGCCGTTGTGATCAGTCATCCCGGTTTCACTAGGTTTCCCCGCTTCGCCGCCCATGAAGAGGATGCGTGCGGTAAGGTATCTCCCGTATCCAGGCTACCGTCTCTTCTCCCCCCTCCCAGCAACCGGAACCACCACAGCCACACCATGCCCGCCGCCCGCACTGTCCCACACGCTCTGGCTGACCCTGGTCGGGATCTTCCTGCCCCTCAGCCGCTGATCGATCAACCACATGCCCACGACGAACTCCTCTTTGCCTAGGGCACCCCTCCGCTGGCGATCCACCAGCTCCCACATCTCAGCGAGCTCATCGGCAGGCAGCCTACTGCGGCTCCAAATGTCACGCACGACAACATTCACAACGAGATCCGCCTCAGGCGTCCCGTCTACGGCGCGGCTGGCATCAACCACCCTCTGCATCTGCATCTGCATCTGCATCCTCTCGCTTTCCCTTCTTCCTTCCCCACCAGCACCACCACCACCACTCGAGGCGATGCCCTGATTATGATGACGTTCAGAAGAAGGAGGAGGGAGATGCTGATATGGCACCGCCCAACCCTTCCTCAGAAACAGACCCCTATTGCTCGCCCACACCGCTTCGTACCGCCTCCGCTCGCGCGGCGTGATCTCGTCGCGCCAGCGGCGGCGGGCGCCCTCGTGGTGCGCGTGCTTGCGGCCGCCGACGACACGCCGGTGGTGGTGGTGGTGCCGCTGCTGCGCGCGCCGCCGGCGGGTGTCTTCGTCGTCGGAGAGCGACTGCTGCGGGCCGCGCAGCGTCGGCAGGAGCATGCCTGTCTTTTTGGGAAGGGGCTGCTGCGTGTGACGTCCGCCGCCGCCTGTGAGCTGGGAGCGGAGGCTGTCGGCGGTGCGCTGGGATTTGATGGGGCTGTGCGAGCCGGGGCTGCGGCCGGTTCGGCGGGGTGCGGGGACTGGAGGAGGTTGTGACGGTGTCAGGCGGGCTGAGGCTAGGTTGCTTGCTACGATGGCGTTGGTGAGTGAGTTGAGGTTGAGGTTGGGAGTCGGTGCGTGCGGTGCTCGAGTTCGCTGCAAGTCAGGGATGGAAATTGACCGGAGAGAGGAACTTCGCGCCGGCGGTGTAGGTCGTCCTAGGGGTCTGTTTGGTCCCTTGGCCACCGATATAGATCGCGATTGCATCGACGAGGCCGATACAAATGTGTCGTTGGATGATGCCGAGCTGTACGATGATCTGCGTGGCGGTGCTGCCTCTTGTTCAAGCATGTGAAAAGCATCGATTTCTGGCGACTTTGACTCGACATGCGTGGCTTGGGCAGTCGGTTCCACCATCTTGTTGGTGCTTGATCTCCTCACTGGCGGAATTGGAGGCTCTAGGGGCGGTGTCTGGGTGAGCTTCTTTGGTTGTGTGGAGATGTGGTTTGAGGAAACTCGGGCAAAAACCGACGATAAAGGTGTTGGAGGACGCTTGTTCGCCTGAGGCTTCGGTTGCTCAACTGGTCTCTGGCTCTCGCCGTGGGTTTGGGGAGATGAATCCGCTATTAACAGATGGTCTTGGTCGTCACCGCTGTCATTGCCCCGCGCATACTCAAGCGGGTTCATGCTGTGCGGTAACTCATCTCGCTTTTCGGATTGTCCCAGCGTTCCAATCTCCGTAGTCGATCTGGGCTTCGGCTTCGGTGTTGGCTTGGGTTTCGGCTTGACCATCTGCGGTTGCTGTGCCTTATCCATCCCCGCCTGTCTATCCGCACCCGGGTCTCGTAGTTCGGGCGGTTGTACCCTTCTCTTAACAGGGTCCACAGTGTCCTTCTCTCGCTTCTTCTCGAAGAGCGATACAAGCGAGGTGGTGGGTGGGATGGACGCGGTATCTGGGGCCTCCGTTTCGTCCATCCTTTTCCCGCGATTCGTGCCGAGTCCGGCCGAGCCTGGCATGATATTGGCAGCGCCCACGCTCGGCCCCTTCCTGTGAGTGACCTTCCCACCACCCTGGTTTGGTTCTGGACTCAGTCCCCTGACGGGTGAGATGGGCCTGCTGGCAGCCAGCGTCGCAGCAATAAGCGACGGCGAGGTCGTCCCCTGCCTGGTGCTGTCCACGGCTGATCTCCCAACTGGACGGGAGAGCAGCGTGTTTCCATTCCTGCTGGCATGCAACTCGGAAAGCCTGTGCGCAACGAGATTGTTGTGCGATTGTCCGCCTCCAGATGCTGGCCGTGACGATGTCCCTGGCCCATGTAGACTCCCGTTCCCAGCCCCGCTCGGACCGGTCGACTGCCGACTCACGCTTGCATTCGCCGGCTCCACGGCGGCCCTTGGCCTTGATACAGCATGCTCCCTCGCGGCCTGTGTGGCAGCCAGCAGCGCACCGTTATCCCTCCGCAGTCCGTTCCTTGGTACCGGGCTTGCTGGCCCAACCGTTAAACCCGAGTCCGAGCTTGAGCTGTTGTCATGGGTACTGATCGTTTGATTCGATATTATAGGTGGAGACGGGCTGCCTCCGTCGTTGTTCCCCTCTACCACCTTCTTTTGCTTGTTAAACGCGAGGGTTGCGCCCTGCAAGGCGGCCGAGACAGCGAGGTTGGCATTTCCCGGTGGCGATGTAGGTAAGACTGGAGCTGAAGATGGAGCAGGGTTTGTCACGTCGCGACCGTGGTTCTTGCTGGTCTGTATTGGCGAGAGTGGAGGTTGCATGAGGACCGGGCCGCAAGAGGTAGCGAGAGATGAGGGAGGCGAGGTACGCGATGCGATGCTGCTCTAATCTTGGTGAAGCTGTATACGCTGCAATGCAATGCAACGCAACGCAAGGCGGGAAGATCAGAGGACCGCAACAGCTGTCGGCTTATCTCGACATGGGTGCGTTGGATCGAGGGAAGAAGGTGGGAGCCGACTTCTCAGAGCGACGGTCTGGCACCGCAAAGCTGGGCCATTGTTGGCTGCCTGCCAAATGAATCCACTGGATGTACAGGGTTGTCGGACGCCAAGCAGCGTTCCCGTCGCTGCGGCTGCAGAGGTGCCAAGAACAGGGGTCACGTAAGGCGAGGCGCGAAGTTAGCGTTGGAGTGCTTGCAGAACCCTGCTGTGGAATCCAAATGGAACGTAGCGCCACGGGCGAGCTGAATCACCCCCGGAGCCCCAACCGGATTTACACGACACCCGCTCAATAGTCTCCGGATTGTCCTGCAGAATCGCCTGTATTCTTTCTAGATCTCATAGCTTAAACGATGATAGGCAGACATAAAACATCAGATACAAAGGTTTACCATGGTATCTACCCTGCACCAGACACATCTCCGAAGACGAGAGAGCCTAAGCACCCGACCTGGGAAGATAAACAAATGGTAAGTGACCGCCTGCTAAACGCCAGCTTCTCAAATATCCACAACCGCTAACACACGATTCCCGCAATCCAGCCTCCATCTCCCGCCAAAGGCAAGAAGTGAGCGCCCAGCTTGCTTTACCCTACCACGACCGAGATCCAACCCAGACATTGTATACTTGAAGTCAAAAGTAACAGCCGCTCCAGAGTGAGGCTGTTTATCGGCCCGCGCCAGCCAAGAAAAAGGAAAATCCGCGATTAGGAAAAGGCCGGAGCCTTGCGGCAGTCGAAAAGGGCCATCGGCAAAAGTCGAAGCAGGGGAAGAAGCGGTGGGAATGCAGATGGTATAAAACATGGGCCACGAACGAACCAACGCCTCGCCAGGACCCGAACCATTCAACAGCAACAAATGTGCAGGCTACCATCAACGCATATGGCTGCTCATCAGGCAAGACATGTCGTCGTAGCGCCGTAACTCGTATATCCGTCATCCAAACACGTTATTTAGCCCGACGCAAGAGAATACCCGTCAGTACGCGTCCTCATCGGTCCACTCACTTCCAGAAACGATTCGGTTTCCTTCATGATCCACCATGACCTGCCCACCTTGGGCTGGGGCAAGTCCTCGATTCCGTTTGATTTGGCCAGCATGTGGCCGAGTATAGCCAGTCTCAGGAGTGACTCGCTTGCCGGCCCGCGCTGCGCGAAGCTTGGCGAAGTAGGCGTCCGAAAGGTCCTCCTCTGGTTCCGAATTGTCGTCATATGTTTCCCAGTTCTCAGAGCCCGTAACGACGGTCGAAGTATTGGAAATCTGCCGCACGGGAGGTGGCGCTTGGGTGTAAGTAGGATGCGCAGACCGCTCACTGGGTCTCGAAGAGTAATAACTCCGAGACGCTGGCCTACTGTTCTCCTGGGACGAGTATCTGTCATCATAGACATCCTCCGGCTCGACCTGACGGACAATGCTAGACCCAAGACCGGTAGTTCGGTAGTGATTCACCGGTGTCTCTAGTTCAGGCGGCGGCAAAAGATCCCGCATTTTCGGCGGCGGGGCCCTCATGACCGGGTTGACTCCACGAACACTGCCATTACCGATCCTCGACTCTGGCCGGGGGCGCTCGGGGGAGTTCTCGCCGTGCTTGAGATTTGAGAGCGGCATCCGCGCAGGGATTCGAGTCGGGCTGCCCTTGTTATTTGCTGGCTGACCGCGGATGGTACCGTTTGCCGGCTGTGTTGGCTTGACAATGTTCGCAGTCGTTGGTGTCTTGGCCGTGCCTTTCGGTCCTGATTTGATGCTACCGACGCTCTTCGCCCGGTTCAAGCCGACATTGGCGTTGTTCGATGGCGTTGGTGTCGGAGCAGGCGTTCTGGATCTGGGACCCGGTGCTGCCCTGGACTCCTCCACCTCTAGGTTGTCAAGATACCGCTCTCCGTGAACCAAGAATGGTCGGCCGTACTCGTCTTCCCACTGTTCCAAAGCCTTGCGCAGCTCAGCGGTGACTTTGGGAAGTTCCTTCGCAATGCGCTTTCTCATTTTCTCCTCGCGCAGCAGCTTGCCGGGATCCCGCTTTTCGCCCTTTTGGCCTCGCATCATCAGCCGTGAGGCATCCTGACTTGAGGCAGCCAGCTCATCTCGTTCCTGCACGAGGCTCTTGTGCTTATCAACCAGCGCCAGTGTTGGAGCGCGCTGTTCTTTTAGCACTTCGAGCCGGGCAATCTCGCGCTCGTGCGCCTCGAGAAGAGCATCACTGTATACATCTGAGAAGGCTGGGGTAAACTCGAGCATTTCGTCCTCCGACAGATAGAGTGCGTCCCAGAGCTCCTGCAGTTTGAAGCGAGCGTCTTCGACAAACAGGTGCAGGTTCTGTCTCTTGAGCTCATTGAGCTTCGCCAGCTCATCCTCGAACTCATTGATCTGGCGGATACCGCATCCGCGGTTGCTGTTAAGGAATGCCTTACGTTCGCCTTCCTCAATCCCTAGCTTCTCCCAGAGGGCCTCGACCGCGGTCTTCAAGTCTCTTAGACGCTTTTCGCGGTTCTTCTTCTCTTCAAGAAGCTTATCCCTCTTGGCGCGCAGTCGAGCGATGTCTTCTTCGTGGAGGCCGAGTTGCTCGGGAGCATCGCGGTAGTACTTGACAATGGCGCCATCAGTTTGCGCTTGTGGAGTGCCAAGCTCGGCCCAAAGTTGAATAATGTTCTCGGCGATTGCTTGCTGTGTTGCCACGCGGCGAGTGTACTCCTCATACACGCGCGTGAACTCGGCATCCAGCTTATCCACATACGCCGGCGACAAGTCGAAGCTAGGCGGGACCGATTGATTTGGCCCTGTAGGAGGGAGCTCCAGCTTGACGAAAGTCGATTCAAGATGGAGGGAGTAAGACTCGAGGGCCAGGGCCAGTTCTTGGAGTCGTTAGCATTCCACCATGCCAAGTTCACGGTCCATGGGCGCCGTCATACTCTTGACTTGCTCGTATCTCTCGCGGTGGAGGCGGCTCATTTGCATGTGCTTCTCCTTGAGCACCTTCAGACACCTCGTGAGCGGGTAAGTAATCTTCAAGTCTCCGTCGTCGTCAGCGCGGCGCGGCTTGCCGTCGTCAAGCGAGGCTTCCATCTGTCGGATGGTGGTGATCATCTTTTGCGCTTCTTCGATCATGCCCTTCTTCTCGGCCGTCACGCGACGGACTTGGTTGTGCAAGGCATCGGACAGGGCGGCGAAGAGCTGCATGGACACCGTCAGCGCGGCTGCGCGCCAGCGAATTGCGTGGACACCTAGGTCTCTTACCTCCTCCTCCCGGGTCTCGCGGTCATGGTTGGGAACACCAATCTCGTCAAACAAGCCGTGCAGCTGGCCAATTATTGTGTTGACCTGCTGGGCTAGGTAACTGGTATCCATGTTGCTGGCACGGTGTGCGATGCGAGAAGGTGAGATGGGCGCAATTCGGGAGCGTTTCGGGCTCCACCGCAGGAACCTGAGGTCGAGCTCAGTGTTTGACGGTGTGATGACTTGTCAAAGGAGCAAGAGATTGGTTGTGGTGGGGTGTCTCATGGATCGCAATGACGTGCAGCTAAGCTCTGCAGCTAATGTAGTTGTCTGTTGTTTTCAAGCCCTATTCAGCGCCCGCAGAGACTGGGGTCAGTGCATTGCCGAGAAAACAAACTTCGCTGTAAGATAGAACGATAAATTCGCATCAAAAAACAGCGAGCATTTTTCCCTGCGGCTGGGGTAGCTCCGCTGGTGGCAAAGTGAGAGGAGTAAACAAAATGTTGAAAGGCTCGAATGTCGAGGTACAGCCGGGACGCTGGTTGACTTTGTGTTTCCAGGACTCGGTTGAAAGTTGCACAGATCTTGGTTTCGCGCCTTCCTGCGTTTCCAGGGCAACGGCTACCTGTTCCTGGCACCTGCAGGCTGCAGGTGGATCCGAGTGGGCTTTGGAGTCCACCGGATCTGCTGGATCGCTGTCCCAAGTTCCAACCCCGCATTTGCTGCTTTGCCTGATTCGGACTCGAATTCTTTCAACATCGTCGGCTTCACACAGCACTGGACAACTGAACACAGCCATCCAGTCGTGGAGTTTCGACTTGCAAGCTGAGGACAACATTTTAGACACGGCATTCTTACAACTTCTCAATACCATTAGCGCACTGCCGAGTGAATCAAAATGGGACGGTGTCAAGCAGTTTGATCGGGTTGCGAAGTTACGGTAACAGGTACCTTACGTACATACCTCTGAGACTTCAGATCTGGGAAAGGGTGAAGCATGCCTTTATTACAGGGAGCATGCAAGCAAGTACCGGTTCATTGTGGTTGTTAGTGCAGCCTGAGATGTTGTATGTGGAAAACATACTCTCGACTACCCCTTTTAACAGATTGGTCGGTCTACCTCGAATCACCGAACACGCAGTTGCCCGGCCTCTCGACTTCATTTTCTGGCACCCGCCGCCCGAGTAACAGAGTCAAATTGGATATCATTCTCAGTCCTTGCTTAGGCTCTCGTCTGCCTCAAAAAACAACGTAAGACCAGGATCTCCAGTGTCCGGCCGTGAGATTCGGAGAATGATGAGGGAGAAGTCTGAACATGGGCAACGCCCTGGTCGTCATCTCACCCCTAGGCCACACTAACGACGGGTGCCTCTCGGGACAATGGGCGAACAGAGACAGAATGACACGCGACCATTTGCACGGGAAGACTGTCGTCTGCTGTCGGCAGAGGCGACAGCTGCCGGCGAACCCTCCAACGCTACCTTACAACGATAGGACGTGGATCCTGCAACGGAGGCAGCCGGCACCCGGACAGCCGCCCTCCGGATACAACCGGTGGTTGCATCCAACTGCTATCTGTAACACGAAGCAGCAAAAAATTCCCAGCTGAATAGCATCGCAATCTCAAGTCTACTCGAGCCAGACAAAGCTGTCGCAATCGGAGTTTTCTAGACTTGATGCATTGTCTCTACGTACTCATACCGGATTCCAGCAATGCTTGGAAACTTGGACGGTGGCTAAATGTTGACACAGCTCTGCCGGCGTCGTCCAGAGCAACGCTGTCTCTGGGTCGCACCCACGGCATCATCCGCACGGACATTTAGTGATCGTCTGGGGAAGAAGGAAGCGAGCCGGTTATCGAAAGTTAGGGTCTTTCGGGTAGATGCAGCTCTCGATGGCGGTTCCAGCTGTTGTATACACAACTTGTAGCGAAGTTGACCGTTGCTGTCACGGCTGGGGTAGCATGTTGTCGAGTCATGACCGGATCAGCTAAGTTGCACCAACCCCTTCCACAGCACCTCACACCCTTTACTTTTGCACTCAAATCGCCCTCGACTCTAAATTCTGATATGTTTCCAGGCATAGCATGTTCTCTGTCCCAGTCCTTCCGCCCCGGCAGCCGTCGTATCCGAGGCATAATGATCGACTGACTACTGCCGGACCACGCAACAGGGTTCTCTGCCATCCATGCAGTCTGTGCGCCACCGTTTCCTCTCGGGATCACAAGATGAACGAGAGAGGCACTGTGAACTTGTTTGAGCTTCTCAATAGCCTTATAGGCAGAAACGGAAGCCTCCAAAGTTCGCCTCTGTGCATGCAGGGCCCGACCAACCACGGCCTCTACCGCCCCTCCTAGGCCAACCCTTACACCGGATCGAGAAGCCTCGAGCTGTCTGCGGGACACCGCTTGGCCGGTGTCATCCAGTCGTACTCCTTCTGGCAATTATCAAGATCGAGTCTCCGCCAACCTCATCGAAGGACGGCCATTCTCTACAACTGAGCAATTGCATCTGTGCCCCAGTTGTCCCGACCGGCAGTTTCGTCCAAGCTTTGACTGCCGTTCCCCAGATTTGTCCCGCTGATCTCCATCATACTGCACACTGCTGCGGATGAGTCCTCGTCCTTGTCGATATCAGTAAGGCCGAGTGAGGCCTTGTCGTTTGTTTGATCACCACCATCGCAAGAATCGTCAGCCATGGTCTGATACTGCGAGCTGCCTGTCGGCGATCTGGACCTGTCTAGAACAAAGACGTTACTTTCTTTGCTTCCTGCAATACATCTTTTACCACCGTCGACTTGACTTCCTTGTCCATGGCGGAGTCGTCTCCGGGCGGCATCAGGTCTTGGCCACATCTACCCGTCCCGTCGGTGGTAGCTCAAGGGTCGCCCGCGTTTGTCAGCTACGGACATCTGCAGGTGGAGGGCGGCCTTTCATGCTGAGTGGAGGTTTAACAACGATTGTCTCCCTTCCAACGGGCACTAAGATAACCTTTGGGCCTCTCAATAGCAGTCCTTTGAAGGCTATCAGGCGTCCTTAGTCCTCCTCGATGGCTCTTGCGTTGGGTCTGCCTCTAAACATCTGTGTCCGTGGGATTGCTAGCAGCTCGAAACCGACGGCTGAACTTGACAGTTTCTCTTCGCAATGCCGGTCGGCATCCGGTTGTTCAACCACCTCGCCTGCCGCGGCTGAGGTCTGCCTGAGAAGTGATCTTAACACATGAGGCAGATTTACCCGGCCGGCCAGGTAGATGCAAGCCTCAGTAAGAGACGATACGGACGACTTGTAGCTCGACATGGAGCCTCAATCTTGACAGCCCATCTCAGGTTCAACCCACGCAAGGGCCAGGGAACGAAAAGCATGTTGATGGCGTTGGCCCGGAACCAGTTCACGATGGCATCCTCCCACACACCGTCAGGAGTATCCCGTTCTCGTCTCAGATCTCAAGTGAGCCACCTCCTACATCTTGATGGATATTCCCATGGGTTCTCGGTATGGTCGATTGACCTCTTTTCTCAATCCTCGGACGGCTCACTCCTTCTCCGCTGATGTGGTTATCTTTACATTTCATATACGGTCTTCAGTAATGACCTAGCACTACCACTGCGTTGCGTCATGGACGCCTTCTCGCTGTTAGCTCCGCCATCATCCCCGGCGCCGACCGGGCTCCAGATCTTTGCTCTCTCTGTCAACTTCCTCTTCCCTGCCCTGGCTCTGCTCGTTGTGTCTGTCCGCGTTGCGGGCAGAGTCGCGGCGAGTCAGCTCGGTGTGGACGACTGGCTCATTTGCATAGCCATGCTCATGTCCGTCGCAGAAACCGTCTTCAGCTTCTTCTGTACGTCTGACTGGCTCAACATTGTGGAGGGTTGGCAACAGTCTAACACCGGGATTAAGTCATCAAGACAAACCATATCGGCATACCTCCCGACCAGGTGCCGCCACACGATCCTACCCAAGGGCTAATATGGTCATATGTCGTCCAAATCCTGTACAACCCCATCCTTGCACTGGTCAAGACATCGGTCTTGATATTCTTGACCCGCCTGTTCGGTCAGAAAGACTGGGTGCGGAGGTTCCTGTTCTGGCTTAATGTCGCCAATATTTCGCAGATGATAGCCGTCTTCTTCGCTGTCGTCCTGCAATGCACACCTGTCCAGTCCAATTGGGACCCTACCATTTCGAGCGCACATTGCATTGACCGCCGCGTCCTGTTCATTTCAACCGCCGCCATCAACATTGCGACCGACCTGCTCATCCTCGGGCTGCCGCTATGGATATTTTCATCTCTCCAGATCCCGAAGCGCGCCAAGATCGCCTTGTTGGTCGTCTTCCTCCTGGGATTCCTGTACGTTCCCCCACCAAGCGTTTCCCTCCGTAGTGAAAAACCAACTCACGCTGTTTCCAGGGTAACCATCACATCCATCGTCCGCCTCGTTCTCCTCGTCCAAGGCCTCTTCAACATTTCCATCTTCCCCAACTCCTCGAAGAACGTCGGCTTCGTCGTCTGCGCGATCGAAACCAACCTGGCCCTGATCACCGCCACTGCGCCGGCCCTCCGCCCCATCTTCCGCTCCCGCGACCGCGGCGGCTGGTTCGCGCGAAGCGTCATGGCCACAACCCGCGGCGTCCCCAATATCAGAAGCGACCCAGACGTCGAAATGGGCCAGAAGTCAGTCGGCTGGGACAAAGAAACCTCGCCCATCATCGGCGGTAGCGGCCGCGGCCCCGGTAGAAGCATATCCTGCCGCGGCGGCACCACCACCAGCAGTCGAGGAGCTAAGAATGGAGGAAGAAGCAGCGGCACGCGGCGCCGGGGCCGCAGCCCGTTGCGCGGCATGCGCGGCAGCGGCCGCGTCAAGCCGACCATCACCCGTATCAAGACGGACTGGCTCCGCGACTCGGCGGTGGCCGAGCTGCGCAGCTCGCCGCGCTTGAGCGAGGAGCAGGCCATGACCAGCAACGGCATGGTCCGCGTGAGCGACATCCAGCGGGAGATTGATGGCATCGGCATGGACATTGCCGTTGCCGGGGCCGGGACGTACACCGGTGGCAATGTTGGGATTGTTGGCGACTAGTAGGCCACGGCCGTCGATGGAGACTATTACGGTGGGAGCGATATTGGCTACGCCGCTGGCCCCGAGGCCGAGAACGAATGGGAACGGCGTCAGGAGGGTTGCTCTGGAGAGGTATTATAGTAGTGAGAGCATTTATTCTGAGCAGGGTATTGGGAAGGATGAGGAGGACGAAGACAATGATGATAGGGTGTCGAGGTACTTGAATCGGAGGTCTGGGTTTGTCACGCCCAAGGGTACAACGCCTACTTCCAGAGGGTGGGAGGGCAGCGGCAGGCCGTTTTAGATGGGGTTTCGCTTCGATTTCTGGGTTGATCGGGACTACCGTGGTATTTTGAGGTGCTGTTGGCTTGACTCGGGAATGTCTTTTCCACACATTTTTGTGACCCATGTTTTTATTTTCATTGTTTACTTGGGGACTGGGAAACGGTTGGGAATTCAGGGGCTCGGCTCAAGAATGGCACTCGCAGAATATCATATATCTTTCTTTGATGTATAGAGCACAACCCATGATGGACTTACTTGTGCGGTGCGTTGTTATGGTTACCTCCCCCACATTACTGTGGTTGCCGTCAAGAGCACTTGAATGTTGTGACAACCTCGATGGAGTGCATCGCCATTTACCAGTCCTAAGGCGGAATGCAGCCCACGTCGTCAACATGCCATGTGCTAACCTTTCACGCTTGGCTTCTGGAAAGTGGGATTCGGACTTTCTTCATGGGATGGGCAAGGCCGCCGTCGATGAAACAGACTGCCCGGTGCGTCCGTCCAGGACAAGGCTGGGGGATGGCAAGTGAGACGTTGTAAAGCCGTGAAGCCGTAGTAGCAGACCAGTTCGGCTGAAGTCTGCAATGGCGAAAGGAAGGCACGCATTCATCCTTGAGCGCAGCCTGGATTTGTTGGTCGGCATGAACTCGACAGCAGACAGAAACTCGGCCATGCCAGAATTTCTCAACCCGATTGGGGCGCCCGCCAGGGTTCCAGCGTGACGGGAAGTGCGCAAAATTTCCCTCGGTGAGACGTTGCACATTGATTCAGTGGTCTTCAGGGACCCAGACCCTGGCAATCATCGCCGTCGGCGGAGGTTTTTTGGCGATGAAACGCTCCATATTTACCTGATGCCGGCAGTTAGGAGTCCGTACGTACATCAAATACCTACTTGATGGCTGCCCTGATCCGGTCCAGTGCCACAGGCCTGAGTCTCCTCCATAGTCTCATACTGTCCTTGGGGCGTACCAGTGATGGCAAGCACGCCTGATGAAAAGAGACAGTATCCGAGACCAGACTCCAACCGGTACCTATTGGTTACAGCCGGGAGATGCTGAGTGCTAGGGATATGGGACGGGAGCGAGAGCGGGATGTGGGGCTCGATCTGCAGACACCGGCCGAATGGACGTTTTAGAAGGTTCTTCGGGGTGGAGTGCAGTTGATTCATCTCCGCCTGTTGGAGCCCAAGGACAGGAAAGATGAGCGCATTGATGAGTTCGCGTCGGCGATGGATGACTTGTGGTTTGCGAAGGAGAGTGGGAAATCTGCGTATGTTCAGATGGCCTCAGCCTGGTCTTGGAATGTGGGCGACCACTCGATTCGGAGAGGCAAAATGGCTGACGTTGGAGGGCAGTCTCGGATGTTTTGAGTGCCTCTGACCACTCCTATTAGCCTCAACTGCCTAACATTTGACAAGCTCCACAGCGGTACTTGTACTGTAGCGGGCAACCCTGGATTCGAACATCACGGAGGCCAGCATGGCCACCTCAAACGAGTACAAGGTGACAGCCTTCCAGAGAGCAGCCAGCCTTCGTCGAGGGCACACAAAACCACCCGAATGCCCTACACAACCTGCAAGACACTACAGACGGAGATAGCGGCTCTCTGATCGATCGCTCTGACTCCCAACAGTGGCGAGTTGTCGAAGCAGAGTTTGCCGGTATGGGAGGCTCTCATGAGTGCCAGGTCGTGGTCCCGGAACTCGTGGTTTCTTAGATTGTCAGTTTCGAGCAATGGAGCTGCGATAAGGTGGGCATCCTTGATGCCTGTCACACCTTCCACAGCATCGTGAGCATGCGACCTGCTACCGACCACAGTTGTGTCATGATGCAGAGTTTCCCGCCGCAACCAGGCACTCACAGAAGCTCTTATCTAACCCCACCATCTTTCAAGAAGTTATTTACTGCTACTCAATAAAAAGGTGCCTCGAAACCTGGTTGCCGATTTTCTGAACTCTTTCTTGTTTCTTTCATTTCTTGTGCAGATCTGGATTCTGGAAGAACTGAAACAGTGGGCGGTGACACCGAAGTTCTTCTGGTCGGGTCCACCACCCCAAGCTCAAACTCGCTGACCACCTGCCGTTCTTGCCGTCCCCGATAGAAAATCCGCTTTTTAAGTTATCTATGACGCCTGCCTGCTGCTTATCGCCGGGACCTATCTGACCTGCCTACTCGGCACATCCGTCTGCTCGATCGCAAGTCCTCAACTCAGCAACTTCTTGTCGACCTGACCTCTGGTTCGAAGAAAGTGAAAAGCAGTGGAAGAAAAGGAGCTTCTGCTTCTGCGCGCCGTATCGCGGAGAGCCAGAGACCCACGACGGCCCGGGGTGGACCCTTGGGCCAACATTTTACGTACTCGAATTCCCTGCGGCACGCGAGAAAGTTGCCTGCGACACCGAACCCCATGGTGTGACTGGCTGCCCTGGGCTCCCGTGGCCGTTGTTCACAGCACCTGAGAGCACCGATCATTCCGGTAGCGATCCGCCTTGTGCACGATCCACCCAGCCAGCTGGATTGCACGTCGCGACGCCCGACTGGCTGTGCGTGTGCCCACTGCTGTCTTGTTATGTATATACGCCTAGGGTCCGGTTGGACATCGTCATCCAATGTACACGCCATCTTGTCTCGTGTCTTCCCAACACAGCCAGCGCCTCCCGCAGGTGCAATCAACATTCCTCGTCGCTTCTCCTCCTTCCCGCCCGCTCCCGCACCATACCTCTCCGCCTTCAACAATTTCGAAAGGAAATGAGGACCGATTCGACGTCGGCACGGATAGTTCTCCCAGCACCAGCTCCCTCACCATGTCCGCAACCCGAGTGAGGCGAAAAGAGGGACGGCCGACCACCCCTTCTTCCCCGGTCCAGATCCCGACAAGACCGAAGTCTCGAGATGCGTCGAACCCGCAAAAAACGCACCGCGCACACGGGAATAGAAGAAATCACTCGATGCCGCGCCATCCAAGAGACGTGCACTCTCGCGATGCCATCCCGCCTTCGGTGGCGGCGCTACTGGCAGTTACCAATATTCCGCCTCCCAAAGCGGCCCGGAGCTTGCGGCAAACCAAGTTGGAAAAGAGGATGACGGTCGAGTCCATTATTGAAAGGGCACAAGAGTCTGAGAAGGAGCTCAGCCTGAAGTTGAGCAAGCGTCCCATGGATATCCTCCTGATGGCACCCGAGGACCTAGAGGCCGATGATGCATCTATCTGCGACAGCATCCCGGAGTCTGTCCTCTCGTCGCGGACCGTCTCGATGGATTCCATGCCGTCCTTGAGCAACTCAGTCGCAACCGACCCACTTTCGTCCTTAGACACGCCGCAGACGCCGCCCAGGAGGCGAAAGGTTCAGCCCACTCGACGCTCTCTTGAACCCGTCTCCTCGCCGCCTGGCGAACCCGAGAGTCACCCTCTATCTCCCGAGAGCGAGGTCGCAGAGCTAGATTTTAGAGTTTTCGCCAGAGAGGAAGTCTCGGACAAAAAGACGTCGCGGTTGCCTTTCAAGCCGCTCAAATCGGCGTTTAAGTCGAACCTGACGGCTTCGTTAAGGGCCTTGCGCCAGGCAGCACGCTCCTTCTCTAACCTAAACTTTTCTTCTATCCCGCCAGAGGACTTCCTCACGAGGTCCATCCTAACGATTGACCCACAGGTTCCATACACAGATGAGCGCAGACCGCCTCCTCTCCAGGAGGAACCAACGGCTGCCCTCCGGCGCTATCTGAACCCCACGACAACAGCACGTCTCGAGAAGCCTCAGCAGGCGACATCAGGTCCGGCGCTACGAACGTTTACTGCCTCGATTCAAATGCAGACGTACAAGGTTCACAGGGCACGCAGTGTGTCCCACACTTCGGGCCGTTCACCCTACCCTTCGGTGGCCGTGGGACCCTCTTCGACATCACCATCATCGCAGCCGCCGCAGTCGAAACCGGTGGTTCCGGAGCACCCGCTGCCTGGGCCACGGCAGCGCGAAATGCGCGAGAACTCGGACTTCATCCGTATCGCCGTCATGGAGATGGCCATGCGGAAGAGCGGCAAACTCGATGATCAGAGACCGGGCAGGGCTCGCTGGGCACTCCCACCCAGGAAACAGAGCACGAGACCATATGAAATCAGACCTGATGGCGTTCCCGCAAGATGGGTCGCTGTCACGATCTGAACATCGCGGTTGAAGCACAAAACAGCACCGAGCGATATCCTCACGCCAGATGATCGACCGCAAAAAATCTTCTGCCTCTTTACAAACCGTTCGTGGCGATTGATAGACGGGTCCAGCATTCCGCCCAACGTCGTCATGAAAACGGGTCGGCGTGGCTTGGCAAGCACACGACAACACTGCAAGGTCCTCCGAATGGGGAAGGCAGGAACGTGGGGATGTGGGATGTTCGCTGACCACCTTCTTCGTTCGCCGTGGCGCTTATCGCGTCCGGGGAAGAGCACTTTCTCCAACCGCCGACACTTTTTTCTACGCCTCGGCCTGGGAAATTTTCGTCCCAGAATGTCATGCGGTTCATTTTTGACGGGGCCACGTTTCCGACGACCCACGCGGGATGTGTGGGGTTCAGCCAGTGAGTCGAAAGGCTTGAAGCTTGGATCTCACGGATTTCCCAAATGGCTCGCCGCTGCATTCTGCAGCATTGAACCGAGCATCCGAGTTTTTTAATCCCTCATCAAAGAGAGAGCTTCGCGAAGGGACGGTCAGGGTCGTCAAAGGATCCTTGATGAAACAGTTTTCTTCGCTTTTATTTGCCGATTTTCGTCCCCGTACGGTTTTCAAACCCAGTCTGCCGTGGACGGGTCATTGAGCATTTCTGGATTTCGGGAGAAGTCTTTAGCCCTTTAACCACCTTTCTTTTGTTTCCCGTTTTCGAGGAGGGGGGCATTCCTGGCGTCACAGCATTTTCGACTCTGCATCATCATTAGCATTGTACATTCCGGAGTTCTCTCTGTTGAGCTGGCTGCTCCACGGCGGGCCCCCCCTTTTCTTTCTGGGAATGGCGCATGGCATGGCTGGTTGGCAAGCGGCCTTTGGGGTTTTGAGAAGGCACAGAACGTGTGCGGAGGATCGGCTCTTCAGGTTTTAGGATGGTTACGGAATAGTGCGCTGATATCCAAGTAACAAACAATACTTATGGTACGGAGTATATCTTACAGAATTGCCTTGGCGGCAACCGCTGGTGTATGTCTCGATGTTGTCGTTGGACATTGGAGTCCGATAAAATGGTTGCAAGGGACTCGGTTGAGATTCGGAGCATTTACAGGTCAACAAATTGTGTACTGCTTCCTTCTACCACTGCAAGGATCTAAGAAGCGAGAGATCACGATTGCGTACGTATACACCTTACATCTGGTAACCTACCCATCTGTTTAGCTGCTTGACCTTGTTCAGTTCAACACTCGTACATCTGTAGATGTGGGGATCGAGGGTTATCAAGGTTGTTATTAACTTGAGTGTGTGATTTGAGAGCCTTGAGCATACCAGCTCCGCCACGGTTGAGGACGATTCTTGGGTTTTCTGTGTCCTGCCATCAGTGAGCGGAAGCAGAGCCCAGTAGCCGTGACACATCTCTAACTCGTGGATCTGTCCTACGGGTCTGGGTGTATATCACTTGGAGAGATGGCTTCGTGTGATAGTTGTGTGGTCTTGCTTTGACCCATACACTCACTTCTACGAAATGGGGGTTATACCAGCAGATAACTTATGACCCCTCGAGCGCTTGTCAACATAAACGATGACCTTCAACCAAATAACCCGTAGCTGAGCCTGGACTGACTGCAAAAAATGACTACCACAGTACTACGTGCTTAAGATGTGTGTACCTGCATTGCATGTTGTGTGACACCCACACGGAGATCTCGGCACCAAGCTCCAAATCGGACTCAGTCGAACCTAATCTCAGTTCCCCCTTCCGGGGCGGCTGCAGGGGCGGACCATTCCCAAGTCCTGGGTTTCTGGGATATGCACATGTGATGTCATGGCATCGCATGTGAGGGAGCCGTGATGGCGTGACGTGACGGGACCGGGTGATGGTGTAACATACTCGGGCTGGGCAATGAAAGGATATCGTGAGGACTGACTGACTCTGAGCCATTTGGTTAAGAAATACTAGCGAGATACAATCGCAAAACAACGGGTTGAAGTAGGGATAGGGCCGTAACAGAGACCAGTGATCAACTTCAGTCAAACCCAGCCAACCGCATCTATTCGATTCAGTTCGGATATCAACCCGCCCTAAAGAAATATACCGGTACAAAGCAACAAGATACAGGAACCTCCCAACGAGCTTGATTTGATGAGCACAACCTCGCAGCACCCACCAAACACTCTGAATTCCCTCAATGATCAAAGGAACCTCACTCCTCATCCTCCTCCCCTCCCTCCTGCTTCCCACCCCCCTTCTTCTCCGCCGCCAACCTCGCCCACTCCTGCGCCTTAGCCGACACCCGCTCCCTACTCTTCGCGTCGCCCTTCTCCTCCTCCCACTTCGCCCACCTCCTAAACCACGCCTTGGCCTGCTTGGGCTTCAGCCCCTTGACCTTGCTCCCGCGCTCAAACAAGTCCCTGATGACGGCCGGGTCTTCGGCCGCGCCGCCGACCGCCGGCGACGTCTCGAGGTCCATCAGCTGGTTCCACAGGTCAAACTTCTTGGGGTACGCCGCGAGCAGGCTCTCGAAGAGGGTGCGCCCCTGCTCGCGGTCGCCGTTGGGCGAGCGAAATTCGAGCGCGGCGAACTTGGGGAGCAGCGTCAGGTGCATCTGTGAGGCGCTGACCGTGCTGGTGTTGCCCGGGTTGCAGAGCACTTGGGTGGCGCGTTTGAGCAGGGCGCGGGCGCGTTCTGGCTGGTTGGCGACTGCGTGGAGGAAGTGGGCGTAGTTGATCCACACGTGGGCGGACTTGGAGCCGTATTTCTTGAGGATCTTTTCGAAGAGGTCGTCGGCTTCCTGTGGGGAACGGTCAGTAAGCCGCCGGGTTGAAGAAGCTGTTATTGGGAATGGGGAAACTTGCCTTGTGCTTGCCAGATTGGATGTAGATGCTGGCCAGCCGCTCGTGAACCTCCTGGTCGTCGTTGTAGATGCACGCCCGCTTGAAGACCTCCTCCACAGTCTCCTCTGTGCCATAAGCGACTTCCAAATTGAGGTAGGCAATCCAGACGTTCAGCTTCTCGGTGTCTTCTTTGATGTTGATCGTATTGATGGCACGCTCCGCAACCTGTCTGGCGCTACCCAGGTCATTTACCTGCATTTGAGATGCCATATAAGCAATCCACAGTTCGGACGAATCCGGCTGCCCAAGGAGGAGACGCTCGTAATCGCTCGAGGTTTGTGGTCCGTTGACGTCGAGTTCGGCAGTTTTGTCGACAATCATCTGCGGCTCTCGCCTTTTCTTGGCCTTCTTGGTTAGCCTGTCAGCAGCGCCGGCATTCGCATTGTCATCCGCATCCAGAGCGTTGACTGTCCAGTCGAAGCCGCCGGCGTCGAGACCCGTAAGCCCCTCCTCTGGCGCTTCAGCCATTTCTACGTCACTCTCCTCGCCCTCGTCCTCATCCTCGTCGTCTTCATCATCGGAACCACCAATGAGAAGGGCACCACCGCCATCGCCCATCACCTCGTCTTCACTCGCCTCACCATCCACAACCGCACCGGCATCATCGTCATCGCTGTCGACTTCCATATCATCCGCATCCCCCTCCTTAAAGTATGAAGGCTTCAATCCGAGATTGATCCGCTTCTTCTCGAGATCCACATTCAAAACGCGGGCTTTGACTCGGTCGCCCTCGCTGTAGAGTGTCCTGGCGTCTTTGACAGCTCGGTCCGCCATCTCGCTGCGGTGGCACAGACCGGAGAGATTCATCGAGCCGTCGATATCAATAAAGGCGCCGAACTCTTCCACCTTGCGCACTTTTCCGGTTATGATTTGCCCCTCCTGCAGGTCTGCAATGGTCTTCAGGGGAACATAGTCCTTCTCCACCACTGACGGCTTGAGACTCATCTCCAGGCGGCCGTCGGCGACGGAGATGATGCGGCCCTTGACGAGCTGATCGACTTGGAAGTGCTCTTTCCAGTCCTTCAGGTACGCGTCGGAAAGGTTCGTGATCTTGACTAGCGCCACGACGTCGCCTCCAAGTGCCACAAAGAGACCTTTGTCCGAGACATTCTTGACGAAGCCCCGGATAACGTCGCCGACCTCGAGCTTGCTATTCTTGGTAATCTCTCTATCCTTGACGGGCAGGGATGAGTTGAGCACTCTTGAAGGCCGCATAGACAACCTGAGTCTCTTATTGCTCTTGTCGACCTCAACGACAGCGACCCGCACAAAATCGTTTTTCGAATGCGACAGGGGATTCGCCTTGTCGTAGTCATCGCCAAGGTCCACCAGGTGCACAGGGCCCGCGACGAGCTCGCTAAGTTTGACCATGACTTGCCGGTCATTGACCTTGGTAACCTTGGCTGGAAGAACCAAGCCTTGCTGAATTTTGTCCCACGATAGTTCGTTGGCGGTGCCGGCGGTCCGGGCCGAAAGATCAACTCTCTCCTTCTCCTTGTCCACGGCCAGGACCCGTACTTGAAGTGCACATCCCACAGGGAAGCTCTTCTCCAGGTTGGCCAATTTTGATAAATCGTCCGAAGCCTCCATGGCGCTGATCCGCCCGCGCACGTTGGGAGACAGGTTCACCCACAAATGGTTGGATGCAACATTGTTGACGAACGCCAGATGTGTAGACCCCACCTCAATCTTATCAAGGGATAATGGTTCGGGAAGGTCATCTTCCCTCAAGTCACTCGGCTTCGTCGAGAGTTCCCAAACTGAGTGACTGGACCGGTGAGTGATGGGGAGGAAGCGATGGTTGCGGGCGTCATGGATGCCGAGTACGCGGACCTGCACAATGTCGTTGGGCTTGAACCGCTTGAGCGGCCTTTTCGAGTCCGGAATATCCTCCCATTTATCGAAGACCTGCGAAACATCGATCCGCCCTTGGATGTTGTCGGCAATCTGAACGTTGAGTTGTGTCTCTTTGACGGACTTGACCTTGGCTTTGGTGAGCTTGCCAATCGCAAGATCATCAACAGAGGTGATGGAAGCGTCCAGGGAATTGACCGCCTCCTCGGTGATCTTGGCCGACTTCTTGACCTCTTCATCCGCAGCCGACGGGATGGCAGCCAACAAGCGGCCAAGATCTTTGTCGACGGAGGCGATCTGGACAACAAGCGACTGGTACTTGTACATTCCAAAACTAGGCTTGTCTTGCGCCTCGCGAGGCAGTTTTGACTTTGGAAGCAGAGCGGTCAGCTTCCCTGCGAACTGCACAAAAACAGCAGTGGCAGTGATATTACGGACAAAACCAGGAACCTTGTCCCCGAGCCGGACGTCATCCACGCTCGAAAGAAGCTTTCTCTCCTTGCTGGCTTGGACGAGACTCGGCTTGTGGGAAAGCGTGATGGACCGTCGGCCTTCATTCTTTTCCAAAACGACCAACTCGGAGAGTGTTTGGTTGACATGGATCTTCTTGAGCGCCGACTGCGTCTTACTGACCGACTTGTCCGTCAGGTGACCAACGGGGAGAATGGCCTTCAATGAGCTGTCAACAAGCTCAACAAATATGTCGTCCTCGGTCTTCTGCGTAACCTTTGCAGAGACCAGATCGCCAATTTGCAGCTTCTTGAGAGCCAGCTGCTTCTCGAGACCGAATGCAGACGGGTCTTTGCAGGAAACGATGAGCCTACTGGCTTCCGGGTCGAAGCTGATGACATAAACGCTGACTGTCTGCCCTGCACGGAAATGCTCCTTGGGGTCATGGATGTAGGCCTCGCTCATCTCGGAAATGGGGAGGTAACCCCGCAGCTGGCTGTAGAACTGAACGATGGCCCCGTGCTGCAGTACAGTCACGATGGTGCCAGGAGCCTGTAACCCAACAGCCAGCTCGTCGTATGACTTGATTGCTGGTGCCTCAGAGTTGACCAGCGTCTTCTTCAGCGTCAGGCGGAGCTGATGCATCGCCGGGTTTGTTGAGAGGACACGAGCCTTCACCTTCATGCCTTCCCTGAATTTCTTCTCGGGGTGCTGGAGGTGAACATCAGCAAGGTGCATCTCGGGGACCAGCCCTGAGATGCCCTCGGCAATCTTGACGATAAGACCACCGAGGCCATCTTGGTTGATGACAAGCTTCTCGACGACTCCGGGAACCACTGCTCCGACCGGGATGTCCTCGATCCTCAGGAATGGCTGTTCGAGCACTTGCTTCTCAAAGGAGAGGAGGTATACGCCGTCGAAGTTATTGTAGCCAACCACACGACCAGGGTGAATGGAGCCGACTTTGTACGGGCCGCTGCTCTCGAACAAGCTGTCGACCTTGCCATCCTTGACCCTGGAGATGTGGACGAATCCAGGAACGCCTTCCACGCCAACGTCGACATAGAGCCCGATGCCCGGCTCGACTCTCTGCACTGTGCACTTGTCCACAATTGCCGAGTGAGCAAGAACCTGGGTCGGGACAACCTCGTGGCCGCCTTGGCTGGCTGTCTTCGGCTTCAGTGAAAGCACATGCGGCAGCATTGAGATGCCCAACTTGGGCAGCTTCGCGTTCGGGAACGTGCAGATGATCCTCGCTTTGAGACGCGAGCCCACTTTGTACTTCTCCATGAGGTCGACACCGTCAGGTCCAGCACCAGAGTGGACAAGGTCCGCAGTCACATCCAAGTGACCCATCACCTTGCCGACGACACCGTGCTGAGAGACGTCAGAAACCAGTACATCAGCCGCAGTACCAGGCAGAAACGAGCCGATCGTGGTAGCATCTGATGGGCTGTTCTTGGGATTGCCGAGACGGTCGGAGAGCGTCGAGAGCTGCACGACCTTGCCACTGGCGGCCTTGCCTGTTACCATGCAAAGCAAAACTGATCCAGGCTGAACCTTCTCCTCAGGAACGCTCTTGTCGAGCTGCTTACGCGGCAAGAACCCTTTCAGCTTGGATTCGGATATGCTGACGTCCATGACGAAGCCGTGGTCTTCGACGCTGACAACAGAGGCCATAAGGGCGACGTTCTCAACTATGTCCTGCTCTGAGATGCCCGCATTGGCATGCACGGGTTCTAGAGACAACCCGATGTGGCGCTTGGTCTTTCCGGGAGTTGACTCGTCCAATGTCGACGTAACGTAGGCGCGGACATATTGGCCGAGGTAGAACAAGTTCTTGGGGTCGACGTCGTCGGCGCCTTCGTCATCGGAACCACCTTCGTCATCCTCCTTCTGAGCACTCGCCTGCAGTCGCTGTGTCAGGACTTCGGAAACGGCGGTTATAGGCACGTGGCCAACCAGGTTGTTCGGTAGCGCAACGGCGATGTCGAGCGGGTTAATGGCGCAGACCGTCCCAAGTACTAGTGAGCCCTGGGCCAGCCGCTGGACAAAGTTAGCGAGCCGTACTATCACTGTCTCTTCCCAGCATCTGATCTACCTTGAAATTCAAGCTTTCCACCTTGACAGCATCCTCGTCCCTGGCCGGCTTGGTGCTCGTTTCGTCAGCGCGCGACTTGCGCTTTTTTCTTCTGGCAGCCTTGTCCCCCTTCTTGCCTGCGGACTGCTCCTCGAACAAGACATCCTGCTTCGCCTGAATCGATATCTGCTTCTGCTCAAGGGGGGTCAGGACGCTCCCACCGCCTCTGGGAAACAGCGGCTCCTCCCCTTTCACTAGGCTGGTAGCCACGAGCGCAGCCGCTGGTTTGGTGGGGGACTTGGGCTGCTTCGCGCCCTTCTTGGCGTCGTCTTTCGTCGATTCAGTCGCTTTTGCCCGTTTTGAGGGTCTCGCTTCGGTCGAGGCACGGGCTGATTTGAAGGCCGATGCGCCGCTGGGACCCTCCTTTCGCTTGAGAGAACCCATGGTGACGGTATGGCTGAGTGTCTCGCAGCAACGGGGAGCAATTCACCAAAGCTGCCTCCTCTGCGCAACCACTCCCAATGGCGCTTTCGAAGAACACCACTTGTGAAGCTGCACCACAAAAATTTCTGGCGGGTCCTATGCTGGCCGATAACGATAAGAAATGGAAGGGTGGGGCTTTGGACCCAGTGGAAGAAGCTGCACACAGGACGCATCTTTCGTTCCAAGGGTCGCAGATCGGCGCGGGCCTAGGCGTCCAAGAGCAACATATGGAAATAAGGTACGGATACCTGGGCACAAAGATACAGTTGCTGACTCTAGAAGAACACACATTTATCTTGGAGTAAGGTATTGACCCTAAATCCCGTACCTGCTCTAGCAAATGCGATATTACGTTAGTTTATTTTATCCCTCTCACCATAGCCCAGGGTCAGGGTCATCTGCAATAATTGGCTTTGTTGAAACGCGGATACCAGCGGACTTGACCAGATGACGTACTTACAGCTTGGGATCTTAGCTTGAGCCAACCCCTTGACAGCCGCCACGTTCAGGCCGGTCCCGGGACCAATACCGCAAGGCAACAACCTTGAATCAGCATATCAACAACCACCTACGATCACAGCTCTGCGACGCGGCTATCAAGCCCGCAGAACTCCTGGCATACCTCGGCACTCGATTAGCGATATGGGTTCGCGCAAGCGGGTTAAAGCCAACCCTGCCGCCGAATCGAGCATCTCAACTCCTGTGCCTCCCCAACCCTCGACCGTGCCGTCGCAAGCCTCGTCGAAATCAACCAAGTTGCACATCTCCACCGTCGGGAATGCAAGTTCATGCACGACCACAACAGCGGTAGAGCAAAGCACGCCGCGAAATAGTAAATCAGGTGGAAGCGGCGATGACACACCGGCTCCTGCTCAAGGCTCGAAGCAGGCATGTGCATCCACCACGCGGCCTAGCTAGCATGCCCTGATGTATTTGGAGATATCGCAACTTTGGCGCTGACCGCGTTGTAGGTTCAGAAGACTCGAAGTTGGCACGGATCATGGCCTCGAGGACCCAAATCTGCAGCCTCGACACATGTAGCACGAGAAACGATCCTTGGAGGCACATCGAAACCAAGGGGAACCGCCGACTTTAGTATATTCGAGACCAAGAAGCCTGCCGATGCGATGGGCGTTGCTGAGGAACCTTCGTCGTCAGGGTCTAGCGTGCCCGATGTGTTGGGGGACTCGGCGAACGGTGTTGACCGCCAGCCGGAGCCGGAATTGGAGCCTGTGGTCACTGGAGATGCATTGAAACCCGACATCAAGACAAGGACCGAGCAGGTGGATGCGAAAATGGTGGAAGTCGGTCAGGAACAGGGGCGAACAGAATCGCCGCCGGAACAGGCCTTGGAACCGACCTTAGAGCAGCAAGCTCATACAGCATCTACACCCCAAAGGCCTACGTCAGGATGGTTTGGCTGGCTTGGCAGTTCGGGAGTCACTGAATCAGTCTCAGCAACGGTTGCCCCTGCGTTAGAGTCTGATTCCGCACCGGCGTCCACTGAGACACAGGCTCCGGAGACCAAGTCTGCCGAGGAAGACAGGGAAGTACAGCCAACGCAGGGAGCCCCGGAAGCTGTCGAAACCCCTAAACTAGCCCCCGTGCATGACAAGCCACCAGCAGTTTCCGGAAGTTCTTGGCTGTGGTCTTGGTCCATCAGAAGTACTCCCGCTCCATCGGAGCCCGAACCCGGGCTGCCAACTGCTAGCTCAGAAGCAGGCCCTCCAGCAGTGAATGAACCCGGAGACGTGGCTATGCAAGAAGCGCCGGCTGCAGAGGCAGCTCCTGAACCGCTGACGTCCGCACCTAAGGCGGGGTCTACATGGGCGTTCTGGTCGCGCGATGCAGGAGCGGCATCGAGAAAGAAACCGGCCGTGCCGCAGAGTGAACAGGGCCAACTCGCCGTCATGGGCGAGAGATCGGAAAATCATCCTCAACGAGCAAACTCGGTGGAGTTTCAGAACGCACCAGCAAAGGAGCCCCAGCTGAAGTTTGGTCGGAAGGAGGAGCAGGTTAAAGCCGTTACGACCCCTTCGAGGGAGTCTTCAACCAAGAGCAACAAACGAGTCTGGCCGAAGTCAATTGAGGTTGACGATACGGCTTCTGTCCATCTGAGCACAGCGAAGGCTGACACTGCAGCGAAACCGGCTGTTCCGAAAGCCACGGCTCCTTCAAAGGCCCTACCACGAAACCTTCTACTGCCCGCGTTTACTGGCACCTACACGCTCAAGGAAAACCCGTCCATTATCAAACAGCTTGCCCAACTGCTGCTGAGGACGCAACAGCCGTCGAGCAAGCATGTGTATCTGACGAAAGAGCACCCCAAGATCCAAAAGGCCATAGCCATCGGCGTACACGGCCTCTTCCCTGCGAACTACCTGCGTCCCATGATTGGCCAACCAACGGGAACATCGATCAAATTCGCCAACCACTGCGCTGACGCCATCAGAAGGTGGGCTGATAGCCATGGTTGCGAGGACTGTGTGATCGAGAAGGTTGCCCTGGAAGGAGAAGGAAAGATTGGCGAGCGGGTTGAGAACTTGTGGAAGCTGCTGCTGAATTGGATCGAGCACATACGCGATGCAGATCTGGTACTGATTGCCTGCCACTCCCAAGGCGTTCCGGTCAGCATCATGCTGCTGGCCAAGCTCATCGAGTTAGGGGTTGTGGCCTCAGCCAGGGTGGGCGTGTGTGCCATGGGTAAGTTCGATGACAAGTGCCCCAACCCCTCATGGAATCAAGCTTTTAATAACGTTATGATATTAGCTGGTGTTTCACTGGGTCCTTTCCCCGACTACCGGTCCAGCATGGGCATTCTCATGGGCTCCGCTGCCGAGCTGTGGGAGTTTGCAGATCCGCAGAGTGAGGTCTCCAAGAGACTCGAAACGTCCATCAAGGCGGTGTTGAGCTACGGGGCACGGCTCACATTCATTGGCAGCATTGACGACCAGCTTGTCCCATTGGAGGTTTGTCCCCGCTATCGCCCGCCCAGCCAACTCGGACTATTACTTATACTACTTTTCAGTCTGCCATCTACTCGCCTGCTCACCACCCCTACATCTACCGCGCTGTGTTCATTGACGGCCGGATTCACGCACCCGATTTGTTAGTTCCCCCTTTGTAGCTAGACCGTTTTCCGTTACTAACAGGCCCTAGCATCGCCCACCTAGTCGGCTTCGCCCTCAAACTCCGCAACCTAGGCGTTTCGGACCACGGTCTAATTCGCGAACTCTCCACCCCGCTCGCAGGCAGCCTGTATTCGGGCGAAGGCCACTCGCGCCTGTACGACGACACGCAGGTCTACGACCTGGCCGTCACGCACGCGCTCGAGACGACCGACGTAATCGGGCCTGTCGCGTGCGAGGTACGGCACAGGCAGGTCGGCGGCGCCGGTGCTGCTGCTGCGGCACTGTCCAACCCGAATCCCTACCATCTCCCCTGGATCATGCGCGGCCTGCTGGAGGAAGACTTCGTCAAGACGGAGCTGTCGGCCGAGACGGACGAATTGGTGAGGCAGTTTGACGATTGGAAACCTGTTACCAAGGCGCTCAAAGATGTCAAGTATCGGTTGGAGGCTGTTCGGTCAAAGCTGTAGGTTGTGGGGAGGGTTTTGCGTGTATATTTGGGCTGGGATGGTATTTCACATTCGGGCAGGGAGTGAGCGAGCGAGCAACTGAGTATGGGTTTGGCGCACGCTTTGGGACGGTTCGAAGGACACCGGATGACATGGAATGGGATTAGGCTTAACGGGCTTACAGGTATGACTATCGCAAAGATGGGGACTCATGAGGATACCATGTTATTGAGGGGGACAACCCCAGTAAGGAACTGCGGATTCGTACATGATACAGGCCGGTTGTCACTGGCTTAGACATATACTAGGAAATAGACCTAAATCAGAAGACATACAATCGACTACCGGTGTTGGGGGTTCGGATAGGTAGGCGAATTCTTAGGAACATTCAGAGGCACAGACAGGTACATTGACTCTAGTAGTATCCAAGCAGCGCATAGCAGACCGTCCCAACGTTCAGTGCTTGTCTATACATCACGAAGATAAAATTGTACACTCCTTTGTGGTCTTACACACCCTGCACATAGCCCGTTACTCTTGCGCTTTCACCGCCTCCCCAACTTCCACGAAGAAATCACATCCTGTATCTGATCCCATGGCATCTCAACAGTCTTGACGCCATGCGCCGTCGCCTCCTGAAGCACCACAGTCGGCGCGCCGCTGCCCTTGCCCTTGTTCTCCACCATCCCGCCGACTACCATCCTGGCCACCCTCCTCAGGTCCGCCACCGTCAGGTCGTTGATCTTGCGCGTCATCTCCCGAACGGGGATCTTGCGCCCGTGCACCTGAACCTGCCTGCCCAGGTCCTCGAGCTCGACCATGCGGCTCTCGAGGTTCATGAGCAGGCTGCTCCGCAGCTGGTTCTTTGCGCGGGCGACCTCGATGGGGTTGAGCGCCGAGTAGCCGCCCTCGACGGTGAGCGCGTGCAGCTGCTGGCACATGACCTGCAGCATCGGAGCGGTGCGGCCCGGGTAGCACGACGCGGCGATGCCGAACAGCCCGGAGTCGGTGTACGAGTGGTTGAAGGCGACGCACGACTCGACCCAGCCGTGCTGATTCAACACGTTAGTGTACAGCCGCGAGTACATGCCCTTGCCCGGCCCGCCGGCCGAGAAGGAACCGCCGCCACCGAGGAGGGTTTGTAACGTGGCAAGGGCGTAGATGTCCTCCGAGGAGATGGGGAGGCCTTCGAAGGCGAGCTGGATGTGTGTGAAGGTTGGGAGGTTGGGGTTTATCGGAGGGGGTTGAGCCGGAAGAGAGAGAAAACCGCCTGTGTAGTGGGCCGGGCGAGTCAGATCTTCAATTGAGATGGGCATGATAGAGTTGGAGAAGGAGGTGTTGGATGCGAGGTTCTTGAAGAAGGGAATCTTGGAGAGCAGCCCGGATGTTTCGGCTTGAGAGGATGCGGATGATGAGGAGGCGGCGGAGAAAATGCTGGATGTGTCGCTGGAGTCGGAGGAGTGCGTGTCGAGTGATGTCTCTGAACCCGTCCTCGAGAGCGCCGGCTGTGATGGCTCCATATCCCCAAAGTATTGCTCGGCGAGCCTAACTGCTTCCTCATGCGGTACACCGGCGAACGCCACCACCATACGCTCGGGTCGGTAGAAGGCCTTTCTGTATTCCTGAATAACATCCTTGTTGATGGCCTGTAACCTCTCTTGCGGGCATAGGAGCGGGTTCCCGAGGGTGTTGTCCTTGAAGGCGGCCGTGTGCACCAGCTCGGGGAGAATCAGTTCGGGCTTGGACCAGATCTCCCTCACTTCGTAATCGGCCGTCTCGATCTGCTGCTGTATTTCTTCGTCGGTGAGCTTCGGGTCGCGGATCGTCTCGGCTAGCAGGCCAGTTGTGGTGGGGATGGCCGAGTTGAAGGTGGCTGCCTGGTACATCATCGACTCTCGCGAGGAGGCACACTGGATATGGCCGCCCAGCTTCTCCACTGTCTCGAGCATCTCCTCGGCAGAGTGCGACGCTGTTGACTTGAAGGCTAATCGATCCATGATGTGGCTTGCGCCGCGCAGCGATTCGTTCTCGTACCGTGACCCGGCGTCAATGTAGACGCCAACCCCCGAGAAGGCATCGGGGAGGTCTTCGGATGCTACGCGGATGCCGTTGGAAAGGGTGGTGATTCTGTCGAGCTCGGTCGGTTCCTAAGCTGCGCCATTAGCCTATCACCCCTGGCTTCGTCATCAACGGTGTTCTTGCCTTGGGCTCACTGCGAGACTGGGCGATCTTGATCCCCCCACGAACCGCAGTGGCAAGCGTCCTCGCCGGGACGGACGGACAGCTGGGTCTAAAGGGTCTCCATGATTGACAGGTTCGGTTTAGTAGCCGTGTTGGCCGGCAGTATCTGAGCATGGCTGTAGTTGGGTGTGGCGGTCCAACGTCGATGCTGGGTGCGGTCTCGGATTTAATTGAAGCAAGTGCTGGCCTGGGACAGGTAAATGCGCTTCAGAATGCATCGCAGTCGAGGTTGGATTATCGATAAGCCAGATAGGGACTTACAGCTTGGCAAATGCAGGACTTCAGGTGGCCAAGTACGGATTAGAGGTACAGAGATACCGATACCATTATGTCAGCCAACACCTTGCACTGAAGCAGCAGACTTCTTTCTTATGCGATCATTGTGATGTCTACCTGGTGAGAAAATCCACTGGTAAATACTCCTTCAGGGTGAAGCTGCGTCCCAAACCCGGAAGTCACTCGTCCCTCAGTCGGAAAGCCGCAGACGGATGCGGTCTGGTTGCAGGCCTGCTGCGTACACAAGTGCCATGCTCGTCGGGCCTCGAAAACGCCGCGCGACTGCCTCGCCAAGGGAGCTTGTGGTCAGATGAAACCGTTCAATAGTCCAGTCTGAAAGATCTTTTAAGTACTACCCAACTCAAGTGTCACCGTACTCGATCGATTGAATGCCATTGAAATGCACCGTGATTCTTAGGTCGTGCGCACCAAGTCAGAGACCACCAACCTGGAACTCTCAATCCGCCCCCTGTGAGCGTCTAGACCCTGAATGCGGCCGCTAAGGCCAACACCAAATGATCGAACCATCATCGGGCTGGAAAAGTGATTGCAGCAATCAGTTGACCCACTCCATTCAGAACCCAGCCTCTGAGCATGCAACATCCTCCCAAATACAACAGTTTTCCGACCTGAAGCGGATGAATTCCAGGTTTATTACTTCATTTCCTTGCACTGTTTTCGAATATCTTACCCACGCTTTGTCCGGTGGCGCCTTCCAGATTCAGTGCCATTGTCAAGGTGCCCAGGTTGACAATTTCTGTGTTTAAGCACCGTGGCACGGGCGAATCAGGACCTGTTAGGACCCCAACCAGCGGCAGACAATTCAGATCGACAATCAGCCGGCCAGTGACGACCTTGGGTTTGGAATTCATCCTCTCCTCCAACAGCCCGGCCGTCATTGTCGATGTTGCAACCTGCGGCCTCGCCCACAACCCAGGGGCCTGGTAGCTTTTCTGTCTCCCCCGTGGCCCTGGCGCCTGCCTCGTCGACACCCGGACCGCCTGCGCGAAGCAGCCGCCTGCGAGGCCTGAGTTACCTCCGCAACTACACCCATACCCACCTCTTGTCCCGTGAGCACAGCTCCCACACCACCCACCACAGCCCCGCCGCCCCGACACTACAGCCCACAATCTCAGCACCGGCAACATCGCCTGTTGCAACAAACTCGTGGCTCGGCCCTGCCCGCAACGATTCTTCCGCTGCCCCCGCACCAGACAGTAGCGGCAACCCCTCGTCGACGACTCGCACCGGCCGCCTCTCGCAACTTGTGCCCGGGCTATCAATTCCGTCTTCTGGAGGGAAAAGCCAGAGCGGGGCTGCCACATCAACTCTTTCGGGCATCAGACCAACCGAGTCAGCCGCCGTCGGAGCATCTGACCTGTCTGGAACCTTTCTGTCGGCCGAAGATAATATGACCCGAGCACGCTCCGCGACCACTGGCGATGCCATGGCCCGACACGAGGGAGCCAATAGCAGCCTCGACACGCTGCCCTCGATCCGGTTCAGCGCCTTCTTCGACCCACGCGCTACGCGGCCATCGTTGAAGTTCACGCCTATTTCTCGCACCCTACCGACCGGCAAAGAAGTCATTCGTGTGGGCAGGTACTCGGAGAGAGATAACCAACCCAATGTTCCTACGAATGCTCCCTCAGCAGCCCCTGTGGGCTTCAAGAGCAAGGTGGTCAGTCGGCGGCACTGCGAGTTTTGGTACGAGGACGGCAAGTGGTACATCAAGGACGTCAAGAGCAGCTCGGGCACCTTTCTCAACCACATCCGCCTCAGCCCGCCTGGCACCGAGTCGAAGCCGTACCCGGTGAACGATGGTGATATTGTGCAGCTGGGCATTGACTTTAAGGGGGGCGAGGAGATGATCTTCCGCTGTGTCAAGATGAGACTCGAGCTGAACCGTGGCTGGCAGAACAAGCTAAACACCTTCAAGTGAGTAAGAGGGCATGTAATATATGTGTTTGTTGACATACTGACACCCGTCCAGCATGGCCACACACAAAAGGCTACGGAACATGACGGCTGGCAACAGCTCGTCAGGGTCCTCCCAGGACTGCTCCATCTGTCTCAACAGTATTGCGGTAGGCAGTCCTCTCCATCTGCCGAACAGACAGCGGTTTAACAGTTCCTAGCCATGCCAGTGTCTCTTCGTTGCTCCTTGCTCCCACACCTGGCACTACAAGTGCATCCGCTCTCTCCTCACCTCTCCCTCGTATCCCATCTTCATATGCCCCAACTGCCGCGCCGCAGCCGACCTTGAAGCAGAAGTCGAGGATCCAGAGGAGTGGGAGCAGCTCGAATCAGACGACGGCGCAGCCGCACAAGAAGGAGCTCTGTTACACCCCCCTCCCGCTGACCCCGACAATCCGAGCGGCACCACTTCCTCAGCACCTCGCAAATCCCGGGAATCGGTACGCAGCCCGTGTCTGCTCGCGGCTCAGTCACAGCCCGTCGAAGTACCAGATGTGAACATGCGAGACCCGTCTCCACCTCCGCGACTCGACATGCTTCCGCAGATCGACGGGACCGGCACGCTGGCTGGCCCGACAACGGCGCTATTGTCGCATACCACGTCCAATCCCATGCCCATCCCCTCCCCTGCGCAGCGTATCCTACCCGGTGTCCGCCGCGAGGCCAGGACGCCGTCACCGACTGGCGCGCCCGTGACGAACGGCCACGAGGGGCCGATCACTCCGAGAAACGATGCCGGTCCGTGGGTGTTTGACGGGAGCGGGGTGCGGCTGAGTCAGGAGGGCGCTCGTCCCGCTGCGGCTGTCCTAGCTCATGGCGGCGGCGGGCCTTCATCCTCTTCCTCTTTGTGGCCCAGGGTAGATGATGTCTCGTAGGAACGGTAGTCGTCGTCGCCGTCGCCATCGAGGGAGATTGGGTCGTGGATGGGATGAGAGTGGACAGTGCCGTGGTGGGCTCCCTCCTCTTGGGAGGGGAGACTTGTAGCGGTCATCGCGTCGCATGACCCCCATCCCTGCTTTCTGTTTTGCGTTGGTATTGCTTTGTTCCTTTCTTTGTGGGGGGCCGGGGAGGTGGGCGGGGTTTGGCCTTGAGGCGGCACTGAGGGCGCACGCATTATATTAGCACATTTGATGGAGTTGAGGGTTTGCGGGCTGGTTGGTTGGACAAGACCTCGGGAAGGCGAATGGGAGGGGCATTGTTGTTTTTGTCTCCTTTTTCTTGGTCGTTTTTGTTAGAGCTGTCATTTCATACTTTCCACCGACTCTCACAACTCACCTACCTAGATATTGCTCATCAAATGCCAGTGTCCCCGACATGGGCCGGAGCTTCAACTTTTGCTGCTTTGGAAACCGTGACTGAAGCGGGACTTATGCAGGAGGTGCTTGACTGGTATGAAACGAGCAGTGGAAAGCAGGCCGGTCATTGAAAAGGAGGTTCGCGTTCCCTCATGTCACCAACTGACAGTGGCTTAGCGCATGGGTCAGCAGTCACTGGAGGAGGTTGGCATTCGTCGTGGCATGGGTATCCACGAATTTCATCTCAACACTCTAGCTAGGTTTGACTGTCAACCATACCTGTTCAGCAGGTCGCCAGTACGAGTAGCAGGAAGCGATGCCTGCAGTCTCGAAACACGCCATATAGGTTTCTTATAGAGTGGAACGAAGTAAAAGCCCAATGGTTTTTCTGTAGCTAATTACCTCACTGAGGAGTCGTAAAGCTAGTCAGTGAACCTTTCTTGCAATTTATATATAACGTGTTTTATCAGCGAATGCACCATATCAGCGAGTGCACCACTGGTAAGG